CTTTATTTTATTATATAACACTATATAAATTATACAGTACAGTTTAAAAGGTAAAAGTAGACTACCCTAAGTGTGTGTGTGTGTATGTATTATATAAGTGTTGGGTTTATATAGATTATCCAATAATATCATAGGTGGGGAGGGGCATAAAGTATATTACAATATGTTAGAGTAATGAATATTAGACACTAATAAAAATAAATAAATCTTTATATTATTTGTATATACAGTATATCTCTTTATTGTCGTTAATCAATAATAACTTTAATAACAATAACAACAACAAGAAAATCCTGTGTATCCCTAATATATTTTTTATGAATTTTTCAAAATCTTTTATGAATTTAGTAATACTTTATTTTCTAAAGTAAATCTAAAATTCAAATCTGAAATTAAAAGAAGTTTTCATTTGATTTTTAAAGTGTTTAGTACTTTATATAACACTAAAATATATATATATTATGCATATTATATATATACTGTATATATCTTCAGTACTATATTTTGCTAAAATAAATAACAAAATAAAAAAGATTGACTCTTGAGTTCAAATGCCAATCCGTTTGCTAAAAGTATTTTTTTTTTCTCTCTCTCTCTCTCTYTCTCTTTCTCTTTCTCTTTCTCTTTCTCTTTCTCTTTCTCTCTCTCTGTAGTGTATTATTGATTGTTGAATACAAAATAAGTTAAATATTAAAATATTTTTAAAAATAATTGTCTGCACTCTTATATATATTTATATAGATAGAGAGTTAGAGAGAGAGAGAGAGAGAGAGAGACGAAAGTATATGAATTGAAGATCTTTAAGGATTATATTTATGTAATATTTACTTAACACACACACGAGTCACTCATCCAAATGAAAACTATAATATAAAAGGGATTCACAATATTTTCACAATAAAAATACACACATTTTTGCCTATTGTATACATTATACTACTAAATATACTGTATTAACTTGAATCTAATATTCACTATTCACAGTACAGTATAATATCAACAAAATTACATATAGAAAACTACAACTTTCAAAAATAAGCAATCATTTATTGTTTATAATTTTAATAATATATATATATATACTTATATAATGTATATATAATTTATACACAACTGTTAATTAATTTTTTCACTTTTTGAATAATCTCTTTGTATTGTAATAAATGAATGACACTTCAAAAAATTATTATATAAACTCTACTTTACAAAAGATTTTTAGTTTTAAAAATATAATTAGAAAATAATTACTGTAAAACTAAAAAAAATCAAATAAAATTTTTAAATGTTAGTTTAATAAATTAGCCAATTTGTATAAGTGCAACACCATTAAAAATTATGTTATAAATGTTATCTAATTATTTTGTAATAATATTAAAAGTTTTGTATTTAGCATTTTATTCAAAATAGTAGAAAGAAGTAATTATTATTTTATTGAAGAGTACATTGAATTTTTAAAAAAATTTTTGCCATATATTTAAAACTTGTAGTGAATTTATAATTTTAATGATCGTTTAAATAGTGAATAAAATACAGTATATTATATACTTTATATAGAAAACTTAAACTTAAATCATATATAAAATTATTTTTCTAAAAAGAAATACATGTATATATTAACATTAAATTTTAAAAACTTTATTATTATTATTATTAGATAAATCCTATTATGTTATCTTTTAAAAAAATAAATCCAATACAATGACTAAAAATTAGTAACCATTTTCCAGATTTATATAATACAGATAATTCTTATTTTAAATTATTACTTCATTTATTAAATTATTATATATACTGTATATTATAGTATACACAGTATATACAGTATTATATATACAAATGCATTAAAATAATACTTATATAATAAACACAATATCATAAGATATATATATATATATATATTTATATGATACTATTAAATATATAGATAAAGTTGTCATCTTTAAATATATAATATATAAAATATCAATATATTGGATGCTCTATAAAATTACATATACTATATACAGGAATATCTATATATATATATAGTAAATAGGATAGACTTATGCTAATAGAAAAATATGGCTTAAGGGTGACATAATTTTGTATTGAAAAAAATCTATTTGTAAATAAGATTATTTGAGTAATTTTTATGTAATATGTTTATTTTCAAATTGAATTTAAACCATAAATTTTTGTATAAAACATACCCACAAAATAGATAAATATATAAATTGAAATAAATGTTATAAAATATTTTATATTTTTGTTGGCCATAAACTTGTTTTTTAGGATTTAATAATAAATAATAAAAAAAAACAACAAACAACAAAATATACAGTAATACAAACCAATTGCATAGTAATCGATAAAATGTTTAAAACAAAAACGTGATATTTTCGATAAAAAAATGACATTAATTTATTTGCAAAATGTTTTAAATGGATTTAATATTTAAAAATGATTTTATTTTTTTGTTTTAAAAATGTTTTGTCATTTTCAGAGAAAGAGAGAGAGAGAGAGAGAGAGAGAGAGAGAGAGAGAGAGAGAGAGTTGAAACAAAACATTTACATTTAGACAATTAATGTTAAATAAGAAGAAATATTTAACAATTTATATAACAATATATTTTATAAGAAAAGAGAAACAGTTTTTCATGCATTCATAATATATAAGCACTAGTATTAAAAGTACTGGTATTTAAAGCACTGGTACGTGATATCATTGAATTTTCAGATAAGAGATAACCTTTTACTTATGCATCACTTCCTCACCGCTAATATTGTCACAGATATTGATCTTTATTTCGATTTTTTAACAACAAATAAAAGTTGTCTCCGATTTTAATATCCAGTTATAATACTTTATAGTACAGTATATAAGCACTACATAAGCAGCACTCAGCACRTGTATGTGTCAGTGATATAACTGGGTGTGAATTATGAATTTGCTTACACATTCCTCAACAGCAAACACACACACACACACACACACACACACACACACACTGTCGTGTAATCGTTGATTGATTTTAATTTAAATGCACTTAATTTTTTTATAGAGAAGATAAGAGTTTTGTTTGGCTATAAAAACATAATAATAATAATAATATAGTATTTTTCAACAAATTAACTCAAATAAGCGATAATTATTTCTATCATAAATACAGTATTAGTTGTGAACGTATCTATTATTAATTCATTTATTAAAAAACATACTTAATATCTCTTTTTATGTATTAAATGAATATTTTGTAGATAACACATGTTTTTTATAATAAACACAAAATTTATAGTATAAAACGTGATATTTTTATTTAATTATTAGTCTTTATTATTAATTATATATATAGAGAATCGACAAATTCTCTCTCTTGTCATCTAATTTTAAAAATTAATTATTAAAAAAATTTTAATATATAATTATTAATGATCATTCAATAATGTGCTTTAATGTTGACAAAATAAAACTTATATCATATATGAAAAAAACTTGAGATTTTAATTAAAATAGTTTTCATATTTGTACTATTAATAAGAAAACGACAAACTTTTTCTATAGATATATCAATGTTTTTGTTGTTGATTAGTATGTTGTATATAATTAAACTGTATTTATAATTATATTATATAAAAATTTTGTGTGATTATAAATAAATACATTTTTTTAAATCACTAATATTGATGCAATTTACTCTATTATTTGTTATATAACATAATGAGCTAATGAAGCGATCAGTAAAGTAAACGCATTTTGATTTTTAAAATATATAAATATATATATATATAAAGTTTATACTGTAAATCAAATTTTACTCTACTGTTTGACTTTTTGATTGTTTATCTAACAAACAATTTTTGTGAATATATTCATAAAATTTATATTTATAACACAATTTTCAAATATTTATTTAATTGATTGAATGAATGAATAGTGGCTTCAATGCCACAATCATTGCGAGTGATTGCAATTTCATTATACGATTATACCAGTGATTAAAATATATTAAATACATTCAAACTAATAACAATGACATTAATATAGACATCAATTTACTTAACAATTTTACTAATTTGTATTTATCCTGTCAAACAAAATTACAACTATATATATATATTCAGATGTTTTGGTAAATTTTTACTGTACTATTAAATATGTATAGAAAAATAAATAAATGTTAAACATATTGTTTGTTATTCAATACTTGTATAAATCCCAACAATAATATACAGTTTTATATTCATGAAATCGCTTTAATAGTCCTTTACATAACAATTTTTTAGGACAAATAAATAAGAAAAAAAGTAAAGAAAAAATAAATTCAAAAGCTTTTAAACTAAAAATATCTATCAATGATAATAATAATAATAATAACTATAAGCTTTTTGAATTATATTATATTTATAAATAACTACTATTACCCGTAAAAATAACTTTATTTTCGAGATAATTAATAATAAAAATTTATAATTCCTAGTATCAAGTTTTATAATAATACTATTAACAAATACTCTATGAAATATCATAAATAAATAAATTAATAATAAATGTTTAATTAATTACGATCTAAACAGTATACAGTATATTAATATATTGATATAACAGCTAATATATATACTATATATTTATATTGCTTTCAATTTGTTAATTAATTAAAGATAAAAACAGTGAAACCCAACAAAAATTTTTGGTAAAAATTCAATTAATTTTTATACATTTTATTGGAAAACAACTTATTTTTAAACTCTAAATTTCAAATATATATAATAAATTTCTTTAATAAACAAATTGTTAAATAAATTATTAATTTTTTATAATTTACTAGTAATATGTTACTCTTTTTTAAAAAATGTTATTATAAAAATACATATATTTATTAAATTACTAACATAATAATATTAATAATAACGTGTAAATAAAAATATTTGTTATAATAATTATTAAAATAATTATTTAGGTCATCAATTAAATGGGAGATAAATTAATAGTCAAATAAATTATAATTATAATCAATTGAGAGATTATCTATGATATAATGCATAGAAAGCGGATGATTCGTCTCGCAGTAGATTCTCGGGTTCGTCCATCTCGACAATGGATGAGCTGTCCATTACTATTATACGGTTACTATTGAGCACCGACTCGATCTTGTGGGCCACAAACAGTACAGTGGCTGAACTGAAAACAGTTGTCAATGTTTGTTGGATTAGTTGTTCAGTAATTGAGTCGATATTAGCTGTCGCCTCATCCATACAGAGTATAGTTGTCTTGGATAGCAGTGCTCTAACCAAACATAGCAGTTGTCTTTGACCGCAACTCAAATCTCGGCCTCTTTCGCTAATATTAGCACTCAAACCACCTAAGCTTAGTACTGTTTATATATAAATATAAAAAAAGCGAATACATAAAAATGCAATTTAGTTAAACTCCTATTTAAACAATAAAAAATCCATCCTTCCTCTCTCTCTCCTCATCCCTATCCACACACACACACACACTATCCATACCTAATGACTCCAAATGACACTCTCTGAGTGAATGCCAGATCTCATTATCTAAGTATTTATTTTGTGGATCCAGATTATCTCTTATTGTACCACTAAATAGGAACGGGTCTTGAGGTATAATAAATAGTTTTGATCTGAAAATAAAACAATACATAGAGAATGAACATAAAAATAAAAAATAATACAAATCTATCATTTTATTTGATGTTGTATTGTATTGATATTAACCGGTTTTTGTTTTGTTTATTATTATATTCATTGTAGTAAATGTTCAATATTTTTATCTTTTATATATAATAATAATAAAACAATTCATTTGAGAGATTATCAATAATTTTGTTTTGTTGGTCAGTTTGACAGTAATACTTTTATCTGCTTTATATATCAAAATAATCTATATAGAAATAAAATTGCAATATAACTTATATACAGTGTATATACATTGTATATATATATATATATATATATATATATATAAATACAAATTATATATCTATTATAGTAATAATTAGGCCACAAATTGTAGATTATCTAAAACTGGACAATAAAACTAAACTATATAATTTATATATATATATATACAACTATGGTATATGATAGATATCTTTTAACACATTATTTATCATTATTGTTTATTATTATTACTATTACATTTAAATTACTATAACAATACAAATTAATTAAGCAAAAAAATAATAATAACTAAATTTAAAATAAAACAATAAGAAGTTAATTCAAGTAATACTGTATTATATATGAAAAATATCGATAAAACAATACAATCAAGAATTGTTAAATGTCGTGACTCTTTACTTTTACAAAACTGTTTCAATCAATTGATTGCATGGTTTGCATCAATTCACGGGATGTTATTATTAAAGTATTATTATTATTATTAATATTATTTCTATTTCATATATATGTATATATAAATGAATCACACATTTCGCTATTATGTAATACAAATGAGTTCAATCCTAACATAACATAAGCGTAACTCAAATATATATAAATATAAAACAAAACAAAAATGCAATCAAAGAATATATTATATTATTGGACTTAAATATAAATACCTTAAGTTATTTAAACTAATAGTTGATATATCGATGCCATCAATGGTAATATTTCCTTCTTCTACGTTAACCAATCGGAATAAGACTTGAAATAAACTGGATTTGCCGGAACCGGTACGTCCTTAATATTATTATTATTGGTAATACAATATGCGATGTATTATACAAACAAATATCGGCGATAAAAAAATACAAATAAAAGCACAACAAATAAAAAAAAAGAAATAAAAACAAATTGAGTGGTCTGTTGGCTGTTTGTGATGTGTATGTGCTTTACTTACCAACGATTCCTATCTTTTCAAAGGGCTTTGTACTGAAGGAAACCTTATTTAAGGCACGTTTCAGGTCCGGGCGATAACGCATCGATACGTTACTAAAGCGAACAATACTATTGTTTGGCCAGTTATTATCAACAACAACACGACGATTGTCGACATTATCATTATTATCTTCATCGTTATCAATGGATCCGTTATCCACATTGTCTTCTTCGCATTCAATATTATCAATGTATTGCATAACTCGTTCAACTGAAACCATTTCCATCTCTGTCTGTGTGAATGACTGAACGGCTCCATTCAATAGTCCCGTTACTGATAACGAGTAGACTAATGCTAAACCAACTAAACCAGAGTCGACTATCTGTTCGGACCAGAAATGCAGACTAACGGCCAGTAGTGCCACACCCGACGATACTATTGCTCCCAATATCTGTAGGCGAAGATTTAGCCACTGTTGGACTGCAGCCGTCGAGTATTGAATTTTGTTATTTATATCTAACTTTAGGTACATTTCGCGCATAAATCTATATATTTAATTTTAATTAATAATTAAAGCTCTTTTTATTTAAGTTTACTTATATAATATTAAGTTTAAATTTTTAGACAATAACAACATATGTAAATTATATTTATTTAGATTGTCTGCATAATTTTAACATTATTTAAAATTTAAAAGTAAATAAACTTTATATACTAAAATTATTAATAATTTAATATTATATAAATATTTACAATACCTGTTAATGTTAGCATAGGCTCGAATTGTGATTAGTCCTTGAAGTGTTTCATCTAACTGTATGATAATATTAATAATAATACACACATTAATTCAATTTTTTAATATATTTGAATAATAAATATATTAAATGCAAAAAAAATCATTTACAATATATAAATCACTTTCAAAATCAAATTATAACGTAATTATCATTAAAAAAAACAATAAACTAAAAAACCTGTGTATAAATAGGTGAAAGAGATACGGCTGACAGTCGCTTAAGTTCCCGTGAAGTCCAACGATAATAGCGCTAAATATTTTTATTTTTTTTCATAGAAAACATTAATTGACTTCTCATTAAAAAAAAGTCATAAATAAAAAATCATAATTTGCTTACTTGAATATAATAATAGGGAACAGATAGTGGAATAATCATTAGTGCAATCCATGGCAAGCCATAGACTGTGATGACTATAGATGCTAACAGACTAAATAATTGACTCAAAAAAATATTCAAATTAAATGGTAAATTGTCGTCGATATTGAAGACATCAGTGGAAAATCTGTTGATAATACGACCAAAAGCCGTCACATCGAAGAACACAATTCTGGCGGTGAAAATCTTTTTCAATAATGACGAATGAAGTCTCAGAGCTGCCATCACTCCGCTGTAAGCGAAGACAAAAGATCGGATCAGCGTTAGGACTGAGTTTAGGACAGCAATACATATAAAGATAATTAAATAGTTGATCGACGATTTAGAGCTCATATCTGTATTATTTGATGTCCAAAATGCTAGCCAACAGTCCGATGCGCTTTTCGATGCTTGCATTAGACCTATAGATATTAATACCAAAGCTGACAGATAGGGACCGACTGATCGCATATAAGTTAAATAAACGGCAAACTTGACGACTCCTTCTTCACGTTCTTCTTCTTTGATTCTAAACTCAAATTCATTGTCGATATTCGTCGCATTCATTTGTTCTTCAAATGGTTTCTCTTCATCTTTTGATAGTTTTTTCATTTTACCGGTAGTAATGATATCCTGTGGTAAACCCGACGCCATTACTTGTCCGGAGTCTAACTTTAGGATCAAATCTGCTTTCATCAGATAATTTTGGTGATGAGTGCATACAATCTTTGTTTTGTCACCTAAAAGACCTAATATGCACTTATTGTAGATAACTTTTGCCACATGCATGTCAACACTGGCGAACGGATCATCAATAAAATAAATATCAAAATTCTGATACACGGCTCTGGCCAATGATATTCGGGCCTTTTGTCCACCAGAAAGTGTTACTCCGCGATCACCAATCTCTGTAAGATCACCATCAGTGAAGGTCTATAAATAATAGCAAATCATTTTTTATAAATATAAAAACAAAATCATAATAATATTAAAATCACATTAATATCATCGATGAGAGCACAGGCATCGAGAACAGCATTATATCGTTGGGCGTCATATGGTTTGCCAAACAATATATTCTCCATAAAAGTTGTATTTTGAATCCATGGCTCCTGTGTTACAATACCAACGCCGGCGTCAAAATCACTTTTATTGATCCCAAGTTTACCAGTAATCCTCTGGACCTCTCCCAACAGTGCTGTTAACAGTTGGCTCTTTCCAGAACCAACTTTCCCTTTGAGAGTACAAATGATAAAATCAATTACCACTGATTTCTGTTTTTTTTTTAATGTAAACTAAAATTTATGTCAACCAACCAATTACGCCGACAAACATTCCAGTTGTAAGAGTGAAATCAATTGGTCCCAAAACAAAACGATATGATATATCTCTTTTGCGACTCGAATCAGATGAAGCAAACGTTGCGCCCATTGCTTGTACTTTGAAATTACTGTCAGCAATCGGATGGTTGTAATGTTGATTCAAATCTAACGGATCCAAATCAAATAGTTTTTGTAACCTCTTAATTGATACCCACGACTCCATCAGACCATTTAAAACCCAAGGAAAGGCATTCAATGGCATAATAAGCATTGATAGTAATGCCAGACTAGTAAAAACAACCGGTGCTGTCAGCTGACCGTTGAGTAAAACAAATGTTCCGAAAACAAGTGACGATATTAGTACCGGTGTTGTCGCCCAAAAGTATACACAGAAGGCATCCAAATATTTTCTTCCCTTAAGATATTTGAGCTCTTGTTCTCTCAGATGAATAACTCTTTGGCGAAACAGTGGTTCCCAGGCATGCATTTTAATGACACGAATGCCCATCAAGATTTCGCTCATCAATTTGATTCGTTTGTCTTTCCAGTCCATCATTTTGGTGCTCAACTCTGCAATCTTATTACAGATACACCGGTTGATTGGTATCAATACAATGGCAAACACAACACCGGTAACAAATGCTAAGCCTAACTGTACGTACAGTAAGTATAGGGTGACCGACAACTGAATGGGTAGACTAATGAACTGCAAGAGTGACGGACAAAAGTTGACCACACGGTCGGTGTCGGTGCTCGCAAAGTTCAATACTTCACCAGTACTGAAACGACTGTCCAAAGTGTTGGAACGGACGATAAATATTTTACTGTAAATTGATGTAAGTATTGAGCTTCGGATCTTCAGCGTAATGTTATTGATATAAAAGTTAAACAAACTGATGGCCATCGATGACAATAGTGAACATAAGAATAATACCAGCGAGTAATAGAAACCATCGTAACTGTCGTGATCACCACTTTCCAGATACTGAACCACACGATTCAGTAGTAATGGACCGGCAAATGAAAACAAATCACTGAAGAACTTTAGGAAACCGACTCCTAGTAACTCAAAACCGTAACATTTGAGCAATGATTTGATTAGTGAACGACTTTTTTGTCTAACAATTACTACATTGTTATCATTATCATTGGTGGTAATATCACTTAATGGATTCAATTCAAATATTGTCTCAAACTTTTGCGAAACATTTTTCGACTTTAAATCATTGGGAAGTCTGAACAGATCGTTGTGTGAACTAATCTTCTTTTCGATTCCTCTTTTCATCAGTGGTGACACCCACTGGAGTGTCAGCTTTGAAATAATATCTACCATTTCTTCGTTGATCAACTGATTATCAATGGTATCGCAAGTGATGGATAGACTTGATATTTGATCGTTTCGGTCAATCAAAACTCTTTCATCTTCATTGGTCATCAACTTTTGCGAACTCAACACATTCAATGCCAAATAGATTATCCATAAGATTAAGACAATTGTATAGCAAACCAATTGGTGATATGTATGTAAATCTTTGACAACAAACGTATAGATTTGATTGACATTTACAAAGATAATCAAAATGACTGTTACGTCAAATGCAATGCACACTGACTTAGATTTTGGCCGATAATGGCTATTCAGACATGATATAAGACTAAATAGATGTATGAAAATTGCAGTTATCTGTACAGTGGTTGACATATAGACAGCAGTGGTTAGAGTTGAGTGCAATGTTGTTACTAAAGAGTCGGCCGAAACAATCAATAATATCAGGCAAACAATTGCGGCCCGAAATCTCATCAATCGCCGCAATGATTGGTCAAATGGCACACCGGTATGCCTGATACCGGATATCCATCCCGTTAGCAGTGATGACAATATGGTCAACAAGACATATATTGGCCAAACAATGACCAGATTGTTGAAACAATCGTTGAGATACCAATTGCCACCGTCATCGCCGGCGGTACGGTTTAACACTGACCAATGAGTTTCATTGCATAATAAACTTAATAATCTCATTGTTCTTCAGTGTTCAGTCAGTTTGAGGTCCACAAGATCTTCATCTGAGTCATCAATCACGGGATTTGAGACATAAAAATCAATCAATAGATGTATGGATCTGTTGACAGCTTTATTATCGCTTGACATACGATATCATTCATAACAATAAAAACAATGATTACATCAATGTTTACATTACTTTCAATGTTTTCAAAACATGTGTTCAAAACAATCACGTGATGTCTAATACTGTTGTAGTGATGAACACATGTCTGCAAAAAATGTGTGAATTATTTTTGAATTAAATAAAATGTAAATTAATTATACCTTTAATTAGTTATTAAAAATAATTTTGAAAATATCATATTATTAATGCAAATGTCTCGTCAAAAAAGTAAAGTGATTGTCAATCGCAGTGTTTCCAGCGATGAAGAAGAAGACATGGACTCAGATGTCGATCCAAAAGATCTCGATTTGGATGACATTATCGAGGATTCAGACGACTTGAATGAAGATGATGCCAAAGATTTGGCATCCGAGAGGACATCCAACATTGGATGGGCTGACGCTATCAACAAAGTACTGGCCGTTAAGCCAAAGAACAAGTCGTTTATTATGTCAAAAGCCAAGAAAGATAAAGACCTCAAAAGAAAAGACGACGACAAAGAAGATAACGTCGAGATAGTCAATAAAGACGGAACTGTTGTCAAAAGTGATGATAACAACGAAACATCAAAGAAAAAAATGAAGAAAACTAATGAAACAAATGCTGAGAAGTTATCGAAGCTCAGCAAAACCCAGTGGGAAACGATGGGTAGACTTAAACCGACACTCGAGGACTGGGAACGCGAACGTAGGCTGTGCTCGATTGCCACCAAAGGTGTCGTCCAATTGTTTAATGCCGTACGCGAACAGCAAAAGACTATCGATAGAGATGTCCGAGAAGTTGGTTCTTCGGAAACCAGAAGAGATAGAGTGATAAATAAATACAATAAAAATCAATTTCTTGACAAACTTAAGGAAAAACAAAAGAAAGATAAAGTAATTATAATTTGTTTTCAATTTTTATTATTCAAAAGTTATGTCTAAAATATATTATTTTGTTATCTTTCAGACCAATGATAGCAAAGAGTCCGATAAGAAGGAAGAGAAGACATGGAAAGTCTTGAGGGATGACTTCATGATCGGCGCAAAGATGAAGGATTGGGACAAACAAAGCGATTCTGAAGAGGAAGACATTATCGACTAAAATATTAATAATAAAATATCATTTGACGCGAAAACAACGAAAAAACAATTGTTTTTCTTTTTTCTCATTAAATTATTTTTATATATCACTAATATTGTGTATTATTTATTTATACAATAATATTAATATTAATTTTATTTATTTGATTAGCAATTAGTGAACTAATGATATTTAACAACAAATTTAGTTATTATATAATAACTAATAAATTTATTGTACTGTACTATACATAATACTATTTGTATATTTTGCATGTAATTTATGTTTTTTTAAAACTGCAAAAAAAATATTTAATTTAAAAAAAGGAAAAAAATATTAATAGATAAATATTTAACTGATCTAACACACAATTGTCGACTCCATTGTCAATAGTCACAAGTATTGCCAGATGTATAATTGTTTTTACTGTAGTTTACTGTGATTTTTTCATGGCTTCTATCCTAAAGTAAGTATAAACATTGGATGGCAGACACAGCTGTGATTTAAAGACAGCTATTAGAGCCAACAAACACTGTGTGTGTGTGTAATGCAGTGAAGACATACATTCAGTACATTGTATATAATGATTGAGTGCATTGACTCTCTCTCTCTCTCAATATTTATACAATGACTGACTGACTGTTGTATTGAAAATCCAATAAAATGTCTACTTTTTGATTGAAGAGTTGTTTTTTAATTGATGTCAACAAACAAATAGTTTTTGGGAAGTGATTGAAGAGTAGTCGACACACGAATATAACAGACGATGCAATTAATAATCCGAGACTAGAAGTATCACTTGAATCGGATCCCATTTTTTATCCGACAGTTTGAGTGCCAAAAAAATCGCCGCCAAATGAATGGCCAATCAATACGACTACCATTTGTTTTGTTGACCTGATTTCGGTTTTTTTTGTTTGTTGTGGACACATATCGGTGGTAACGGAGTGATCCATAATTGCTACCAATCTGTAGGACACAACAACACTAACATAATATGGGTGCCAATCATTCGTCTCAAATGTCTTCGGGCAGTTCAACAGTAACAGTGCCATCGCTGAACTCGACATCGCAGGAGACGGTCAACTCGTGGACCTCATACTCGGACAACAATAGCGGTACGGGTAGTCATAGTACACTGACCGACGGTTCGATGAACAGTGTAATGCCGATCAAAGAAAAGAAACGCAAAAACTTGTCCTCATTGGCCACTCTTCGCAAACGATTGGTTCGCAAACGTCGTACGAGTCGATCCTTTGATCACTCGCAAGCTCTTCGAGATTTCATATCTTCGTGGAGTACCAGAGATATTAAACAACTGTGTGAAGAGTACGAATGCACCGGTTTGTTAAAAGAGTTGTCACTGTTAGCCGAAAGTGCCCGACCGCTGGCCTCGACCGCACAAAACGACTTTTGCGAGTTATTTGACTTCAAATATTGTTCAGATATTACTCTCGTCTATAAAGGCGTCCAATTCCCGGTTCACAAAGCAATTGTTTGCGTACGTTGTCCAGCCTTTCGTGAGCTGTTAGGCAAAAAACCGCCGGGAAGTTATGTAACGGTTAACTTAGACATAACTGGCCTTAGAGTTGAACTATTCCACGATTTGTTACGATATCTCTATTCAGGGGAGTTGTCCGGTAGTTACGATCCGCGAAACAATTACGATGTATTGCTTCGTATTAGCGAACAGTGCGGAGTTCCCAATCCGTTGGCCTATGACTTAAAACATCTCTTGGAAACTGGTCTATACAGTGACGCCTCACTGCTGTTTTCGCCACAACAACACCACAGAGATTGTTCACAACAACCAGTAAAGAAGTGTCGGGCCTGTAGCGACCAAAACGAATATTCATGCCATCGAGCAATACTAGCCGCTCGATCGCCGTTTTTTCGATCAGTAATCCAACGACAGGAGCGTCGAAAAGCCGAAACCAGTGATCCGAATACCGTCTTACACGCCAATCAACGAACAAAGATTTTATTGGACGAAAGTATTATTCCGCGACGGTATGCAAGAGTATTATTGCATGTCATGTACAGAGACGCCGCCGAATTGCACCATCTTTTGCAATCGTGTGTCTGTAAGTGTGTTAATGAAGTGAATATCATCGGAACCAATACTGCCAGCGCTACGAACAACAACTCGAACACAGTCTCAACATTGGTTTTGGTCAAAGAGGTGATGGATTTGTACGAAATCGCACGCTTTCTTGAGCTCGACTTTCTCGTACAAAGCTGTGAAGATTTACTCATCGATTCGTTATCATTGGATTCATTGTTAATGATATTGAAGTGGTCGGAACAGCCACATGGCTCGCCGTGGGTCAAGCGTCAGGCACTCTGTTTTATGCGCGAAGAGTTTTCATCAATTGTTTCATCAGCGCTATTATGTCAGTTAGAGTTATCACATTTGATTGAAGCACTGAAATCAGACTTTTTGAATGCCAGCGAACTCGAGGTCTTACAGGCAGTTATCAAATGGGGTGAGAATCGGTTAATGAAGCGAATGGAGGAACGGGAGCCAAATGTTGTGTCAAACACTGCTCATAGTTTACGTCGAGGTATCCGTAAGAAAGAGCTAAATGATACGGAACTTCGGGACATAATATCTGAACTAATTTGTCACGTACGAGTGGTGCATATATTACCACTGGACAGTGATATATTGACCAATGCAGCTAAAAGAGGACTCATTAGTACACTACCACCCTATATGGTCGGTGAAGATTCAGTATTGCCCCAATCACGCGGTATAGCTGCTTGGTTTAGAGGTCGAGGTACGGGACCTTTTATCAGACCGCGTTATTTTACTCCGTATGTCGAAGAAGCTAAAGCATTGCTTGACGACCGAATTGGCAGACAGGGAGAGATTGTTTCCAATCGGGTTTCCCGACAGATATCGCACATTCCCGATGCGCTCTATATGTTGGATAAGACAAACAATACTGTGTCACCAATGAATGACGTGTTTCTTGGCTCCGATCACTACCATCTTTGCATATCATCATCATCTTCATCGTCGGCCGTATGCTATGAAGACATACACGAAGCCGGTTCAAGACCTCAAATGCCTATTCTTGAAGACAGAGTTGTTGTATTAATGAAACAACGAGAACAAGAACTGAAAGGTTTACCATTAAGTCAAAGAGCACTGGCATTGGTTTCCAATCGATGCGAAGCTCTAAGGCTTATACAGCTTCGTGTGTGCCGTGAGTTTGGTCTTCCGGATGCCGCTTCTGATGTATTACACGGAAACAATTATTCAATGCCTGTTCTGGAAGGACCTGACGATGGCATTTCTCGTCTTTCATATGTTGCTCCCAGTGAAGTCGGCTCATTAAGTATACCGCCACCACCGAGACCACTGACCAGCAATTTATCCGGTATAACCACCACTGTATTGAATGAGGACAGGGATCTCTACAGTACGTTCAGTGAACTTAAATTGGAAAGTTCTGTACCACGTTTGGCTCATTTCGATTTAGAGTCACAGGTATGTGTCAATTGAATAATTTAATTGTTTTTTAATTTTTAATTAAATGCTTGATATTTAGTTATTAACAATTATTTTGTTTGTCTATAGTTTTCAAGCAATGAATCCCGTCATACGCTTAGCGATCTGATCCCCGACATAGCTATCGCAACGACAACTGCCATCGAAGAGTTCCAATTGGCTCAACGATCGGCTGATTCAATGGATCTTAAAAGAGATATAGAGTCCGAAAGACCACGTTTTGTATGATTAAAGAAAATATAATAATTGTCTCAAATATATGATATATTATTATACTATATTTTGTCCATTGATTGTCAAAAAACAAACAAAAAGCTGTTATCTTTCTGAACCCTTGTTTTTATTGCATTCCTTTTCGACACTAAGTTATCGTTTTTGAAACTTAGATATAATGTTATTATTATTACTGTATATTAATATTAAATGAATAAAAATATTAGAAATTTTTTGAATTATTAAATTTATATTATTTAAACAAACAATTATATATATATATATATATATATATATATATAATTTATATTACATTGTATTTAATAAACTATTTACAATAAATTTTGACCTTTATTTTAATTGACACAATAAAGTCTTAATAATTGATACAAATATTTATTATTTTTGTTTTGTGGACGATTTTATCGCTTATTTTGTTTTATATTTATTTATTTTTCTGTTTGTATAATACACACGATAACGGAATATATGTAGCGATAAGATAATAGCGATTTAGTCTAACTTTTTATTATCAAATATGCTTAAAACGGTTTATATTTTATTATTTTTTGTTTGTAGCAAAAAAAATATTTCAACGATAATCTCATGGAAAAGTAGTAATATTTTAATGAGTCATAAATTTACTCTGGGTATAATAAATAAATTTAAATGCTATTGTAATGACCCAAACTTTATAATAATACAATTGCAAATTCAAATAGTTTTTATTTATTTATTTAGTTTTTTAATTATTTTTTTAATAATAATAAATATTTTGTTGATGACCTGTTTATTATGGTTTTAATTTGAAAATTTTAGAAAATTTAAACACAGTTCTAATTAATTTTAGTATTTTTGTTATTGAATAAAATAACATTTTAGCTATTTTTTTATTATTGTTAATATTAAAATATATTTTTAAAATAACATTTTTTTGAGGAATTTTTCTGATAAAACTTAAGTAAATAAATAAAATTAAAAAATATTTAATATTAATTGACTTAAAAAAACAAAAAATCGGTTTTTGCACTCATTTTATGGGCAACTAATAAATTATTTATTTATGATATTATTTGCATTTTTATACACTTTAATAATAATTTTCTTACTAAACAAGACAGTAATATATTAAAAATAAATAAATATATAAAAATAAAAACTATTAAAAAAATGTTTTGCACACTTATTTTTTTAGTTATTTGTGTTATAATAATTATTTGATGTTATATAATCATGAACTTGTAAACCCAGTATTCAAACAGTTAAATAGCAAAAAAATAATAATATTATTGCTATAAAAAGCAAAATACGTGCAAAAATTGTTTTTATTATTATTATTATTTGTTATAATAATAATTTTAATTAGCTATGATTCACTTATCCATAATCTAATTCACATGAGTTGATAATACTGTATATTGTATATAATATAATATATATATATATATATATATTTGCAGTACTTATATAACTTTATTTTTGTTTGAATTAGCATTATTGCATCAAGGTCTATTTGTTTATTGTCATAAATGTATGTTAGCCGGCTAAATTGACAACTAAAATATAAATATATATATATATATATATATATATATATATATATATATATATTTAAGATAATAAAATTATCAGCGATTTTACAATTACAGTAACCATACAATTGTATGTACAGTATATTGTGTGGAATTAATTATATTTTTTAAATATACCATATGTTGACAACTATTATAATCAGTTTTCTATTAATTAGTATTTTGTATATTACTGTAAGAATATGTATATAAATGTATATATGTTTCACTTTTTTGATCACAAAGATTACAAGTCATTATAATATAATAATAAATTATAATAATATAAATAATGAAATAAAATATAATTTATTGTAATATTATTACCGGTAATTATAAACTATAATATCAAATAGGTTTATTGATATTATTAATAAATACAGTACATATCGTAATCATTGTATTTTTTTATAAAAAAAACTATTGAATCACTGAAATAAAATATCAAATTTTATAAATAATAATAAATATTAAATTTTATACTTGTATATAAATATATATACAAAGTAATGGTAGATTTTATTTATAGAAACATTTTACTAATAACTTATTATATGATATTGTAGTAGAAAAATGTATTAAATATTAGCAATTTTTTATATATAAATATTCTTGTAGTTATGTGTGTGTGCATTGAATAATAATTAATGCTGTATACGATAAATTAGTTTTGAAATTTAAAAAAATAATAATAATTACTTAACAAAATAACGCACAAAATTATAATAATAATAATGATGATGAAAAATATTCAAAACAATAAACAGGATTTTTGCTTTTTTTAGTTGGATGAAAACAAAATTTTAACATTAAAAACTAGTAATAATTTATTAGTTAAATGTATATTTATAAAAAAAAATAGTAACTATAATTTATTCATCAAAATGATAAAATACTGTACTAACAAACAAAACAATTTAGCATGCTAAATAATAGTATTTATTTTTTTTTAATCAACTAAAATTAATTGGTGTCAAAAAACTTCAAATCAATGCTAAAATTTATTATCTGTTAACTACATTATTGCATGCAATTTACAGTAAATTTTGTCAAGAAATAATAATAATAAAAAAAACTAATATAAATATAATTTAACAGTTATATATCAATAGACCATTAATAATAATAATAATAATAATAGCAATAACAACAACATTATGATGATGAAGCTGTCACTAAATGGTAATAATATTTATACAATTATTATTAATAATACAAAAAAAAATTGTTCACAAAAAGTTGTTAAATAATTTGTAAGCATTTATTTTCCTCCAACAACTACAGTGCAGTATAATGTTTATACAGTATTTTATATTAATATATAATAAGTTTATGATTTATGAAAACGTCTACTAATATAAATTTACAGTTAAAAATAATGTAGTGTTAAAACTTATTACAAGTATATAATAAAATCTAAATGTTTTATGAATGTTATGGGTGTTGTTTATAACAGAAAAAACATATAAAAAGAAAAATTAAACAAAAAAAGTCTATTAACTAATATACTTTTCCTTGAAAAACTGTTGGGTCCACTACTACCTAATGACCAGTTCCCTACACAACATATGCTAACTACAGTACATATATAATCTAACCATAATCTCAATGTGTTTTTTTGTTTTGTTAGTTTGCCTTAAAACAGTGCATTTATTAAAACACATACATAATTAACTCTCTCTCTCTCTCTCTCTCTCTCTCTCTCTCTCACTCTAACTGTTTGTGTGCCGTCTCTATGAACTTCACATACAATTTCTCATTGGTTTCTATGGGTAGTCCTCTCGAAATAAGAGTCACTGTATTGTAATGTAATGTATTGTATTGTATGTGTGTATCGACTGTTCAGTAAACTGTAAGGCATTGAGCGTTGACTATGTTTATGATGTGTGAGTCACACAACACATACAACACATTCACTCTCACAACACATTCTATGCATTGATTTTGACTTTAATTTTCTCACTTTTGTTGTCATTATATTTTGTGTTGTATTTTATGATTTTTGTTTTGTTTTTTTGTTTGTTTGAGTCTATCATATCATATATCAACCATTTATTAATTGTTGTTGTGTTTAGTCTTCAAACAACTGTGTGGTGTTGTCTTCAAAAAAATATTGATCAAACATCTTAGCCATTAATTTACATTATTATTATTAATATATTTACAACTATAATATATGTTACCAATTGATCCAAACAAATGCCAACAAAGTTTTGTGGATTCAATCATTGAGTTATTGTTTGCATTGTTTAAAGTTTAAGATAATGTGATTTTTGTTTGTTTAATGGGTTTATTATCGTTTGATTTTCTCTTCAACTACACGACCATCACTACTATCATTGGACACCATGAATGGCAACAACAACAACAACAACAGTAGCAATCAAACCAATGGCAATATAGGTATTGGCAATATCACCAGCAATGGTCCCAAAAAGATCATCAGAAATCTGGCCCTCAAACGTATCAAAGAAGTTATCAATATTGACAACAAGGTATCTATTAAGTTATATATTTATATATAGTTATGATATCACCACTACTTTTAAGTTAACACTAGAGTTAAGTTAAGTGATGGGTTAAACTTAAAGTAATAGTTTTTTGTTTGTTTGTTGTTTTTATCAGTTATTCAAATGAAGTATCAAATGATATAACATGTGTGACATATAGACTGCTATCCTATGAAATGTCATTTATTATCAATCAATGTCTAAATTATGATAGACTATAAAGAAATGTCTGTCTGTTTTTTCTCCTCTCTTTCTTTCACTCACTCATTGACTTTCATTTTATTATGTTTTGGTCACCACTAACCACCTGCAGACACAACAGTAGTCCTCCTCCTTCTACTTTAGTGGTGTTTGTGTGTATATACATGTCTCTCACCCTTTCATTCACAACTGTATATATCATATATTAATATATTGAGTGACACGACTGGTCCTTACAGTTCATTCACACAGCAATTCACAGACATTTTCATTAAAAAACATTTCAAAAAACTTTTTTATTATTATATTATATTATTATTATTATTGCTTCAAATGAAATGTTTGTTTCAGTCAAATAAAAATTTACTACTTTTTCTGTCTAATTTTCTAAACACACTATTAATCCAATTAATTATCAATAGTTTCAAATCACTGCTACAGTATGTGCTGTAGTAGTAGTAATAGTAAACTAGTCGATTGAATGCAATTTTTTTTAAATAAATAAATATATTTTGGTTACACATTATTAAAGCAACCACTGAATTGATGCTTTTATGTTAGTGTTAAAATTAGCTGATGAGCTGTTTTCACAAACATTTATGTAATAATATATAAATTAAAAAAAAATATTAAATATGAATTATATATATATATATGATATATGAGAGTCGTAGCGCCGTTTTTTGTTAGCCCATAGCAAATGTTTTTAACTGGTTTTTTGTTATTTTATAGCTTACACAATATATTTTATATGTTTTATATACCAGTTTTGCCAAAACATGTATTAAATTCTTGAACACAAAACTTTTCATAACATATATATATATTATTTTATTCAAGTGTTTGCCGTCAGTCATACTTTTATAAACCATAGTTATGAAAGAGAGACTGAGTTGACTTCATATACCTTCATAATACATACCTAACCTCCTCAGTGTTGTGTTGTGTAAAGCGTGGCAAACAACTAAGCAAATGATGGTTTAACAGTGCTGTCAAACAGACATTTATTATTATTATTATTTCTTTAGATTTTTCTCTCATGATTTTGTGGTCTGTTTTTTATTGAGTTATTGTTGTTATTATTATTATATATTTTTTGTTGATATCAATTAAATTTTTTATTAGTCAAACAAATGAATAATTTAACTAATAGTAATAATAATAATAACAATCACAACAGTGATTTCGTCAAATTATTAAAGGTATGCAAAAATATATTGTTATTGAATTGTCATTTGATATACAGTATTATTTTGAGTAAATTATATCTAATTAATCATTGATTTATTTTTTGTGTATAAAATTAATAATAGAAATAAGTTATGTGTAGTTTATTTTGTTTTAATTTAACAAAATTGTCAATAATAATGAATCGATTGCTTGATAATTAATAATAACAATAATAAACTAAATATTGTTAATTCATGTAATATTTTATTTTTGTTTAGTCATATAGATTGTCAAGTCATCAATGATGATAATAATGATGATATCAATATATTAATTTTAATGTGATTGTTAAACAGATTAATTGATATTTATTAGAAGTTAATTTTAATTTATTAGGAGTTTATTATTAGTTCCTATTTTGAAATAATTTTTTAAAGAGTTAATTACACCGAAAAATATTTATAATATATTATTATATTAAATTATTCATATTCTGTGTGTGTGTCTATAGATATAATTGATTGTTGTTTTTTAATAGACAAGTTTTACGTCTATAGTTTACAAATATTTTGTATAATATAGTTATTAACAATATTTTCTTAGAAATTTCTTAATTAAGGAATTTTATTTTTGTGTATATTTTTTACAAATTGTCAAAATATTATTTTTTATATATCAGTCCATATTTAGGTTTGAATAATATTCACAATTAACTTTTCTATATAAATATATAAAATATATTTTGTGTGTAATATAAAAGATATGATCTAAATATTAATTGACTTCCAGTTCAATGTCGATCACAATCAACATTTTTGATCAAAACTTTGTGGGAGTATTATGTTGTTATTGTGACTGACAATCAAATCACACGACAAATTTATATATTAATACATAAATTATATTTAATGTATTTTGAGTTTATATAAAAAAAAATGTTAACATTCAAATTATGTTTAATTTAATATAAAGTAATAATGCTTAATAAAATACAGATTTACTATAAAGTGTATTCAATATTACTGTATTTGAATAATATTACAATATATTAAATTAAATAAAACACTTATTATTAAAAACTTATTAATCAGTAAAAGATAAATAACACATCTATTAAAACATGTATTCACACGCAAGTAAATGTCCTGTAAAATTGTTTTCATTAGATTTTTCTTATTGTTTAAATAATTTTTTTTAATATAATATATATATATAAAGTTTTATATCGATATTATACTGTATGATAATACTGTAATTTTCAAACAATATAAAGCACTTGTATTTATTTCTCTTTCTCTAAACACCTGTTGTTATCAATTTTTTATCAACACAATAGGCACTCGTGTGTTATATAAGGGTTATTATAAATTACTTTTGATTTTTAAAGAAATTATACGTTAATTAATGATATTGTTTTGTAAAAATTTTATATTGTTTTATAGTTGTTGATAATTGTAAACAAAAATTATTTTTTAAAACTTGATAAATATATGGAAGTCAAGAAAACAAAAGTTTTATTGCATTCAAAACAGTTAGACAAATGGTATATAAATTATAATTATTTTATATAAAAGTAATCTATTGATAGTGTTATTTATATTATTAAGTTTGTGTCAAAAATTTATTTTATGGTTATCTCTTAATATGGGAAATGAAAACAATTTATTATTTATTAATATTATTATAACATTTTAAGTGTCTCATGAACTTATTAATTATGGATTTAACATCAATTATAATAATGTATAGTTGAAATAAAAATGAAAAGCGAAAATAATTTCAAAAAAGCGTTTATTATTTATTACTAAAAAAGACATTGAATTATAGATTTATTATAACAATAATAATAAAAATAATTGTAATTTGTTTTTTAGGTGAAACTCGATAGAGTGCTTGGATTTACCATATCAGGCAATGTAGCACTTGATTGTGACCCATCATCTAATTGTATTGTATATCCAGCCGGGTATGTCATTTTTATAACTGTTTTATTATTTATGAAACTTTTATTTATTTATATTTCTAAATCTTTCGGTTGTAACTAAATAATACTGACTTTTATATATAATCTACTAATTATTATTTCCTTTTATTTTTTTAACCCATGATTTGCATAATATTTGAAATATGCATATAATTTCAATTGAAAATATTTGTACAAAAAATTAAATAAAACTAAACTTTTATTTATTTTTTAAATATTAGTTGTGTTTTAGTTGTGTATAACATCCGCCGCAACAAACAAATACATACCATTAATACTTGTAAAAAGCCGATCACAGCCACAAAATTTTCAAACGATGGCAAATATATTGTTACCGGAGAGGTATTTAACAATCATTTTAATATATCTTTTTTAAGATTATCGGTAATATTATTTTTTAAATAATTTTTTTTTCTAATTAGTGCGGGCATCAGCCACACGTACGTGTGTGGGACGCCTCCACATGTGAACAGGTGGCAGCTTTTGCTGGACACAAGTTTGGCATCAATTGTGTGGTATGTATTTAGAGACAACAACATTATCGGTAACCTTACCCCTAATCTCTGCATTTTAAAGGCATTTTCGCCGAACAACAAATATGTTGTATCTGTCGGATCACAACACGATATGATAGTGAATGTCTGGGACTGGAAGAATAATCTGAAAATTGCCTCCAATAAGATCTCCTGCAAAGTAAAGGCACTGTCCTTTTCCAGTAATGGCCAGTATTTTGTTACTGTTGGCAATAGACACGTAAAGTTCTGGTTAGTTATATGCCATTAATCTTGAAATTTGCTAAAATAGATGTTTAACTATATTTTTATTTGATTTTTGAACAGGTATTTGGAGTATTCAAAGTCACCGCGAAATAAATTTGAATCGTTGCCATTGATGGGCCGGTCAGCCATTTTAGGAGATCAGCGCAATAATTATTTCTGTGATGTCGCCTGTGGTCGGGGGCAGATGTCCGACTCGACCTATTCTATCACCAAATCTGGTTTATTGTGCGAATTCAATAACCGAAGACTTCTCGATAAATGGGTTGAACTTAGGGTATGACTATTATTGTATTTAAAATAAATTAAAATTTTATTTATTTAACAAAAAATATCTAATTATTTGTTAAACACAGACAACGAGTGCCAATTGTATCAGTATTAGTGATGAATTGATTTGTGTGGGATGTGCTCAGGGAATTGTCAGATGTTTTGATCCTAAAAATTTACATTTCATATGCACATTACCCCGACCGCACACATTGGGCATTGATATTGCCCGTGGATTTACTAGAAAGTGAGACACAATTTATTTATAAACTGTTCATAAGTTAATAATATTTTTGTTTATTTAAAAAACAGCGATTTAAGTTCGGGTTCATCGGCCAATTCTAACGCCAAATATGCCGATACAATAGCCGTAGCGTTAGATCAGACCAACCAAGTAGTTACTTGTGTTTACGGTGACCGTAGTATTTATTTTTGGACAATTTCCAAGTATAATACATTTTTTAATGAAATTAATTAAAACAACAAAATTATTACCGGAATTATTAATTAAATGCATATTTTGTTTGTTTTTGTTTTTAATTTAAAGTATAAAGAAAATTGGAAAATTACATTCATTTTTATATCACTCAAGTTGTATTTGGGCCATAGAGGTACTACCCGTACTACTGATCTATTAATTTGTTTTTTATTACTCTTAATTAATTACAAATTTTTATTTTAAATGTTTATATATTTATATAGACTTATCCTAATGTTAGCAATGGTGCCAAACAATTGTTACCTTCGGGTACATTCCTTACCTGTTCATCGGATGATACGATACGCATATGGAATCTAAATGTTATTAAAGGCTCTCAAGAATCTAATTATGTTTATAAAAGAAATATTTTTAGTCCCGAATTGTTGAAAATATTATATATGGATCCAGAAATGTCATATATATGCGACATTGATGTCAATCCTAATGATAGCAATGAAAAATCTGATACAACCTATGATGGAAAAAACGGTGTCCGATCGTTGAAACTATCACCCGATGCCAGACATTTGGCTTCTGGCGATCGTTCGGGTAATATACGAATCTTTGATTTAGACCTACAGCAAGACTTGTGCAAAATCGAAGCCCACGACTCGGAAGTACTGTGTCTCGAGTACTCTGATGAACACAATTTTGGTGGCAAATCATTGTTGGCTTCGGCCAGTCGAGACCGACTCATACATATCTTTGATGTTAGACAACAGTATTCATTTGTACAAACAATGGACGATCATTCGTCATCGATAACTGCTGTAAAATTTGTCTGCAATAGAGAACAAAAAAATCTACAAATGATTAGCTGTGGAGCCGATAAATCTGTGATATTTAGAAAAGGTGTTGATATTAATGGACAGTCATTTAATTTTGTTAGAGAACATCATATCGTGGGAAAGACAACACTGTACGATATGGAAGTGGATGTCGAACAGTGTTACGCTTTGACGGCATGTCAGGACCGTATGATTAGGGTCTATGATGTTAAGTCGGGTAAAAATACTACCAATTTTAAGGGTTCTCAAGGAGATGATGGTACACTGATTAAGATAGCACTTGACCCTAGTGGCCAGTTTGTTGCCACTAGTTGTACCGATAAAAGTCTATACATATATGATTATCAATCGGGTGACTGTTTGGCAGCGACCAGTGGTCACTCGGAACTGGTAACTGGTCTAAAGTTTTCGCAAGACGGCAAAAATTTGATATCAGTTTCCGGTGACGGATGTATATTCATTTGGAAATTACCTAATGATATGGTCAATGCTATCGCTGCAAAATTGGGATTACCTGCCGTTCCTTATGTAATGGAAAGTCCCAAACTTGAATTGTCTGCCAAACCGTTGTTAATCCAAAATAATGAGACAAACAATGATGAGAAAACAAATGGTGATAATAACTCGTCAGCACTCTATCGGTTTAATCTCAAGTCGTTACCTCTTTGGGCCAAAAAACAAATGTTCGAAGAGTTGAGTCGCGATCCGAATGCCACCCAAACGGGTGGCGACTTAGATCGTAACGCGAAGCCAGCGGTTCCGGCAAAAGGACGGTGGGCTCAGCGGATGGAGAACAGCCAGAATCTAGTCGTCAAATCGTATTTGACTGAAGATACAGTTATTCCGTATCCCAATGTCAAGCAACAGCAGAATACCGTCATCGACGGTGATTCGGGTAAATATCTGAATAATAAGTTGAAATCAGACAAGAATAATGGCGACCACCGATATCGGGCTACCGATTCATCGTCGGCCAGCAGTTTTCCGCACGACGAAGACGACGATTTTAATACTACCGACAGCGACAATACCGGCTATTCTAACGATAAGCTAACGAGTTCTGTGTTCAAAGTAAATGAATCGCCGGACACCAGATTCCGTAAGAATAATACTTTCAACAATCGTTTTCCAAGAACTGGTGGTGTTATGCCATCGATAAGTGTTCCCAATTTTAATGAACTGCACAGCGATGATGAAGACGACTCAAACACTACTGTCGATGATAGCGAACGAAGTGCTATATCGAAAAATTCGTTTTATATGTCAACTGAAAACTTAGATCGAATCGACCAAAGAGACAAATATCTGAAAAGTGCTTTTGAAAATTTGGATCAATTAAATGATAATAATCAAGTCAGTGAAAAGTCAAGAAATAATTCAGATTCATCGACAACGAATCGGGCGAGTCTTTCAGCTAAATATCATTCGAAGACATCGCCAATTAGTCCCAAAATGAGCCCAAACAACAACACCAATGAGAGCAGCAATAATCACAGCACAAACAATAGAGTCATTAATAATAATAAGACACCGTTGAGTTCAAAGCCACCCATTTCTAAGCGCAGAGAAGAACTAACCAAAGCGATCAGTGAAGCGCGAAAAAAGCTTCAAACGGTTGGTTACATACCGGTGCTCACACTTATACTTTTGCTGACACGTCTAACATTACTTTTTTCTCTGTTGTCTTTGTTTGTCTTTCTAGTTGGGTTGGAAAGGTTCGGGTCTGAGTAACTCGAAAAGTGTGGCCAATTTGAGAGACTATTCCGACTACGAATCGGACAACGCTAAGGATGTCAACGGTGACGATGGTATGTATAGCTAACACATTGTCTTGAATTGATTTTACCAAATGAGTTGGATTTTAACATTTTTGTTGTTTCATAGCTTCTGAAGCCATTCGACGATCGATATCATTGAGTGATCTATCATTTGGACCGAAACACAAACGTTTGTCCGCTTCTCAGCTAAATTTAAATGCAAATAACTCTTCGGCGGCACCTCTTTGGGAGAAGAATAAAAACGGTGATTCCAATGCCAGCGATACAGTGTCTCGTAGTACTAGTATAAGTACATTAAATAAAAGCGATAGCAATAAATCGTTTACAATGAAGAATAAAGGACTCTGGGGTAACGGTGCTCCCGCTAAGCCTCCCTTATCGGGACGTGTGAGTGCACCGCCAACTCAGGCCAGAAAAGCGATCGATTCGTATTCAAGTGGTCGACCCGACAGTTCGGAGGACGAGATGTCGTCATCGTCCGACGAAAAGCGCTACCCTCGACCTTCGACACCTCCTAAACCTAATATTCTTAAACAAATTCGCCGATCATCGACCAGCCATACTATTCCCCAACTAAAAGAGCCATCACTTCAGTCGCACACTAGAAGTCGAAAGCTCTGGAATAGTGAGATGAGATCGTCGAAGAGTGAATACAATTTGTCAAACATTGGCAGAGAAACACCAATCAGGTTGAGAAATAAGAGCATTTCAGGCAATGGATTGTGGGGTTCATCGACGGCTTTACCGCAAATACAAAACGAAAAACTTGACTTAGCTATGACTAATCCATCGACTGTTCCTCGTAAGTGATTGTTTGATCGTAAATATGTTGTATATATTTATTTATTTAAAAAAACATTTCCATATTCCAGTTACTCAAGAATTGTGTCAATTGGTGGTCAACGAATTGGGCTCAATATCGCGATACGCCATCAGAATTCTTGAGCGTTCATCAGAATCGGGAAACACAAATATGAGACAATTCTTAAGCGACAACATATCGACAATATGTCATACATTGCAGTCATCGACAGCCACGACGGCGACATCACAGCCACAACAACAACCATCACATTCCATACCAAGCATTCGCTTAAACAATGAGACAACAATTGTCAGTCCGACGATCGCCAACAATGCAAACAACATTCCCTACAATAGTCTTCCTCCAGAAAGTATGACACACGCCATGACTTTATTACAGCAATATTCCGATAAATTGCTTAATTTAGTCGAACAGAAGTTCACCAAAAAAGAGTGATTTTTACTAATTGATTGAAACCAATGTTTTTTTTTTTTAAAAAAAGACATTATTTTTCGTGCCTTCCATTGTTTGCCTTTTTTATATCAATAGGTTTGCCTTAAAAAACAAATTTCCTTTAACTTAAAACAATGAAAAATCATGTTTATATATATACATACAATCATTGACAACATTGACATTCAATTTATAAATTTTATATACAATTTCATAGTAGATCTCTATTTATATTATTGATTGATTGCTTCCATAAATTTAATATGTATTATGTTTTACACAAAATAATTCATCCAATTTTTAAAAAGTATTATATTTTTAAAAATATTTATTATTTATAAATTGTTTATATTATTATTAATGAATTATTATTTTTAGTGTTTTTTTATTGTATTTGTTTTTATCTAAAAAGCACTTAAATAATAAAATTTTTTGTTTTTGGTTTAATTTTCATTTAAAAACATTTAATAAGTTATATTAGATTTGCGTTAAAACACCTCCTAATATGAGTTTCTCGCACTGGGATAGCGGCAGATAATGCTGTTTAACAAAAAAAAAAAGTTAAATCCAATTAAATTAATAATAAACTAAAAAATGAGAGATAATTTCACAAACCATACTGTCTTTGGTGAGGACAACACTCGTGCCGTCGTCTAACTCGAGGTCTCCGTATTCAGTATTGCAGCGGACCTTAACATTCAAAAGATAGTCAAAAATTATGAAATCAAATCAAAAACTATCAAATTTTTGGGATCAATTGACTTCAATGGGCTTTTACTTGAATGTATAGTCTTTTCGGTGGCTTCTGGTGTAACGTCAGATCAATACCTCTTCCGTCGTTCAATTTGTTCATATAATCTGATAAATTGTTTGAATAATTTAGAAACCACTGACGTTCGTCGGCCGACAAATTTTTCACGATGTCTTCGGGCATAACTGATCCCAACTGCCAACGCAAACGTTTCAGTTTATCCAAACGATTCCAACTGTTTGTGTGAAACAAATTACATATTTTATTATCATATCTCTTATCAACAAAATCAATGGCAAAATCGTATTTTACTGATAAGCGAGAAGACATCGTTTGTTCCACAGAAGAGCCGAAAATCGGATTTGTGTGACAACCAACTGATTGCGGTATTCATCAGAGTTTCGGTCCAACGAATCGTTTGCCTTACTGTCGGTGAAAAACTTGTGGTTAAAAGAAGTTTTGTTTTAAAGAAAAGTTAATATTTACACAAATTTCTGGATCTGATGGTTGAGTTCTGTCATCTCTTTTAGCAATTGGTCGACCAATTGGTGACAGTAGTCGGGCATCGGATCAGTGGTCTGTCGGGTAAGACTTTTGACCAGATCGACACCTTTGACGCCAAACATTTTTATTGTGATAAATCTGGTGATAATAATGTTATTAAAAATACAAATGTTTTTTTGTGGTTCAATGTCTTGTGGTTTGTTTGTCAACGACTAAGACATCAATATATTTGATTCACTCAAATGATTGTCTGTTTGTTTGAGCGCCAAATGTGTGCATAAAAATCAATGCTATTATTATTAAAATCAAAAAACATGTGATCACTGTTTGCAATGTTTTTTTGCAATACATTTGTTAACTAAATATATTTCTTATTGTTTTTACTTATTTTATACATTTGTTTTAATTTGTTTTAATTTAATTTAATTTTTAATTTAATAATAAAAAATTGTTTTTTTTAAAATATTGATTGTCTGTCAGTGTGTTAGCCATGAATAGAGCCGACGAAATAAGGGATCAGATCAGACAAATGCGATATTTGACGGAAGAAAAGAAGTTCATCGACGATATAATCCGCAAAATCGATGACCAGAGGAATCGGCTTCAATTGGAAGAGATGACACTCAGAAGGATATATAACAATAGTATGACTATTCAGACCATTACCAGTGATGATGAATCTAATTGATCTGTTTTTTTACCATTTGATATCATATAGCCATGACTGAAGACCATCAAGAATATGATGAATTGAACGATCAGATGGTCGTTGCCGATGATAGTAACGATAGGATTGCTGCCAACAGCTACTTGTGTAGCGGCACTCCCAGCGGTGCCATTGAGGAACCGATGGTTATTCTGGATCGGCTGCCCATCGAGGATAGGATGACCAACAACAAGAAGAAGCCCAACGCTGTCGCCGAAACCATTGAACTCGATGTCAGCAAAGTATTGCTTCGTCTGGCGTGTGGAGGAAGTCTTGATAACCAACAAGTTGTTGAAGAAGAGGAGGAAGAAGAAGAAGAAGAAGAAGACGACGAAGACTATTAAATGCGATATTACTGATTGATTGCTGTAAGTCATCATCACATTTGTGATATATATATATATATATATATATATATTAGTGAATTATTAATCTAAATATTAATTATTTAATTTAAAAACAAAACTTTTTTAATTTTAATGTCATTTGTAATTTAAATCATATATTAATCTGTTTTATATATATTATAACTTTTTTGTTATATTTTTGTTAATTTTAAAAACTTATACTCATTGCGATTGTCTGTTATTATAATATGATATAAATACAAAAAATATTGTATTGATTTAATGTACCTTAAATTGTTTGGATTAACATTATAGGTAATATTATACATATAATTTAATAATTTAAATTGTTGTTTTAATTAGTATTATATTTTGCATGCTTTTAATTTAAATACTTTCCGTAAATTCACCATTACAGTAATTATTTTAAGTTAATTTTTAAAAATTATATTATTTTTTTTAATAAAATAATATGTTTTATTGATTTTTAAATTGATAATTAAATTTTGTTTTAAATTAATATACACTGACATTGTTTTTTAATTATATATAAATTTGAGAAATTATATATATTCTTATATAATATATTAACATAATATTTTGTAATTTTAAATATTAAATAATTGAATTGTACCGTAATATGTAATTTTATATTGAAATTATTATCAATAAATATAATTACCGAATATATGAATATTATTTTTTTTTTGCTAATAATAAATTACTAGTAAATTGTTACCGAAATAATAGTTTTAAATACTGACTAATTTTATTTAGTTGTTAATTATTTTCAAGAATTTGGCAATAATTGTAATTTTTTAAAAATTTCAAATCAAGAAAATTGTTGAAATTCTTTAACATCTAATTGAAAGCCAAATTACTTAATAGTTTGATATAATAAAACACAAAAAATTAATTACTATATGTATTATTTATTATATAAATCTATTTATATATATATAAATATATAAATATATATATATAAATACTAAATAAATCATTTATATAACGTTACATTTAATATAGTTTTAGATATACAGTATATATATATGATTAAAAACAGATTATGTCTGACAAAGATTTATTACAACTTAACAAATAATAACTAAATTTATGCAAAAAAATAGTGAGAATAACTATTTATTATTTTTATGATTATTATAGTTATTATTTATCTATGAATTTTGTCTATTGTCTAATAAATTGTGTATAAATTATACATATTTATAGTTTAGACATATGGAAACTGTTTATCAATTCATGCAACGAAAACATGAACAAAAATTAACATTAAAATAATAGTTTTATTAAAAAAAAATTGTTTATATATTTTTATAAATAAATTGTTATCTACAATAATAATATTGTTATACCTGGTATACGGTATTTATTAGAGTATTGTTTTTATAATATTAAATTTTATTTTATTTTAAAATTTACATTTAGTTGTAGTTATGCTTTTTAAAAATACTATAAATAATTTAAGTATAAAAGATATGATATATCTTTTTAGTAAAATTCATGTTATGAAAGGCATTGAACAATAAAACAATAATAATTATATTTTCATAACATTTAAATTTAAATACTATATAAATGTCTTATTTAAGAAAAACATATGATTAATGTCACGAAACATTATTGAACATAAAATTTTTTAAATAAAAAAATAATTTTAACAAATTTTATTTGAGGTGTGAATAATATGTTTAGGAAATGCTATGAAAAATATTAATTTTTATGTTTAAAACTGATTAATGATAAATACAATGTATTGTAAAATATATAGGTTAAGTAAATGTTATATTTTAAAAAACAAAGTTTATATTTATATCTCTAAAAAATTAGATTATTTTTAAATGATTAAATAGTTAACACATATTTAACAGATATTACATTTACAGTACATACAAATAAAAGTTGATTTTTTTGTTGATAAAACAAATACTCTGTTTTTTAAAGGATTGTCTTTATCTCTTGCTTTTGACATTGCTATACAATATACTGTATATACGGTTAAAGAGTTATCCAATCGATATAATCAAAAATAGTTTTCATGTCTACTATTATCACCACTACTATTACTATTACTTCTACTGTAAAGAAACGCATCAATGATTCAAATGTCATATAAAAACAAAAATATATCTAAATTATTATAATATGGTTTGAAAGAGAGTGAGTTAGAGAGAGAGAGAGAGAGAGAGAGAGAGAGAGAGAGAGAGAGAGAGAGAGAGAGAGAGAGAGAGAGAGTTAAGGCATTAATAAATTAACAAATAATAATTATATAATTATTGACATAAAATATATATGTAATACTATATTGTTATTATATATATATATATATATATATTCCTAATCTATTGTTTAGGTCATTGTAATACTTTGATAATAATACAAAAAAAATTAAGACTCTCTCTCTCTCTCTAAAGTTTATTCTCTCTTTCCAAACACAATGCAAACTCTCTTTCTCTCTCTTCTGCAAACCAGTTGTGACACAAACCACTAGACAATGAAATCATTATTATTACTTCAGTTTTAAAATATATTGAGTGAAAAAAAATAAAAGAAAAAAAACTTTTGAGTTTAGAAAGAAATTTTTGTTGAGAAACTTTTCCAGACTTTATAAGGATTTTTAATACATACAAACACTAACTTTTATTTTTGTAATTCACTACTACTGGTAGTAGTAATTGATTTATCTAAACATTGAATTTGATTCATTGCAACTCAAATAACTTATATATAAATATATATATATATACTGTAATTCAAGAATCTTAAGAGGAATTTATGTAAACTTTTGAAAACAATTTGAAAATGTGTTCCCAATTGAAAGTGGTTCCCAAATAATTTTTTTTTATTTTTTTAATTTTGTTGTTTATTATTTCAATTGCTTCAACAAAAATTAGGGCCAATAGACCTGCAATAAAAGCATTGGGAAAGGGAGACGACGCCTACCAGTGCTGCTGATTGAGCCGGTGCTTCAGTGGACTGTCTATGCGCTCAACCATTGCTTGTCTGACGTAACTCTGCGGCAGAATATGTCTGTGCTTTGAGAGGTAATAGTCGTCAGACAACCAGTGATTCATTTGAAGAGACAGTTAAGGACTGACTGTATATTCAACTTCACTAACCATAAGCCAGAAAACAGTCATTGCGTTTGAATGCATGACTAATACATATAACCATTCAATTCATTCATTCATTCATTTGGTTTATAAACCAAAAAAACATTTGAAATCATTTTTAAATTAAAAATCATTTTATTTATTGTGAAAAATATAACTAAAATATAATTATTTAAAAAAAAGCTTTTCATTGGATTCTTGTCATCAAAAACAAAGACATTGACCATTGTTTTGTTTTCTCCGGACCTCATCATCAGTGATATTATCAGATATACGCAACACATCCGTCAATTGATACTCAAATTGTCTCATATTTTTCCAGTGATTTCTCTCTGTCTCTCCCGAAGTGTTTTTTAAATTGTATTTTGATTTGATTACACACATTGTCTGCCACCAGAAGTATGGATCCGTTTGACATACCATCGATGGCTGACACACATAATACTCGACCCATCACTAACTCTTCATCGTCGTCATCGCCACCGTTGCCACCATTTGAGGAGATTAACGAAGAAATGATAAGACACGACAGTTTCGATGAAATGGTAAGACTCGGCACTAGTGATGGTGCCGAAGAAATTATGAGACCTGACAGTGCCGGCGAAGTTGTGAGACCTGGCAATGTCCATGAAGTTATAGGACTCGACAATGGCGAAGAACTAGTGACACCTGTCAATGTCCAAGAAGTGGTAAGACCTGACAGTGCAGATGAAATTGTTAGGCCCGGCAGTGCCGAAGAAATTGTGGCCCAAAATGTGTCGCAACAGCTGTTAGACAGCGCTCTGGAGGCTCAGAGAGATTCTTACGAACCACATGAAGACGTGTCTGTCACAGATCTGCATACAAATCATCTGACAATTGGTCAACAAGTGATAGAAGAAGAGGACACACACGAAGATTTTGATATACAAAATGAACAACGAAACAGTGGTTTTCCTATACATCAGTATATCTATGACGAAGAAGAAGAGGACGAAGCGGAAGATGAAGAAGACGACGAAGACGACCTTCATGTGGACACTATACCTGTCAGTGGAAGACTTGTATCCCTACCAGACGATAACAAAGACAATGTAAGTCCCGACACTAGACATGAGACAATCGACGACTTTGGTATACGAGAGCCGATTGAATCGCAAACTGAATCCAAAGATGAACTTCTTTACCAAATAGATGATAATAATATATTAACTGCTCAGCCCTATGGTTATGGAACCGGTCTAAGTATTGGAGGATCATCTGAAACGACGCCTTCAAGTGATAACCGAACCAGTATTTATGAACTCAATAAAGAGGATCCGTTCTCAACGCCTCAGAAACACAAGACTCATATCACCAAAGATCAAAGTGAAGAAGACTTTCAACGATTTGTCGACAAATGTGAACCATTCGAGACGATTACCACCGACATCGAGATTTCGAGAAACGACGAACCAAAGAGCTCTCTACTTGATTTTGATTCCGGTATCTCACAGATGACAGGTATACCTAATATCAGTAGTACAGCGACTACTGAACTATCAGAAGACTTCACAGTCGACGCTAGCGATCGCTTGGAGTCGGTGTCTGAGCCAAACCCCACCCAAACAACTGAAGAACTAATCGTTAAGAAGACTGAAGACTCGTATCTGACTCCCTCTGGTGATGAACACACACCAACTGAGCAGCACTGGGAGCAATCAAAGTCGTCGACTGTACTCTTCTCGTCAGCCAATCCTAGCGATTCATTGCAAGATATTTATACCCAACGAGACACTGATATACATGCTTTCGCTGAAGAGCCGCAACCAAATTTAGACACCAAACACACTGTCGACAGTAAAGAGCCAACATTTGGTGCAACAACAGAGGAAACCCATATAGACGAAGACGACGACACATACTTTGACGAACCTATTCAACCAATTGTACCATCGATTGCCAGCCAATCGCCTAAAAAAGAGAAGAACCAACCAAAAGAAGAACCAGTGTTTGAACCGTTGATCAGCGAAACGCCAAAACCCGTCGAAACTATGGCTAAACGCGATAAAAGAGAGACGAGTAGTGATGATGTGGCCACTGGTGGTGATGCTAACTGTCCATGTGGTACATGTAAGTCAAAGTTTATAAAATTTTAAAGTTTTTAGTTTTTTAATGACACGTTTCCACTTTGTGTGAACACATACACCATATGATTTGATTTGTTCTCATTGTTTTATATTATCAAATGATTTTGTCGTCAATAATAATGCATTAATTTTGTTGTTATTATTATTTTAATAATTTAAATGTTTATTTAAATTGTTTACCATATGTTTTGAAAAGTTTTTGCGATTTGTTTTTTCTAAACACAATTAACATACGGTTTATATAATAATGTCGTGTATTTGTAAAATTACTGCTTGAGCCTAAAGGCTATCGATTGCGTAATCAGTTTTTTTGAGACACGTTTTATGAGTTTTTTTGGGAGATATTATTATTAACATTGATTTATACTTTAATTAATTATATACTTTAATTTTACAAAAAGTGGCTTATATTTCTAGGCTATTAATATTTCAAATTAATGTTAATTATTATAAAATTGTTTTTTAATCTTATTGCATGAATTTTTTTTATTAATAATTTTCTATGTGAAAACTTTTTAACCTCTTTTAACCAAATTTATTATTTTAGTTATATTTTTTTGAAAAATAAATAGTAATAATTAGTGTAGTTTCTAAATAAAATTAAACCTAACTTTAATGCTAATTTGCATAACTGATGAGCTAATTGTCCACATCATAGGTGTCTGGCTTAGTGCTAACCATATGAACCCAATCGGTAAGAGATTTCACGCTTTTCCTCTCTCTCTCTCTCTCTCTCTCTCTCTCTCTCTCTCTCTCTTTCTTTCTCAAACATAACTGTTATATTAAGTTATCAACTAATAGACTAAAAATATCGTTGAATCGCTATATCATAACTTATTTTAAGAAATTTTTTATCACCAATTGATTAAAAATAACTTAATAATCACATGATTTATTTAACTATTTGCTATATAAAGTGTAATATCTATAAATTGACTCAAAAAGTATTAATATTTTGTAGATAACTGTTAAAAGTTTATACAGTCTATCAAAATATAATTAATTATTTTTTTGTGGAGTTTGTCTGAGTCTATAAGTTTAAGCTCATAATACATGTACAGTACGTGTAGATCTGTAAACAGTTTTAATCAATTAAATATAAATATTGTTAAAACAATTGTTTTAATAATCATTAAAAAACACTTCATTTATCTTAACTTACACTATATATCCCTAATATCAATACAATTAGGCTGTTTGTTGTTATTGCTATTTAGTGTATGTCATTAATAGGATAAAAACATAATACAGTATAATATAATTATTAATATATAATATAACTATCCATATTGCTTGCATTGAAAATTGTTGCTAATTATTAATTAATCAGTCAACATTATATTATTTACTTGTGCATTACATAATTATATTTATATACATATTTATCATTCAATATAAATAATTTAATATTTATCTATAAAAAAAAATTGTGTCAAAATTACTCAACTGTTAATTACAGTATTATTATTATCATTATTATATTTTTTATAATTATTACATTAGACAAAATTGTCGGTTTAATAAATATAAAAATACATAGACATGAAATGTTACTTTCATTACAACAAATTTTTGTGCCACTTTTATAGTATAAATTTAAAACCACAAATAATACTTGTGATAACAAGCAGTGTATACTCGAAATAAGTTAAGTATATAGTTTTGTTAAGTTTAAGTTAAGTACAGTTTATAAATAATATATAAATTTATATATTTATAATAGTTTTGATGCCAAAAAAGTGATACAAATAATATATATATATTTATATAAATCATTTCAAGAATTGCAAGAATCGCTAGAATTTTTCATTCAATCACTGAATGACAGGAAATATTGAATTGATTGACACACTATTGTCGGCACTAAAAAAAATAATAACTATATATTCATTCACTGAATAAATCTTTTAATTTAATTATAGATTTTTTTGTGAAAATTAATTATTATAAGTAATAAAAAAAAGTTATTATATTAAATATAATGACTAAGGAGTAGTAGTATAATCCACGTCAAATAGCACAGGGATGAGCAAAGTGTTAGTGTGTTTTTCCTAAATATATAGTTTTCCTAAATATATAGTATATATACATATAATTGTACATATATTATATACTATAAATAAATATAAAATATTTTTTTTCGATCACATTTATGTTGGCCATAGGATTGAGTCATTCATATTGTTGTGTGTGTTAGGGAAAGGGAGAGACAAGTGTGAGTCATATGATTTGGTGTTTGGGTTATGTGTGATATGATTGTTGAACCACTGGTGTCACGAGCGGAGTATGTCTTACACAGTATGGATGGCATGAGCTCTACAGCTGATCCATAATACTTTAGTAGTTAGTATTGTAATAGTAGTGAGCATTTTTGCATGCCTGTCCTCCCCTCCCCTGTTTGTTGGCGCGATTTACTGGTTGTGGTGCTATAGTAGTGGTTGTGCGAGAGCTGGTCCTTAGCAGTGGCTCTTCCCCAGCAATACAGTGTTACATACAGTGTACTCATACATACATACATACAACTAGACTGCGCCTGAAATACAAGTTTTTGCTGGAAATTAAAAAAAAACTATTATAACAACCAGTGATTCATTAATAATATTTAGTTTCGTTTTTATCCTCGTCTTTGCTAAATATAAATAGCTATAAAATATTTGCAACAAAAATCTCTGTCTTTTTTTTAGTCAGTTGTTGTGTCCATTTTAATAGTCAAAAATCAGTGACCAGTTATAGTCGTGCATATATACTATACCCTCCTATCAAATATATACTGTATATATCATGGATATCATGGAGAGTAGTAGTCAATTGGAGACGACCACCAATTCATTGATCGAAAAGTCAGACAATAGATGGTATAGTGTTTTATTCATCAAAGGTAACCATAAAAACATTGTGACAATCGCTATATGATATACTACTGTATAAGTAATACATAATATGATATTATATACCTATACTATGCCTCTTAAGCTATGACAACAACAAAAACATTATTATTATGTAATGATTGTATGTGTCCTTAGAAATCCTGTATTTATATATATATATATATTATATATCGTGAGTTCATTTACTTAGTTTGAAACCAAATCATTATTTTGTTGAAAAACTATTTATAAAAAAATCACAATGTTTTTTTTAATTCATTTAAACATTTTTTTTAGTTTAGTTAGATAATAGGTAGTTATTTATTGAAGATTATTGAATTAAAAATATATAAGTATTTTAAACGATTATGTATTCATTGTTTCATTGAACTTGAAAATTATTAAAAACAAAAATATAAAAATTACGTAAAATCCAATTTTATTTTTTATTTTTTTTTGAGTGTCTAGCTAGAATGATTATTTATTCAACAATAAAAAAAATAATAAAATTAATAGCAATTTTGTATTGTTTTTTTAGACATTTTATATTCTATCAAATAAGTAGCTAATTATTATTATTTGATACAGTATTCAATAATTAATATATTCAAATTTTTTCCTATAGTGACTAATGGGTATATTATAATAATAGGTATAATTAACTAATAATATTATTTTAGTAGACGATATATGCATTAAAAAAAGAGCCACAAAATGTCTATTAGCTTTTGACTATTAAATACTATTAACAAAATGTTGTTTTATTTTATTGATATTATTTTTTTATAATATATGTATTATAATAGTATAATAACTACTGTTAATGACCACAGTTTGCCAACTCTATCATCGATATTGAGCCTAAAGTTGGTCTCTATTTTAGTCAATATAAACACAGAATAGTGTGTGAACTCTCACAACACAACAAAACACAATACTATATAGTTTGTCGATGCGATCGATAATTTTAGGTTTGTTTTCATACAATTTTTACGAGCAAAACATTGCATAAGTGATGGACGACTCCATTGAGTAGTCGACTATTAAATCTATTATATATAGATATTCATTATAATTATATTATAGAGAATTTGTTTAATCTGCTTAAAAAAAATATTGATAATATTTAACGAGAATTTATTTATTCAAAAAAATTGGCATCTTTTTTGAAAAAAAATTAATGTCATTATATTGTAAAAAATGTGTGCTAAAAATAATCTAGTATATAAAAAGTAATAAAAATACAAATAAAAGTTGTATATCAAGATATTTTGCATACACTAAGCAAATTGTGTTTTTTTTTTTGTTTTAATGACAATATAAGCAAATTTGTTAATATAATTGTTTTTTATTATATTAAACCAGAAAGAAAAATTACAACAAACTTATTAAATAAATTGTTTCTAATAACTAATTGCTATATAAATATTAGATATTAGCATATTTTAGTGATTTTATAATATCTATGATATATTAAAATAATTTTTAATCTATTAAATCTAATAATAAAAAATTATGGTATCATTAATTCAATCAGTGGCCGAACTGGTCTACTGGAGAGACCCGAAGAAAAGTGGTCCCGTTTTTGGTGTGGGACTCATAATACTACTATCTCTGACCGTCTTTTCAATAATATCGGTGGTGGCCTACGCGTCATTGGCTGCCCTATCCGTGTCCCTGTCGTTCCGTATCTACAAAAACATATTACAAGCCGTTCAGAAAACCAATGAGGGACACCCTTTCAAGTGAGAGAGACTACTATTATTATTTAACACATGGGTTCAACAGTTTTATTAATGACTGTCTTTTTATTTAAAATTTTATATAATAGGGAGTACTTAGAAGTAGAGATAACGCCATCACCCGAACGCATCCATCAGATCGTCGACAACCTGCTATCGCACTTAAACTGCACACTAAACAAACTCAGGAGTGTTTTCCTCGTTGAAGACATCATCGACTCATTAAAAGTAAATATCCTGTTATTGATTAAAGGGAAAGAAAAACCCAATTATTGACACACTTTATCTTTAATTATTATTATTTGCTAATAACAATGTCATTGAATTTGTTTCCAAATATAAATATATAGTTTGTTGTCTTATTCTGGTGTCTGACATACATCGGCTCGTGGTTTAATGGACTGACACTTATAATACTGGCCTATTTGGCGCTTTTTTCATTGCCCAAAGTCTATGAGTTGAATAAGACTCAAATTGATCAATACATCAGTTTGGCCACAACTCAAATCAATGACATCACCGAAAAGTATATAACTGTTTTACTTTTTACTATTACGCTTACTATGGATTAACTAATTGTTTTATCATTTGTTTTTTAATAGGATCAGATCTAAGATACCGTTCCCGGCCAAGAAAGATAAAGAAAATTAAATCTTTTGTCGACAACTCATAAAACTAAAGAAAATTAAATTAAACAAAAATGAAGAGTAATTAAGAATTTTAATGGTATACCGCATAATAAGTCTCTTCTCATTTTAAAAATTCAGCAAAAAATAATATTTTAAATTCATAATAATCACAATAATTCATAAAAAAAGTTTTATATTAAGAATATTCTCTTAGAGATATCGATACTCCCAAACAAACAAACAAACTAAAAAAATATTTAAACAATAATATATAATACATTTTTTGGATTTTTAAATATATAATATCCGTTTTAAGTAAAGTCGTCATTGAAAACATTGCAATTACTATAATATTTATTATTATAATTATTACTTCTCCACCAATTATGCACATTTGTGTTTAATATCTGATTTATTATTTTTTGGGATAAATTTAATTTTTTTATATAATGATTAATACGTATTGAGGTTAATTTGTTTTAGAAATTTTGTTGATTTTGTATCTGTTTATAATTTTGTGATGAATATTCTGTAAAATGATTATTATTTATATAAAGTGATATTTTGTCTTAGTTTTCAAATGTTTAACTATTATTTAATAATCATAATTACTTATGTACATTGAAATAACCCAGAAATTATTATTGTATTTTTCAGTTAATAATTAATTTTTAATATCACTATCTAATATATTGTAAAGTTAACGGTTGTATAACTTATATACTCCATTGCATATTATATAATATAATTAGTAAATATTATAAGCGTAAACTTTAATAGATTTAATGTGTTAATAAATCGATTATTATGATTATAATAATAATTATTATTATTGTATCGTTTAGTTGGTTAAATATTTAGATTTTTTAAGTTATTTGTAAAAAGCAAACTATTTATATTGATAACAAAAAATTTATTTTAAAATATCTTTTACTAAATAATATTGCATTTTAAACACATTTGTGATGTTTTCTAAATTCAATATAAGATCTGTTGATTATTATTATTATTATTATTGTATTCATTGAGTTCTTAATTATAATAAATTTACTTTTTACAAAAAGATATCTTGGATAATAATTTTTAATTAAAAATAATATTTAATTTACTAAAAATATAATTATAAATATACAGGTTTAATAATGTGTTTTTGTATATTACGGTACTTTCAAATTACGGTAATTAATTTTTTACCAATTTTAAATTAAGATAATAATAATAATAACTTTATAAAGTTGTGCCACATTTGAGCGACTCTATCAATAGATATTGCTATTTAATAGACCATAAATGTCAAAAAATAGAAACTAAACTATAGTTAATTATATATAAATATAACAATGAATTTACATTAATTTTTATGTGTGTGCATCTCATTACTTTATTTACAAAAAATATTAAATAATTAGAAAAAACTATCAGTATATTTAGATTTTAAAAATTAGTTTTAAAAAATATCATATAAATATTAATTATACTTAAAAAAAAATTCTATACATTTTTCCACTAATAAATCTAATTTATTTATTACAAAATATTTGTTGAAAGATATTCTCAAATAAATGTTTTGAAAAACATTGCAATGGAAAGAAAAACATTTTACAAAAAATTATTAGACATAAATATTTTGCGACAAAAAAAACTTTGGTATATTTATACAGAAAAAACTTCAAATATATTATTAAATTTTGCATAAATCATATGACTTTGAATTTAAACTTAACCTTTGAATTTAACTGATATATATAAATATATACTGAATAATAATATTGCATTACTTATTATATAATTTGCATTACAAATCGTATATTCACACAACTTATAGGCTATATATATGCTAATGTCATAAATATATTTTTTTTTTCTGTTGTAAATAGTGTTTTAAAAAATGTACAGTAAATTAGATATATGGATATACACTAAAACTAATTTTATAATTTTTATAATTATAAATATACTGTTAAAAGTACAATTGTATTGAATATTGCATTGAATTAAATATGCATGTATAAAATTAGCATATTATAAGCTAAGCATATGTATTGTCAAACATTGCAATAACATGAGTCAAATACTTGAAACTTATTATTTCTAAACAAAATAAAAAGTATTATAAATATAATTTCCTTGAATTATTTAAGTACAGTAAGTAATAATTATTACATTATGGGTTTCAATCAAACATCAAAAAATAGTAGTAATTTTTGTTAAAAAGTGAGAGAAAAAAAAATTTAAACACAAATCTATTATAAATTTAGACTTTAGACGAGTAGTTAAGTTAGTTTATTAACATTTAATGATTATTTTATTTTATTTTATTTATAATGTGTTCCTGTTTTTTGTGCAAACCTTTGAAGGGAAACCAACAAACAATAATAATAATAATAATAATAATAATAATAATAATACTAATATAACTACGACTACATTAAAAAACTGAATTACTTTAATAATATACCACTTTTTTCACACAAATCATTGCAATTGAATGACTGACTACTACTAGTAATGTCAGTGAATGGCATCGAAACAAATATATGATATATAAATAAATAATATATAAAACAGAGTCTAAATTGCTATCATAGGGACAACAACTATATGATAGTATTGTATAGTAAAGTAATTCAGTATATGATATAATATAATATAATGTTGTGCTTTAAATAAGGCTTTTCAACATAAAAAACTATAACAACACAGTGAGTGAATGTCTCGCTATTTAGAAAAACTAGTTATAACACCTGTTCTACCTGTGCTAACACAAACACAACTATGCCTGTCTGTCCTTTCCTCGGGCTATTCAATCATATATATAATCATTATATAGTCAGCGATGACTCATACCTCATATATACAGTCAATTGTGTGTATAAAACAAAACTTTTTTTTTCGTTGATATATCTCTCACTTTAAGCAAACCCTGTGTTGTTTTAATAGGGAATGAACTCAAAAAACTTGTGGCACAGACACTACTACTACTACTACTGGCATTGCATTAGTGCTTAAATGTAATGTAAAGTAAATGTTAAGTTATGTCATATAATAAGTTATAGTATGTGTTAAACGATACAAATTTTTGTTACATTCGTCGTAATCACCGAACAGATTTAGTTAACCAATTGCTTCGGTCGGTTCGGTCAGTGGCTTATCTCCCGTAGTAGTCATACATTACATTGGACTCTGGGTGCGGGTATTACCCCCACCTTCCGTGAGGTGACATTTAAAAAGGGGACAGTTATGTTGGTGTGAGTGTGTATATGTGTGTATGTGTTGTATCAATAGGTGTCACTATTTGTTATCAAAACTAACTCAATATTTATCGCCATTTTGTTGAACAACTGAGTGTTGTATTTGTGTGTTATGTGTGTGTTATGCGAGTGAATGATAGATAGATAGACTGTCTATGAGTTTATGAGTTATACATACAATATATTTGATATTTATTTTGGGATTCAATTCAGTTGTTGTGTTATTCAGTCGACACCCGTTTGTGTCCGCGCCAGTCATCTGTCGGATCAAACCACTGGCCAAATAGGTAACCAATTGGTGACCCCATACTATTTGGATGTGTGATCGTTAAGCTGATCCCATCATTTGACGTACGGGTGTTGTTAGTCATCATCCCTTGAGTTTGTTTGCAAACCCTTCATCACGACGACGACGACGACGAAGTGTCACAACAAATGATTGTATCCGATGTCTGTATTTTGGTGACAGACTTTTGCCGCACCCGACCTGTTGTTTAGTGCAATGTCTGTCACATTGTAATCACAAGCCATCTCTTTGTGTCTGTGTTTGTCCGCCATCAGTGACCACCAGACACGCGAAAACTCCAAAAATCATTGTTGTTATTGTTGTGACCAAAAAAAAAACAAAAACCAAATCATTATCACTGAAGAAAAGATTTATTGTTAATATTAATTATAATTAGTTGTTATAATATTTTACAAAAGAAAAACTGTGTCTGTTTTTTGTCTTCATTTTCATCTACAAACATAAAGTAAATAAATAATTTAAAAAAAAGATTGTCGTAGTCTAATAGCAGATCATCTTTAAGATAATATCATATACTCTAATAATATCCTAAAGTTTTAACCAATTATTTTGTGTTTATTATCATCTGATTTGTCCATATTTTATATGTGAGTTGTTTTTTAAGTGATTTTATTTACCCATTGTTTTTAGTAATTGATTTGTGTGTATATATATTAATATATGAATTGATTGATACAGATATTCAATATAAATATATTGTAAACCAATTGCGACCATTTATCGGGTATTTACATAAAATAAAAACAATGGCCGCCAGTGTACGGACACCGCTGCAGACGGTCCACGAATCCGTAGCCACCGATCAGGTGAGTGTCGACACTAACATCTTAACTAACTATATGTTAACATTCATGTGATACTAAAATATTTTGCTAACATTTATCCGTAAAACATAACAGAATGAAGAGCCAGTTCAAGTCAATCCAATCCGGACGTCCCGAAGTCGGACATCGGAAGAACCGCATATCGGTCGGTACCGATTGCTGAAGACCATTGGTAAAGGCAATTTTGCAAAAGTCAAATTAGCCAAACACCTGCCCACTGGTAAAGAGGTGGCCATTAAAATCATTGACAAAACACAACTCAACCCATCGAGTCTTCAAAAGGTTTGTTATTTTAATTTAAGAAAATATAATAATAATTAAATTACAAAAAATAATGCATTTTATTATATTATGTTTTGTTAAGTTTTATTTAATTGACTTTTAATGTGAATGTAAATTACTTGTAGCTATGAGTCATACAATTGAATTTTGAATTGAATGATAAAGAAAAACAAAATTTTATTTTTATTTTTTAAAAAAAAAGTTTAAGAAATGAGGACAACTGTGTTAATGCTATGATAATGTCCTATAAAAATGATAATTAGGATATAATTTTTTTTAGAGTGATGTAATGATTGATCATTTATTATTGTTATCATATCATATATATCTGTATATGAATAGCTGTTCCGAGAAGTAAGGATAATGAAGATGTTGGATCACCCGAACATTGTTAAACTATATCAAGTAATCGAAACGGAAAAGACATTGTATTTGGTTATGGAGTACGCATCGGGTGGCGAAGTATTTGACTATTTGGTAGCTCACGGCCGGATGAAAGAAAAGGAGGCCAGAGCTAAGTTTCGGCAAATTGTATCGGCCGTACAGTACTGTCACCAGAAGAAAATTATTCACAGAGATCTTAAAGCAGAGAATCTGTTGCTCGATAGCGAAATGAACATCAAGATCGCCGACTTTGGTTTTAGTAACGAATTTGTTCCCGGACAGAAATTGGACACATTTTGCGGTAGTCCACCCTATGCCGCACCCGAACTATTTCAAGGTTTGTTTGTCTGTCCGACCTATTGTTATCTGATGGTTGTTTTGATAGTAATATTAAATGTTTTTTTGTTGAATTTTTATAGGCAAAAAATATGATGGACCTGAAGTTGATGGTAAGTGTTTACTCGTTTTGTTTGTTTATTTACAACAACTAATATTGTTATTGTTTTTGTTGTTTATAGTCTGGAGTTTAGGGGTTATATTATACACACTAGTCAGTGGTTCTCTACCTTTTGACGGCGCAAATCTCAAAGAACTTAGAGAAAGAGTACTTCGCGGCAAATATCGGATCCCATTCTATATGTCTACCGATTGCGAGAATTTACTTAAAAAGTTTTTGGTTTTAAATCCGGCAAAGAGGGCATCTTTAGAGGTAAATCTTTATATTAGTTCTTAAATAAAGTTACCGGTAATACCATTTCTTTACCAACACTTTCTGTATCTATTTAATGCCAAACAACAGAATATAATGAAAGACAAATGGATGAATATAAGCTATGAAGACGACGAACTCAAACCATTTATTGAACCTGAAGCTGATTTGGCAGAACTGCGAAGGATCGACATCTTATCATCGATGGGTTACGGAAGAGAAGAGATCGAAGATTCGCTAAGAACTCGCAAATACGATGACATTATGGCTAACTATTTGTTATTAGGGAAGCGAACAACTGAGGTATTAATTATTTAAAAAATAACAATTGTTTGTTTGCCATAAATAGAGAAATTAAAAACTAATGATTAAAATATGATAATTAAAGAACGAGTCGTGTGATTCCCGGTCGAGTTCGAGTCTATCATTACGCGGTCTACGAGCCAATGCAGAGATCAATACTAATAGTCAATCGCCATCACACGTAAAAGTACAGCGAAGTGCGTCGGCTACGGCCAAACCGCGACGATTCAGTCACGGAGGAGACAATGGTAATCAAAATCCGCAGACCAATTCAACAACCGCAGCACCCATTACTTATAAAAAACAAAACACTTTAGACGTTAATAATAGCAAAGACAATACAAATGGTACTAATGGTCCGCCGTCGTCACCGTCTGTCACAAATACCCGTTCAATCAAATCGCCGTCAAGTGGTGGCGGTTCATCAGGTCTAGACACGGCCACCACGGCTGGAGCTCAAGTACTCAGTCCATCAAAGATTCAGACCATAGGAATGGGTTCGTTAAGACAAAAGCCCACACCTCCCATATCCACAGCCATTTTGAAGAATACGTTCAGCAGCGGAATTCCCCGACGAAACACTTATAATTATAACAATGAAAAGAGTGCCTCCACTGAAAAGGCATCCATCAATGATAACCCAAGGTATGTCCACATAATTTCAGGTTTTCTATTAGACTCAAGTCAACGATTAAAGCCGTTCCTCTCCATTAACTCTCTGAGCTATATAATTGCATGTTCTGACAGTTTTGATGTATAGCATGTAGTTTACGCTTTTATCTCAAAAAAAAATTTTTAGTAACATTTCTGAAGACAATTCCAATTCGAGTACATCGACAGTGTCCTCTATAGCGACACTGAGACCAGCTAAAGGTCACACTAAGTCCGCTTCAATTTCTGTCGCCGGGCGTACCAAAAGTGATAACCGACCCGATAGTAGTGTCGAGTTGGGTCGTGGCGCCGGCAGGTCTGACTTAACTCTTATACTAACACTTATTTCACTTTTTTTTTATATTTTTTCCTTAATGTTTGCTTTTTGTTGTTTTATAAATTAGTAAATTGTTTTTTTGTTGTTTTTTTGATGTAATTTAATAAAATTTTTTTTGAAAATAAATAGCTCGTCGACAGCCAAAGGAGCCATATCTCCCTTACCTGTTGTCAATCGGGCATTTCCACGGGGCACAGTTAATAGGAGCACATTTCATAGCGGCCAGACTCGTGAGAGACCGAGGCCATCATTCAACGGTCCCGGAGGAGCTCCTCTTCAGACTGTCGATACCTCCGGAATCTCGAGGCAGTCTTTCTTTAGTAAATTGTCCTCAAAATTTAGCAAAAGGTATAGTCATCTTTTGGTTGACATATGAATTGGTTATTTAAAAAATGGTAAACATATTTCTCTTCATAATTACAAATACCAGAACAATGGCCGACGACTCGACAAAGCCGCGCAGTCTTCGCTTCACATGGTCTATGAAGACGACATCATCAAGAGATCCAAATGAGATAATGCAAGAGATTCGTAAAGTTTTAGACAAAAACAACTGTGATTACGAACAGCGCGAAAAATATCTGTTACTCTGTGTTCACGGAGACCCCAACACCGACTCACTGGTTCAGTGGGAGATCGAAGTCTGTAAACTGCCCCGACTTTCACTTAATGGCGTTAGATTTAAGCGCATCTCTGGTACTTCAATCGGCTTCAAGAATATAGCCTCTAAAATAGCTAACGAACTAAAATTATGACTCGGATTCGAGTTGTCATTAATGGAATCCGTTGACGACCACGAAGATGATAACTGTTGAAGAGTTTGTGTGTGTGTTTAAAGAAGACATTATAGACTATATATATATTTTATAGGAGATTAACCACTTATTTAAGTTAATTGTTTAGTATTAATTAATATTAACATTTATTCATATTATTACAATTATTAATTATTATAATTATAAGAAAACAAAAAAAACATTATCTATGTTTCTATTTTTTGATGACTAAATATTAATGATACAGTTTTTATTTGTTACTGTATATATTTATTTGAAACAAACTTTTTTTGTGAACCTATTTAAAAATATTTTGAAAAAATACAAACAATAATTGATTGTGACTGAAGCTAAACGGCTCAACAATTGATGGAAAAAAAACTTTGTTAGAAATATTTAGACACAAATTAGTTGACTTTGAAAGTGACAAATGATAGTTACAATTGAAAAATAATATCAACAGAAACAACAACAACAATAACACCTCAAATGCAAGACATAAGACAATGAAGAATCATCTCTCACATCACATGCGCTTCTTCTCTCATCAATTGTTCCACAATTTTCTAAGTGAATGAATTGATTGAATCGCAAATTATTTACAAGTTTTTGTGTATAAAAAATTTCAAATTGACTATTATTTTAAACAATTATTATAATAATATGTACTGTAGTATTGATATTACAATTATGACATCCGAAACAAATCAAACAATCGATATTTTTGTTTTTGTTTTAGTGATTATCATTTGTTATTGAGTCCTAATAAAACTGTGAATTAAATATAAATATTTATATATATATTAATAATAATAATAATAATTTGGTTAGACTTTGGACATGTTGTTTGTTTTAATTTAATAATAATATTTATAATAATTTTAGTTTTATTATTAAGAAAATAATATCTTATTTTTTTGCGTCATTTGAAAAACTTAGTGTTTACTGATTTTTTTTTTGTTTTTTAGTATCAGATTTCATCCCATTTAAAAAGATATATAAAAATTTTGTAAATATAGTTTAGTTTTATGCAAAATAACAACAACAGAGATAACTTAAAATCATTTTCACATAAAATAAATGAATATCACTCGTCATCATTGATATTTTGAACACAACTTTATTATGTTTTATCAACAATAACAACAAAATCAAAAACAATATCGGATTTATTGTTGACAACAAATCATTGTTTTTAAGAAAAATTTAAAAAATCGAAATAAATTTTACATTTTTCAAAAGAGCCATTTAATAAAAAAAAATGATAAGCAATTTATATGAGTCATTATTTTGTAAAAACATCAATTTTTACATTTAATTATTATTAGTATTATTATTATTAGTCTTTATATCCTACAAAATGTGCCACTAATTCAACAAAAATTTATTTAAAAACAATAATCAATTATTAGACCAACCAAGACATCAAAGTCTTCGTCGAAATTCATATGGCATTCATCACTCATTTTCCTAAATAAAAAAACTGAAATTAATCCAAAAACTGATACACAATTAAAAATAAAATTATAAAATAAATGTTTGGATTGTTTGACAGCAAATATTTATCGACAAAACAAAAAGTTAAATCATAATATGTTTATTATTATTATTATTACTACTATTCGTCAACCAATCGAGTTTGTCCTCAAAACAAAACTAAAAAATTGTTTTAATGCCTTATATATGTATAAAATTATATTTCAACAAATGTTTTTTCAACAAATTTATATATTTAATTAAAAAAATACATAATAATAACAACACTCAGATCATTGACACTCATCTAATGAATTAATTTTCTAGTAATTAAATATATATATAATTTGTTTGTTTGTTTGTATCGCACATATTTGTATGGCTCATCCTTATCAAGCTTATCATATCCATCTCTAACGGCTCACTAAAATATTTATATTTATTAAACTATAAACAAAAATTTTAAATAAAATTAAATATATTAAAAATTAATGTACTTTTAAAATACATGATTTCGCATTTTGACAAACAAAAAAAGTAACAAAAAATAATATATCAGTTTAATTGAAATAGAAATTAATTAATAATAAATAAAACTCAAAATCTTAATAATTATTGAATGATTTTCAAAAAATAATTTTTTTTTCTGTTTTTTCTGACGGTTTTTAGTATTAATTGCTATCATGTGATTAATATATGTATACATAAATTTAGATTAAAAAATTAATTTATTTATATAAAAACAAACAAAAAAATTATTATCATAATTAAATAATTTGTTCATTTATTATTGATTGACTGATATATAAATTATATATATATTGCTATTTAGTTTTGTTGTTCTCTTATTTCATAAATTTATAAATTATTAAAAAAGACAATATAAAACATGTAATAAATTGTGATAAATACAAAATTAACTTGAGCAAATATTATTTTATTATTTAATGTGTGTGAGAGAGAGAGAGAGAAAAAAAAGAAAGAGAGAAAGAGAACTTATTTATAATTATTAATATTAATTTGTTTTTCTAATTTAGTTTAATAATTAATTTAAGTATTTTATTATTATCTCAATTGACTCCAATTATATTATCTATTTTTACTTTTGTTTTCCAAAAATTATCAATAAATTTTAAACTGTTTGATATTTTTAAATAAATTAAAGTAAATATGTATTATTTTTAGATAAAGAATATAGATTTTTAAGATAATATATATATATATATATATATATATCAATATATATATAATAGTAGTTAGTAGTTAGGATCTAAATTAGGATAATAATACAAAATATATATATTGTAAATATATACTCAATATTAAGATATGTTAATAATTAAGATTAAAAACAAATATTAAGTTAAATATTTCTCAATAATCCACTCTATATAGTATATACTGTATCTATAATATAAATGTATATTAATTATAAACTTTTATATTATTTTTATCTTTATTATATTAGAAAAAAATCAATCAATTATTTTATTTATTTTAAAAAAATACATTAAAATTTGAATTATGAATATTTTATCAACAATTATAATAAATATATTGTTTTTTATGACAACTTGTTATGAATTGGGTTTGTAATTGAATTATAAAGTTTTAATTATATTATAATATCTTATATTTTTTAAATTAAAATTCAGATAAAAATGATAATACGGTTAATATTATTGAAAGCTATGAGAAATTGTCAAAATCAATGATAAATATGAATAATAATAATAATAATAATATCAAACAATACACTACTAATTGTGACAAAAATTCCGTTAAGTCTACTGTATTGAGAAATAATGTCAAAAAATTGTGGTAAATATGTCCTAAAAAAATATTTTAATTATTAACTTTTTATTTTATTAATTGATTGAAAAACTATTACAAAATTCATATATTATTTGCTATAATTATAAATATTTTTTGTTTTTCTTTAATTATGACTATAATTATTGTTAATTTGTTTTTAATAATTATTATTAAAAGTATTGGCACCGAATCGGATGACAAACTAGTGGACACATCGGTGACGACAGTATCGCCGGAAGCAATAAATATCTCCAAAGAGATAACCGACGCCTCGATGGCCGCCATAGAAGAGGCCGAACTTATTAGTGACCAAATTGAAGAAGTTTTGCATCAAATAATCATTGATGGCTATTCTGGTACCAAAAAATCGCTCAAAAATTATATTTGGAATCAGATCGATAAAGTCTTACGAAACGGATTTATCAGAATTGAAGAATTGAGAAAAAAAGTTTTTCAAAGAGTTGATCCAATGAAAAGAAATGACATGAAAGTTGGCGTTCAAAAAGTAATTCATAAATTTAAGAAAGAGCTACAAATTAAGGCAAAACAAGCCTTTGATGAGGCCGTCAACTATTTTGATGGCTATAAATCCATTTACGATGATTTAAATTATAACATTGATATCAACATTATTAAGACCTCATCCAACCATCAATTGATTACTTCAGCTAACATTACATTCAATTGAATGTTATATATTTGACTACAAATTAGACTAAACCATTGAAACCAATTAACTATTTATTTTTTTAGTGTCATAATCATAAAAATACTGTATTTATTAATTCATTTCAATACATTTTTATCAATAATTATTACAAATTACTGTATTTTTATTTATTTCATTATAAAAAAGTGTAAAATAATGTTTTAGGAATGATCTAAATAAAAAATGTTTTTTAAATGTCATCAATTTATTTATTTTATTGAATTAATATTTTTAAATAAATTAAAGCAAATATATATTATTTTTATATATTTAAATTTTAGATAAAGAATATAGATTATTAAAATAATATATATATATATAATAGTAACTATTATAGTTAGGATCTAAATTAGGATAATAATACAAAATATATATTCAATATTAAGATATGTTAATAATTAAGATTAAAAACAAATAATAAGTTAAATATTTCTCAATAATCCACTCTATATAGTATATACTGTATCTATAATATAAATGTATATAAATGATAAACTTTTATATTATTTTTATCTTTATTATATTAGAAAAAAATCAATCAATTATTTTATTTATTTCTAAAAAAATACATTAAAACTTGAATTATGAATATTTTATCAACAATTATAATAAATATATTGGTTTTTATGACAACTTGTTATGAATTGGGTTTGTAATTGGATTATAAAGTTTTAATTATATCATAATATCTTATATTTTTATTAAAATTCAGATAAAAATGATAATACGGTTAATATTATTGAAAGCGACGAGAAATTGTCAAAATCAATGATAAATATGAATAATAATAATAATATTATCAAACAATACAATACTTATTGTGACAAAAATTCCGTTAAATCTACTGTATTGAGAAATAATATCAAAAAATTGTGGTAAATATGTACTAAAAAAATATTTTAATTATTAACTTTTTATTTTATTAATTGATTGAAAAACTATTACAAAATTCATATATTATTTACTATAGCTATAAATAGTTGTTTAATTATGACTATAATTATTATTAATTTGTTTTTAATAATTATTATTAAAAGTATTGGCACCGAATCGGATGACAAACTAGTGGACACATCGGTGACGACAGTATCGCCGGAAACAAATATCTCCAAAGAGATAACTGAAGTCTCGATGGCCGCCATAGAAGAGGCCGAACTTATTAGTCATCAGATAAAAGAAGTGTTCAATGATTTGATTATCGGTGGCTTTTCGGGCACTAAAAAGTCGATCAAAGAATCGATTCGCCATAAAATCCGCAAAATCTTAAGCAACGGCTATATATTGATTGAAGACTTGACCGAAACAGCCCTTCGAAGTGTGGATTTAATTATGAGAAATGAGATGAAAGTTGGCGTTCAAAAAGTAGTTCATAAACTTAAGAAAAAATTACAAAATGAGGCCAAAGTGGCCATTGAAGAGGCCGTCGATTATTTGGATGTTTTTGGCACCGATAGTGAATCCAATGAATCACTTTATGACAAAACCTATTATAGCTTTAGTATAGACTTTATTAAGACCTCATCCAACCATCAATTGATTACTTCAGCTAACATTACATTCAATTGAATGTTATATATTTGACCACAAATTAGACTAAACCATTGAAACCAATTAACTATTTATTTTTTAGTGTCATAATCATAAAAATACTGTATTTATTATATTTATTAATTCATTCAATTTATTGTATTATTTTTTCATAAAAAAATAATTATATTATTACATTATTTTTATTAATTATTTTTTAAAAATAACTAATGTATTATTACATATTTGTATTTTATTTATTAAGAAAATGTATAAAATAATGTTTTGTTTGTTTTTTATTTTTAAATAATGATTTAGTTATACCTAAATAAAAAATTGTTAAAAAATACATATGTTTTCTAAATGTCATCAATTTATTTATTTATTTAATTGAATAGCTATTATTGACCTTATTTTTATATAGAGTATAATTTTTTATCATGATTATTATTTATAAACTTAATAATACTGTATATATATATAAAGTATATTAGATATTAATAAAGTTTTAAGATTTGAATATTTTCTAAAATTAACTAAATATATTTATATATATATATTATATAATAATAATATAAATATTTAATCTTTATTAATACTGAAATAAATGTTATATTAATTTATGTTTAGTGATATAAATCTAAAATTATTTATTTTTTTTATATATAACTTATATATGTTTATTCATATTATTTCATATCAGTTAATTGCATATAATTTATTTTATTTTTTTCAGCTATAATAATAAATATGTGTAGATTTTTTTTATATACATACATAYATAACCAGAAATTTATTTTAATAATAATTAATTTTCTCTAACTTAGGAATAATCAATATTTTTTTTAAAAAATGTTATCAATATATAAATAACTGTTTGAAAGTTTTTTATTTTTATTTGAACTCAGATAAGATAATCTTAATAATTACCATTTATCTTCATTAATAATTATATTTATATATATCTAATATATATATTATAGTATTATAAAAAAGTAATAATAATATTAAGAATGTTTTATAAAACAAGAGATAAAATTCAAAAATACAAATATATTTATATATATGATATAAAAGTTTAGGGAAACACACATGAGATTTGATTTTGCAATTGAAAAATGCAATACAATTTAATGTGGAAATCAATTTTCAGCCAAAATAGTGTCATTGCATCCTATTTTAAGACATCAGTCAAATCTTTTTAGTTAAAAGTTATTATTATTTTTTTAAACAATCCGTTGTCTATTCATTACAATTTGATTTTTGTTTCTTTTATTAATAACAATATAGAGAGAAAAAAAAGTCTTTCATATAATAATAATAATAATAATAATAATAAATTATAAAATAATAGCTACAATAATAGCTTTCTTTTATTTAAGTTAATAAACAAATTCTAGCATTTTTTCTTTTGTTATAATACATCAACTAATTGTTGCTATAGATATAATTAAATATTAAATATATTTAATGTTCATAAATATTTCACTAATAAATTATTTGAAAATTGATTAATTTTATATACAAATTAAATCTGATAAAATTTTTTTGTTGTTAATTTCAAGAAAATCAATTATAAATGTTACACAAACAACAATATCTAAATTTATATTAAATAAAAAAAATTAACCCCAATTTTTGAGCAACATTTTTGGTATTACTAGTATACTTATACTGTAATTATAATTATAAAAAAGTGTTAATTTAGTTTTTTAGCCACAATTTATACAACAGAATATAATTATATTTATATATATTATATGAAAAGTTTAAAAAAATATATCTTAAAATAATTTTGCAAATATTGCAAACTTTATTTTTAAAATAGTTTTTGATATTATATTATAACAAATAAGATTGTTTTGAATCTTATTTTAAGTAATTAGCGCTTGAATTCAACTGAATTAACAATTTTTTAATTTTATTTAAAACTGAAATATATAGTACACAAAACCAAATAAATCCACAGTAAATATAAAAATTTTTGTTATAAAATTTTATAGTAAATATAAATAAAATAAAAAAATATTGTGCATAATATCGGTTTGTGTGTTATTTTACTTGTTTGTAACACACATACTAATAATAATAATCGTAATCATAATTATTTGAAAGATAAACATTTTTTGATATATAAAAAATATGTTAAATTTAACATAATATGTAATACTATACAACTAAAACATTTTTAGTTATTTATTTATTTTTTTGATAAATATAATAAATCGAAACATTTTCTAAATTATTTTCTATACTATATTTAATTTGCAGTATAWAAGTTGCATTTATTTAATTAATTATTTTTTTATGATTAAATAATTTAGAAATCATGAAAATAATTGTATAATTTTGCGATTATAAAAAATTAATAAATAATATTGTAGTAATGTATAATATTTTTTTTAATATTTTTTTTTGTTGGTGGTAAACATAAGGTTTGCGGATATTAAGTTTTTTGAGATAGCCACAATATGACCCAGGTAGTCTAGTCTATGAAAATTATTGAGTATTTCATACTATCACTGAAATCGTGTATAAATTGAATCTGTCTAACAGTGCAATAGTGTTTAAGTTGAACTTAATTTGTTAAATATACAGTAACTTTATATATACACTACAATGTGTTATAATCAGCCAAAACATACATACAGTATATAATAAAAAATATTTTTATTTGATTACTAAATCAATTTAAACTAATTTAAAATGAAATTTATATATATATTTCAAAAAATACATGTCACATATCATACAGTATATGTGGAGCACTGGTAGTTGTGGTGACGACAGTGCAGTTTATTACTATTATATACAGTGTATTACCGATGGAGAGGGGGGCTGTTCACTACTAGCTGGCGAAACCTAATATTATAGTATGATTGGTGGGGGACCAGTAGTTTGGCAGCACTGGTAGCTCTAGCTCTGTGTGTTTATAATAGGCACTGACAATAGCACACATACACAGCACAGCCATAGCATAGCCTTTTAAAATACAACTGACTGTTAGTTAGTGTTTGTGTGAGTCATTTGAGTGCACATTCAGTTTGTGTCTGAAATAAATATATTAAAAGAAAAATAATCTATAAGTGAGTTGTGTTGTTGTGTGTGTGGTATGAGTGGTATGAGTGCCGGTGATCATCAAATTGAGTCAAATATATACATACATACAGTCATTGCTCGTATATAAACCTTACTGTCCTTTCATTGTGAATGTCTTGTGACTTGTGATCATCACTTTGTTGGACATTCACACGACAATAACAAGAAGAAGAAGAAATCGGTGCATCCATTGAATCCATTGGTCCAATCAATCAATCGGTCATATTTTTGTTTGTTTAGGTGATGGCGGTGATGGAAAGTCGGGTCACAACAATCAGCTATTCACAGAACTCAACGGACGGATATATGGAACAGGAAGAAGAATGGGAACGGGAGGGTCTGTTGGACCCCGCGTGGGAAAAACAACAGAGAAAGGTATGTAACTATTATTAGGACACATCATATCACCCAATTGGGTGTCCATTCATCCATTTATTAGATCCAATGGGTTATATAGATTGTCTGTCACTAACTAATTGCTTACATTTTTTGGTGATTTGTGTGTTTGGATCTATCATTTGGTGACAAAACCATAAATGTCTGCACTCTATCTCTCTCTCTCTCTCTCTCTCTCTCTCTTGAGATACGGGTTATCACCAAATGGTTTAGTTAATGATTAGACAACACTTGAAGTGTGTCTTTTAAATTCAAGTGTAATATCGATTGTCTTTTAAATTATATGAACTAATTATAAGACAACTTTCAATGTTATGTTTGAATTTGTATTTTTTTAAATAAATATATTTTATTGATTACAACACACAAAATATTTATAATTGATTTAAATACATATTACTTATAAATATTCAATGATTATATTAATAATATCATTGAATATTTTTTTTATAAATTTAAATTATGTATAAAATTATTTTTTAAAACATTTAATACATACAGTATTAATAGTAATAATAATAATAATATGTTAGCATTTAATCTTATTTTTTTCAGTCATAACATTGAGATTTTATATTTAAGGAAACGTTTTTTCTCATAATAATATTTTTTTTATTTAATTAATTTTATGCCATAAATATATCGTATCGTATATTCAGTCAGATATTTATTTGCGCGAAATTAGTGCAAAATATTCTGTATATAATTTAGCCGTAAGGCATGTCTTGTACCTGAAAACTAAATTCATATTTAAATTTATATATTATTTTTTATAATTTTTTGAAAAACTAAAGAAAAAACATTATATTTTGTAAAATGTTGTAAACTTAAAAAACAAATTATTTGCATTAATAAACATTTACAGTSTGTGTGTATATATATATGCAAATAATTTGAAACTATATCCACATTTTGAAACAATAGCTGCAATAATAATGATTAGCTTTTTTAGTAACACTTAATAGTCCAACAATTGGCATATAATTTATTTGCTAATACCTAATAATAATAATGTATTGAATTGCAAAACTGTGTGTATGTATGTATTTTATTGTATAGTTATGTGTTTTAAATCAAGAGAGAAAAAAATTAATACAAATAATGACAGTAATAATAGTTTGCAAGTGTTATTGTTATAAATTTATCAGTTTATTTGAGATTAATAATTGTTTGCCTCCTATCAGACATAATAATAATAATAACATAGTTTTATTTCATAGTTAAATATTTTATAACATTTTTGTGTATATATGTGTTGCTAATCATTGCATACAATATCATACACTCCCATATAATTATAACAAGTTTATCACAAAAAAAATATTTGTAGAGAAAAAATTAGTTTTTAATACCGAAATAACTCTAATTGTTGTTAATTTGTTTGCTGGGGATTAAAGCCAATGCCTGTCATAAAAACAAATGATTAGGACTTGACTATGATTTATATAAATAAATATAATTATTTGATAATATAAAACTGATATTTAGGTTAACATTTTATTTATAATTAAAAAATTGCTATATATTTTAATTCAAGATTACCTAGACACACAAAATTGTTTATTTACCTTGCTAAATTTGTTTACAATGATTCAAGTATTTTTGTTGTGTGTATGACCGGGATTTATTTTAATAATTTAGCATGCTTATTTAAAACAGCTGTATCATGACTTTTAAAAACATGTGTGATTATATATATTAAAAGTATAAAGTAATGTAATATTTTTATATTTATTAATTGCTTTATATTATATTTTTTGATGATATCATATCATTAATTAGATTGTTACGTATTTCAAAATGTTTTAATTTAATAAAAAAAATGTTTTAGCGAAATATAATTACATTAAATTTATTTTTTGCTAAAGTAATGGCAAACGAAATTATACTAAAAAATAATTTTATAGTTTTAATTATTATATTTGTAAAAATAAGTCGACAATAATTTCAGCGATTTTTATCATTTTATATGAAATTTCAAGTTTATATAATCTTTTGTTTATTCATTATATAATTAATTACTTTATGACTTTGAATATAAAGATTATAAAGTGTATCATAGTTTTTATATATAATAGTGTCGGTGTGTTTATTAGAGTAAAGTATTTAATAGCAATATTAATGGGTAGACATTAAAAAAATGTGTGCATTAAAAAAATCACACAACATTTCATCATTTGTTGGCTCAGATATGTTGTTAGCAAAAGAATATGACATTCCTTAGTGAGAGAGAGAGAGAGAGAGAGAGAGACTTCAAGTCCTAAACAATTGAGTGCAGAGAAGTAGTCAGCAAATAGTTTTAGATATTTTTCTCTTAATATATATAATGTGTTCAAATATTTTTGGGGACAATAATTAAGCCTTATTTAGCAAACCATACAAATATCTAAAATGAAATAAACAAAATAAAATTTCATACATAATGATATCAAATATATTATATAAGGAACCGGTGGTAGTATTACAGTGTGCACTGAACACCGTTAGATGGTTTTTACCAAAAAATAAAAACTATTGTTGTTGTCCTTCTGGCTGTATATTTGATAAGTTAAAGCAATGTATGGGTTAAACAATAATTGATATTTGAGGTCAAAACTGGTTCACAAACACTGCCATTAAAAGCACTGATTGTTTAATAATTTTCTGATTCATCACTCGATAACATAATTATTGTTGTATTTATTATTGGGAACGGGATGGCTATATACTATATATACAGTACATATGATTAGTGATTAATATTGATATGTCTGAGATAATGGATGACATCTCATACATACATAGCTAGCTATTAGGATAAATATCATATGGAGAGTGGGCTTAAAACCTGTCAAATAGTTGCTAAACATTATATCAATTAATTCAGATCAGATTATATTATTTATTTATTAATAAGTTAAGCGCTTTTTATATTTTTGTTGTTATTTTTGCAGACAAACAAACTAACAAAAATATCAAAACAAAAAATATTTTAAGATATATGATTAACAAACAAAATATAATAATATTAGTATTATTTTTATTATTATTATTATTTATTAAAATACATTAAACTATGTGCCAAATTTAGTACAAAAAGGATATCAATTGTGTGTGTAATGCGATACGTGTTATGCATTATTTTGTTTGGTTTAAAAACTTTTTCTGAATCTACTGTTTAATAGTTTGAATACTGAATATATTGTTTTTATTAGTTGTAATAAATGTCAAATTGTTTGGTATTTATTAGTATATATTGACACATTTGAGAGACATCGAGTAGTAGTTAACAAACAAAAAAACTTAATTTTGTTTTTTGTGAGTTTAAATTTCGTTTAAACAGATTTAATATGTAATACTCATGTATTTGATATATTTATAAATATAAATAAGTGTTGTTTTGTTACTACACTTTTTTGATGATTAGCTATTAGGCAAATGCCTAATACAGTAACTGTAATAATAATAGTCGGAGTTTTTAGTGTCTGAAAAAATTCAAATAACAATCTTTGAATACATAGGTTTGTATTAATAGTATTAATATCATATCGACTATACATCTCTTTCTCGACGACTATAACTATTACGAACTATTTGTGTTTACTATTGGCTCCATATATGGGTGACATTAGTTGGCAAACACCAGTCCTCCAGAGTCTATGGCGATGGAGGAGTGCGTGAGAGATCAAGTCTGGGCTTCATTTGATAATAATATTATGTATAATGCATTTCATTACTATATCACACATACTGTATATATACTGTATATATAATACAGTTTGTGTTGTTTGAGTTCATTCAAGTTATATGATCTAAATTTAGCCCAAACTGAAAGACCCAAACCATTGAATTATATATATATATATATTTATGTGTGAAGTTATGTGTATTACCCACAGCACTGGTATTTTGAATCTGATTTTTGCTTAACACTCAATGATTATTCTGTGTTTAACCTTTTGTGATAAAAACTAAGAGATTTATTTCATTTATTACTTATTTATTTTTTATCTTTTAGTTTAATAAATTGAGGAAATTTTTTATCTCAATGTTTAAGAAAAATTTATTGTTAAAAAAAGTTGAGAACACAACAAAAAATAAATGTTTTTTTCAAATATACTTAAGAATAATTACAAGAATTTGTTGGCATTAATATCAATATAATACACACACATACAAAACAAGGGGTTTTGGGTGTCGGTATATACAGTATATATGCCGATAGCTTAGGCGCCTGATTTGGCCCACAAATTGGACATATATATGATATATATATATATTTAAGCTATCATTTGTGTGTCATTTTCTAAATAACATGTAACCTATTAATCTTTTTTTGATATGTATATTATACTATACAATATATATATATAAATGTATAAAAATTGCAAATTATGTGAAAATGATCTGAGAAAACAAATTTGACATGAATTTTATTTTTAAAAACCAAATTTTTAAATTGATTGATATTAATTAATTAGTAAACAAATGATAAAACCATGACTTAAAGCCATGATATATAAAAATAATGATCAAATAAAGAGCTATTTTGTTGGCCTTATTAATGTACAATATATTGTAATACACATGAAAGTTATTACAATATTATTATTATATTTATAAAAAAAGTTTTAATATAATGGGTTAATTAATTAACGGATTGATTGATTGATTGAATTGGATAGACATTCACCGCTTGGTGTAACTCTCATCTACGCAAAGCCAACACATCGATTGATAACATCGAAGAAGACTTCAGAAATGGCTTGAAATTAATGCTTCTGCTGGAAGTGATATCCGGCGAAACACTGGCCAAACCAGACCGAGGAAAGATGAGATTTCATAAGATCGCAAACGTTAACAAAGCACTTGACTTTATCGCCAGCAAAGGTGTCAAATTGGTTTCAATTGGAGCCGAAGAGATTGTCGATGGAAACACCAAAATGACTTTGGGTCTAATCTGGACTATTATCTTGAGATTTGCCATCCAAGACATCTCTGTCGAAGGTATGATATTTGATTATAATTTGATGTTTTATTTTTTCAGACAATATTTTAAAAATCAATTGCTTTTTTATAATCTTATTTATAGAGATGACAGCCAAAGAAGGTTTGCTGTTGTGGTGTCAGCGTAAGACAGCTCCCTATAAGAACGTAAACGTCCAGAACTTCCACTTGAGTTGGAAGGATGGTCTGGCCTTCTGTGCACTAATCCATAGACATAGACCTGATTTACTCGACTACTCTAAACTATCGAAGGTTTGCCAATATATCTAAACTAAAATAATTATCATTACTCACGTTATTAACCCCATAACTAACTGATGAACTGTGAAAATGATAGGACAATCCATTAGAGAATCTGAACCTCGCCTTCGATATCGCCGAAAAACATCTTAATATTCCTCGAATGCTTGACGCCGAAGGTATTTACCATTTCTTATTTAATGTGTTATTGTGTTTGTTGTTGTTGTTGTTATTATTATTAGTGACATAAATTGTTTGCAAGTAGTAGTTGTCAATTAACCCATTTATTGGTAAAAAACATTACCATAATTAGCTCCTCATTAACAACTATAATGAAAATTATTTTTTTATATAATAAATTAAAACTAAAATACAACTAAAAACTTAACTGATTAAAACTATTAATAATATTTTTTAAAAAAAGATTAATTAAATTAATATATATTATTGAATTTGATTTGGATTAATAATAATAATAATAATAATATCAAATTAATTGGATATGAAATTATCATTTTTCCCAAGAAATTTGCCAATAATTGTAGCAATAGATTGATGTGAATTTTTKTTGTTGATTATCGTTTATATTATAAAAATAATTATATTGTGTGCAAACAGAAATGGTAAATATGGTGAAACCTGATGAGAGGGCCGTAATGACATACGTGTCCTGTTATTATCATGCCTTTCAAGGAGCCCAACAGGTAATCAATTGGTGCAAAAAACATTATTTTTTTAAATAGCTATTAATCCGTTTGTCAATTAGGAGGTGTGTGTGCACTAAAATTGATTGATTACGTATAAAAATAATTGATTAGATTATTTAAAAAAACAAAAATTTAAGTTTAACCTATAGGTAAAAGTTGTTAATCAAATGCTAATATGACATCCCAAATAAAAACCCTAATACTACTTGCAATTCAATTTGATTGCACTTAATTGTTTGTACTGTAATTTATTTGATTATTTATTTGAAAACTAATATCTTTTTTTTAAATAAAATAAATTGCTTTTGTTTTGACGCCACCGTTAACTTAATCAAAATAAATAAATAGATATAAATAACAGTCCGATGCCTGATGAACGGGCTGTTATGACTTATATATCCTCCTATTATCACACATTTGCCGGCGCCCAACAGGTACTGTATATATAATAATATATAAAACTAACAATTAACTGATCCAATGATTTGATGGATTACTAACTATGATGTGTGTGTGTGTGGGAAACATAGGCGGAAACGGCAGCCAATCGTATCTGTAAAGTATTGAAAGTCAATCAAGAAAATGAAAGGCTTATGGAAGAGTACGAACGTCTGGCCAGTGATCTACTCGAATGGATCCGTCGCACCACTCCGTGGCTCGAAAACAAAACCACTGATAATAAGCTGTCAACTGTRCAGAAAAAGTTGGAAGAATTCAGAGCTTATCGCAGAGTCCATAAGCCGCCCCGTGTCGAGCAAAAGGCTAAATTGGAGACCAACTTCAATACATTGCAAACAAAACTACGTCTAAGCAATCGACCCGCTTATATACCAACTGAAGGCAAAATGGTTTCCGATATCGCAAACGCCTGGAAAGGACTCGAGTTTGCAGAGAAAGGCTTTGAAGAATGGCTGTTGTCTGAAATGATGAGACTCGAAAGGTTAGACCATTTGGCACAGAAATTCAAGAATAAAGCCGATACACATGAAGACTGGACAAAAGGCAAAGAAAATATGCTTCAAAGTCAAGACTTTCGCAATTGTCGTCTGAATGAAGTTAAGGCGTTGAAGAAAAAACATGAAGCCTTTGAATCGGATTTGGCCGCACATCAGGACCGAGTCGAGCAAATTGCTGCCATCGCTCAAGAATTAAATTCATTGAATTATCACGACTCGACTACTGTGAACGCCCGGTGCAAACGCATCTGTGATCAATGGGATCGATTGGGAACTTTGTCGCAAAAAAGATCCGCAGCACTGGAAGAAGCCGAACGTGTTCTTGAAAAGATCGATACSTTGCACCTGGAGTTTGCCAAAAGAGCCGCACCGTTCAACAATTGGTTGGACGGCGCTCGCGAAGATTTAGTGGATGTTTTTATTGTGCACACTGTAGAAGAGATCCAAGGATTAGTCGAAGCACACGATCAGTTCAAACAGACTTTGGGAGAGGCAGACAAAGAGCACTCAGCTATTGTATCGCTTTCTCAAGAAGTACAGTCTATTGCAACTCAATATCAGATTCCCGGAGGAATAGAAAATCCGTACACAACATTGACCGGACACGACATCACTACCAAGTGGAGCGAAGTTAAACAATTAGTGCCAAAACGGGATCAGACTCTTCAAACTGAACACATGAGACAACAGCGCAATGAAGGACTTCGTCGTAAATTTGCCGAAAAGGCCAACGGAGTCGGTCCGTGGATTGAACAGCAAATGGATGCGGTGGCAGCCATTGGAATGGGAATGTCAGGAACTCTCGAAGACTCTCTAAGCAAACTTAGACAATACGAACAGGCAGTTAACCAATACAGACCACATATGGATGAATTGGAAAAGATTCATCAGGAGGTCCAGGAGGGCATGATTTTTGAGAATAGATATACTCACTATACTATGGAGGTATGAATTGATGTTTTTGCTTTAATTTCTCAATAGTTGACATATAATTAGCATTTAGTTGTAAATTATAGAAAGTTTTTTTAAGATTTAATTATATGTTAACAAAATTCTTGTTTTCTTTTACTGTGCAGACATTGCGTGTCGGTTGGGAACAGTTGATGACATCAATTCACAGAAACATCAACGAAGTGGAGAACCAGATATTGACCCGCGATTCGAAGGGCATCACTAATGAACAGCTGAATGAGTTCCGCGTATCGTTCAATCATTTCGATAAAAACCGAACCGCAAGACTCAATGACCACGAATTTAGATCGTGTTTAGTGTCGTTGGGTTACAGTATTAGAAACGACAAACAGGGAGATTCCGATTTCCGCCGAATCATGAATATCGTTGACCCGAACAACACGGGTTTTGTAGCATTTGACACTTTCCTCGACTTTATGACCCGCGAAAGTACGGACACCGATACTGCCGAACAAATCATCGATTCGTTCCGTATTTTGGCGTCAGATAAGGTATATATTTTTATCCCTTATTTTTATGCCCTAATCTGACATTCCTTTCCTCGACACACGCATATATAGCCGTACATCACAGCCGATGACTTGCGCCGTGAATTACCACCCGATCAGGCAGAGTATTGTATACAGCGAATGGCGCCATACAAGGGACCCAATGCAGCTCCCGGTGCTCTCGACTATATGTCATTTTCGACCGCATTGTATGGCGAAAGCGATCTATGAATCAATCGCTGAAAAACTAGTCACTCAATGCCATTGAATGCAATTTTTTCATTAATTATCAAAAAATATATCAATCAAACAAACAAACAAAAAAACTTATATAGAATTTCATACCTTTTAATAATCATTTTAACGGATATTATTATAATATGACAAATATAATTAAGTAATTAATTGTGTCTTAATTTAAAATATTATTAATATTTATTATATATATAAAAAAGAGAGACAAAGAAACGCAAAAATCATTTATAAAAATGAGCTCAAAATATAATTGCGGCCTAACTTTCATAAAAAAACTTTTCAAAATACTTGACAATAATTATAATATTAATATATAATTTGATAGTCATTTATAAAAGCAAAAATCAATTAACTGTTATGTGTTGTGTTTAGTGTTGTTGAGTGTCCTATTGATGTCTAAAAATCAATACTTTATATACATTATATATTTATTGATATAATTTGATATATCATGTCTACAATTAATTGTAAACTCGTTTTTTAGTTATACTCGACCACAGGTATACAATTTGGATAATAATAATGAAAAAAATAATTATTTGTTAAAGTCTTCCCTTATATTTTCATTCCTATTAAAATCCTCGAACCCTTTAAAGTGTAAATTAAGAAATAAATTAAATGTTTAACCAAAAAAAAAACAAAAAATATTGATTATTTTAATGAAAATTAAATTTGTTTTTCGTTTCATCAAAAATAAATTTTTTTCAATTGGGCTGTCATTTTGGGGAATGGGCTGCTGTCAGCTATATGTATCAAATATCAATTTTTTGCATACCAGTGTGACATACTTAACAWATTTTTTTGTATTGTATGCAAAATCCAGTCAAATACTACTAATGTAACAAAAGTTTAAAATTAAATCAAAAGCAAACTATGCCGATAAAAATAAGTCACATTTTAAAAAATGTATATAAAAAAAGGTTTGCATTGTTTTCATTTTCATAGTTATATATATATATGTTGTTGTGATACTACTATTAGATTATAACAATACTACTGTTAGAAGATTTATATTATGCCAATTGAATAAATGCCAATCGATATGTTTTGGTAAAAAATAATATACTAGGTTAATTTTCTAATTATAATCTTCATTGGGGTTATAAATAAAGAACAATAGAAACATAAAAATATATATTTTATAAAATAATTAACACATTATTAATTATACCAATAAGTTATAAATTTGATTATTTATTTATTAATATAACAACAAAAATATCGATAAATAAATTTAGAGAAAATAATAATAATAATAGGAATAGTATTGATTAATAATTAATTATAGTTTAAATATTTACTGGTAAYAATTGTTGATATTTTTAGGATAAAATTTAGTTATTATTATTATGATCATCATTACCATCATTGATGGTCATCGACGAGATAAGTGATTCTAGATATCCATCGGTGATAGCCATCGTTTCAAATGCTTTCTCAATAATTATCTTTTTGATTATAACATATCGTAATTTAATTTAAATTAAATTACAGTAAAAGTCATTAACACACAACAGATACATACCGTTGACGACGATTCTGATGATTGGTCACACATATTGGCCATCGAAGTCAATCGGTTTTTAATAAACCTATTTTGACGCCGTTGTTGCTGTTGATGTTGTCTTTGTTTTTGTTTGAAGTTCGTACAGAAGAGAACCGGACATTTGTTTTGTTGACATTTGATGGTATGATAATTAGAGAGTGCGATCAGTGGCCTACAAATGTGACATTTGCTACTATCGGGTAATTCGCTGGACATAAATTTACATGAATTGCAGTGTTGGATCAATTGTTTCATTTTATGACACGACGTCAGCTGACGACAGATATCATCCTTGCATTTACACGAATGGACCAGAAGTCGAATAAGACGATTGTTGAGTGAGTTTTGTTTGATTGATGTGTTGATTGTGACAGTTGTTGACTCAGAAGATTCAGTAGTAACTGTCGTCTCTATAATATCATCATCGATAGCATTGGTGTGTTTGTTGTCGAAAAAGTCTGAAAATTACAAAAAAAATATTACATTTTCTATAGATTTTTTTACAATTATGTTTAACAATTGAAAAATACCATCAAGTATTTCGTCATAAATCGGATCATAAGAATCACTGTCCACATCATTGTCCACATTATTGTTTTTAGTTGTCTTAAGAGTAATAAGTAATTATAGTATATCTTAACATTTAATTTTAATTTGCGATCAAATAAGATGATACACCTGTTGTGTCAATTCTGATGTCTTTTCAGATGTCTCATCAGATATTGGATCAGATATTTCTTCTTCTGTCTGTTTGAACTGTTGACAAATTGGACACTCATTGCGAATACAGTTATTCCAGTGAATACCGATTTGTCGAAAACTGAAGCAATCAGTTACTTGACAGTCCATCCCTACAATTATCGACAGTTTTTTGGACAACAATAGAAAGATTATCACAAACTAATACATGACTTACCTTCGGTACAGGTTTTCAAATGAATGATAACATTCTTAATAGTTGGACACAGAGGTAGTGGACAATTGTGTTCAATCCCATTGATGTGGTCTTTTTGAAGACATTGATTTGAGTGAAGTAAATCACCTAATTTTTGTTGAATTAGTTTACACTGYTCTTCATCACCAGTAGTGACCATAAAGTCTATGGCGTTGTTGTTGTCGTCAAATTCGACAATCAATTCATACTTATATTTGTCGGCCAACAGACTGATAGCATTTCTGTTGACTAACTCAAGACTAGTATCTTTCTTGATGATCATCGGAGGACTTCCGGAATCAATCGAGTGATAATAATAGCATGGATTTGATCTCAGCTAAAAAAATAATAGACAATTATTTTTTTAGACAATAATCATCTGATTTGATCCGTCGCCTGATCTGATTGATTGGTAGATATAACAATACATACCGCTGTGATGACCACATGTCCCGAATCGGACACTTTGATGATGGCATGATTTCGTGAGACTTTGTTGTCGTGACACTAAATAATGAAGAATCAAWTATCAATCAATCAATTAAATTGTGATTAAATGAGATATTATTGTATTGACATTACATCCGGTAGTCTTTTTCTGCCAATTAGTGTCTTTCCAACCGATAATTTCAAATAATTTATTACTTCGTCGGTAGTGTCCACTCGTCTGAGTGCAATCCACATGAYTACTGATCAATGATTGTCTTCACAAATATTTTTTTTTWWAAAATGATGCAAAAGATTATGAATTATTGGTAAAAAATTAAARAGAAAAAACATACAATAAATTCAATTATTATTTTTTTTGTGGTTTAAAAGTTTTTGACACTATTTTTGTTTTTTGTGTTCAACTTTTGATAACAAATTTTAACAAATAATTATTATATAATTTTTTCGTTTTGTTGTTTCATTAATTTAATGATTTAATAGGTGTTTAAGTGCGCAATATATGGATAACATGTAGACAGTCATAGGGGGGTCAGTTAGCTTAGGGTAAGTCCGGGTGCCCCTCAAGTCCAGTCAAGTTTACACAATCACGGAAAAAGTCTKAACCAAACACAACCCGAACTTCGGTTGTTTTTTTTAGTTTTCATCTCTAATAGACAATACTGTGTAGATTTGAACCCAAAAAAACCGGATCCAAACCGTTTGGGAAACACACTGTATGGCAGAAGGAAAAAAATCAAATCTCTTATTAATTTTGGTTTATTAATAGTAATTAAATTTATTATAATTAGATTTAGATACAATATATTTAAATAAATACATATTTCCCAAAAAAATAATCCTAAATTAAATTATTTATTATTAAAAAAAAAAATTAATCGAAAATATCACCAAAAATCTTAAAAATACAGGTTTTATATAAATTTATTTTCAATACTTGAATATATTGTAAATTATRAAATTCATGTTATATTTGATTTGTTAATAATTATAATCATATATAAAATTAATTATATTATTGAAGATAAATTAATAAAAAAAGCAACAAAATAAAATTATTCTTTGTTAATACAAATATTTAAAATATATAATAATAATGATAAATATATATCACTTGAAAATGTGTTAAAATTAAACAAATTGTCAAATAGTTTGGTTAACAAAAAATAAATTAGTCTTCTTTGATAACCAGTGAAGAGATATTTATCTCATCCATCATTTCGTTGTCTTCTTCTGGAGACTAAATGGTATCAAACAATTTAATTAATAATTTACTAAATAATTTGTTTTAATACCTGAGCTGATCTGAATCGGGCCACCCGTAGGATTGCCTCAGTTAACCGTTTCCTACGATTTGTCAACTGTTCTCTGTATTGTCGATGTCTGTGATCTCTGAGCTTACGTTTAATGTTATAACAGTAGGGAACTGGACATCGGATTTGTTGACAACATTTTGCGTGATAACAGCACAAAGCAATCAGTTGTCTACAAACAGTACAACCGAGACGACCGGTAATCGGGTCGACGATGCGTTTGCGGTCACAACTACGCGAGTGGACGACCACACGCTTTAGCTTATGACAGGCCGGCTGTTGACAGTAGCCGTCGGTACACTCACTTGAATGGACCAGACTTTGGATACATCTTTTGATGTTTTCTTCCCGATCATTGGATCGGCTGTTGTTGTTGGAAGTGATGTTTAGGTTAACCGCAGACCCTTTYAAAYGACAAAATAAAACTTTAGGCAATACTATAGATAATATCAATATTAACAAAAAATTATCACAAAACTTACCATGGACATTATTTTGTTGCTGCATTAGACTAAGTTTATCCATCAATTCATTGAGTTGTCTGTCATTGATTTGTTGGCCACTCATAATTGTATTGAAACTTAACCTATTTTTTGTGTGTCCACCAATTAATTGAATTTAATARTTATAAATTATTAKTTTAAAAAATAAATAAAAATATAACATACAATATATATATATATATATATATATATATGATATATAAATATATTTATATGAAACTAATTGTTTCAGTCACCAGTTAATAGTTAAACTAATGTATGTATAGTAACTAATGTATTAAACGTATTGAACAAACAATTAAATGGTTAACACATATATTCAGGTTATTTAACTAGTGATGCAATTTGATAACAACTGTTAAGAGTTTTAGCCAATCATATTCAACAGTCAATGTATTCAAACAAATAAGTGATAACTTTCGGGGAAATACTTTGAATGCAATGATTTTTTTGTTGAAAAAAACGGATATTTAATAATCGGATTTTTTTGTCAGTATTACCAATCAATTGTAAAATTATTTAAAAAGATTATAAAATTTATTTGAAAATTATCAATTTATTAATTTGAACCATTAATATATATTTAATCATAGTAGATTACTAATAATAATCATTAATAAGTCAATTAATCAAGTGTAGTTATTATTATTAACTTAARCAAGCTTATTTTTATTTCAMATATTTTTCTAATAGTAGTATTMATTTATTTGTGTTTAATATTTATAAATTATAATCTTATAATTTATATATATATTATATATATATATAGGCTATACTGTATAGTATTTTTTTATATTTCTATCAATCGTTTGYAACATTTAATTACTATCATTATCATTTTTTAAATAAAAATTAATTTTTACTAATTGTTAACAAAATTACATCATCATCATAGTAAATAATATTAAATAAAAAATATCATCATCATAAAATGTACATGTTGACATGTTTTTAAGTGTCAAACAGGTATACTATGTTTAATAAGGTATACATTCAAATAAATGATGAAAACTATCGTTTAGTAAACGACAAAAAATGATGAAATTATTTTGTTGAACATATGATATACATTGCAATACAAATTACATGTGACAGAGAAATACCTAACTTATGAATCACTCTTTTATTATTATTATAGTATTAAATATAAGAAATTATCATGAATTTTGGTTAGAGTAGTCTATTCCGGGTTTAGATTACAAGTTTTATAAACAATACTTTTAAAAACCATAATAATACCAGAAATACTGTATCATTACCGGTAGTGTCAACTAATATGTCATCTAATATAGTATATCCCGATAACTATTGATTGTTGATAATTAATAATAAGTAAATGTATAAGTCATTGATTGTAATGTTAAAAATCAAATATTGATAAGCAATATATTATAATAATAATCGTTAATATTATATGTATTAAATTTTAAAAAAACTTTACTTTACAATTACCTGTAGATATTTGTTTTTCAACTATAGCTGTTAGTGTATTACCGATAATAAATAAAATTGTTATTTAAATTGGGTGATTTACAATACATTTGCATAAATATATATAAAATAAATAAATAATTATTAACCATATAAATTGTTTTGTGTCTATTGATAAATAAACACAACAACAACAAAATATAATAATTCAAATGATATTATTTGGCTTTATTTTATACATTTAATAAACATAATTATTAGACGCAATTAAGCCAATCATATTTCCCATTCATTTGTTTCATTGTTATTAACCGTTTTTTTAAATTGTCATTTAAGGCATACTTTTTTCAGATATTTTTTTTATTACTAAGTATTTTGTTTCAAAATTAACATTTTCTATAGGATTTAAATAAAAATACATTAATTTTTTAATATATATATATATTTATATGGTATATATGTATATCACTTTTGAGTTATATAAATTTTATATAAAACAAAAATTGAAAATAAAATAAACAAAAAATATATAATCAAAAAAAATTTTACGATACAAAATATTTTTAGATTTTTTTTAGTTAACATATGTATAGAAAAAAATTCAATATTTAAGATAATAATAATAAGAATTTTTTAAAAATATAATTACGATAAATTCAATTAAATCAAATAAAAATGTTTGAGTAGTTATGAAGTTATTAATAATAATAATTATAACAATAATTCAATCAAAAAATTAATTCAAAGTCAGATTTGAAAGATAGAGATAAAAGAGTAAATCAGAAAACAAACAAAAATATATATTTAATTTGAATTAATTGCATAGAAAAACTTTTGTTGTTGTTTTTGTTGTTGTATAGAAAGCAATCAATAATACAATAATTATTTTTTTGGGGGAAAAAAGATTCTTTCAATTATAAGTAAAACTTTTTTATTATTTAATTTTATTCTTTAAAGAAAAATTCATATTTAGTTTTCTTGTGATAACACAAACTTTTTTTTTCGGTGTGAAAGCGATGAATGATTTTTGTTTTGTTTAGTTTGGCGGCACCTCCTGTGGTGCAGATCATAAAATGGATATTATTTTTGTTGTTGTTGTCGTCAGTTGACTGAGAAATTTTGGTCGTCATCGCTGTTATCTTCGGCTTTATTCGGATCGTTAGACTTGTTTGGATTCAGCCGTTTGTAGGTCTCCTCGATTATACTTCGTCTGTAATAATCCAKCAATCAATCAATAATAATAATAATCAATAAATTAGACAATAATTTGCAAATCAAAACATACTTAGCGTCGAGTCCACCGCCGGGCGGCAAAAATTCCAAGTCTTCATACACAATGGCCTGAAAAACCTCAGCAATCGTCAGGTCATCGTTTTTCTCAACAATTTCTATTAATAATTTTCATAACCAAATATAATTAAAACTAATATTTTTGTTAAAATTAATAATTAAATACAAACCCTGAACTTTCTTATCGATTAAAGCGTTGAGTTCCTTATCTTTTTGTTGTGCCTCCTCGCTAACGGTGGGGGCGCCAGGAAAACAAACCAAAACAACACTCATATTATCTTTACTTCCCTATTGTTGGACAATAAAAATATATTTTTTAAAGAAATTTGTCGATAAAAATGTGAATCATATGTTCGTATGTCATACCCTATGAAGACTTGTATCTATAATAGATGAACAAACAGTTTCAAGGTCTGGATGTATAGTTAGTTGATGTCTGACATAATCGCATAACTCGTCGTTATCCATGACATCCCAAATGCCATCGCAGGCCAGTACAAGAAATTCGTCACCGCCTTCGCGTGTCTGGACTGTAATTTCTGGTTCAGGTGATACTAACTGTTCGCATGGACCGCGACCTTCAACCTGTCAATCAAATAAAAAACACATATTTCTATAATAACGAAATAATGCAATCATCGGTAAACAAGTGAACAGTGCAAACCTGTTTGTACTCGTAATCTCCGAGCGCTCGGGAGACGGCCAAAGAGCCATTGACCCGTTGAATCATAACACTGCCGCCAGCTCTTTGGATTCGCTCTTTTTCGGTCGGATTAATAGGTTTGTGATCCTGAGTCGAGAAGAAGGCTTTGCTGCCGCGCGACAGTACGGCTCTCGAGTCGCCACAGTTAGCGAAAAAGAAATGTGTTGGCGATATGAGACAACAGACTGCGGTCGAACCGCTCTTATCTTCCCCGGACTCCACTTCGGGCAGTCGTTTCATTTTTTCGTCTAATTTCAAAAACCCGTCTCTAATGCTTTGTTTAACGGACTCGATTTGTTCGGGACTTATGACGCCATTCGTTGTGTTAGATGACGGTCTGAATGCATCCGTTTGGATGATTGTGTTCAATAAGTTTTCGGCGCAATGGGCCGACACACGGGCGCCCGCGTGGCCATCAAAAACTAATAACATATCAAATCAAATATTACTAATCACACAAACATAAACCTATTATTCTATAAATCCTATTCCCGATAATCTATAGGTCCACTGACCGGCAAAGAAACTCCAATCGGTGAGCTGCGGGAGACCAACAACGGCACAGTGCGCGTCCTCCATCTCTATCCTCCAGCCCTGCATCGAACTTAAGCCAAATCGGAGGCCATTGCCGTTTCCTTCCTCAGTGTGCTTCTCAGTCTTGGGTTTGTCGAGAAAAGCTCCCATTATTTTCTGGTTGTTGTTGTCTTCTGTCGATTGCTTTTTTGATTTATTGATTAGAGCGAAGACACACACAAACAAACACTTTTAAAACGGTTATTCAAATTGTATTCAATATATTGTTTTCATATGAATATATCATTTGATAATTACGGCGACATTTTAACAATAATGTCGGCGACAATCAAATCAAAATACTTACAGCAAATTATATGATAATTATATTATTATTAATTAAATAACAATAATCGATAAATATATATGAACTTTGAAAGAAGTGGCAAAAAAATCAACGTAATTGTGGATCAATTTAAAAGAGTTTGTCATCTAATGATATATCACTGAACAATATCCACATCAGATGGTGTGGCAATCAATTCAATAGTCGTTTCAAATTAAACGTGTCTTTTATTATCTGTTTTTTTCACTTCAAATCACATATCTTCTTGTATATGGACTGTAAATAGTTGTTGTCGTCGCTGATGATGACTATCACACACTTCTTGTGTGTATTGTTGTTGTCGGCGGTGTGCGTGTGATATGTCGTCGTCTAGTCTTCGGCGGCGTCCAAGAAGATGAATATATCGGCGAATACCGATTGTTTAGACCAATAGTATAGTGAATGTGCGGACAATACGATCACCAAATTGTTTGTCTTGTGTTTTATTAATGTCTTTATATGTCTGTGTTGTGGATCAGCTCAACAACACATCCCTTAATGAGAGTCACAGTCAATGCCATTGTATTGTTATTATTGACACAACTATTCAATCGAAACATCGAATCGAACATCGATTACAATACAAACTGTTCATATAGTCTGTGACACCAATAGTCCAATGATTTCTATATTAATGTGTAATAAATATCTCATTAATGTATTCATAGTTTTTATTGCTATAAATATATTACTGTGTGTTTGTAGTGACACTCAACCGCAATACACACCGGTATTACAGTTATTAATATACAGTATATTAGACTTAACCGTCAAAAACATACATAAATTGTAATAAAAAAATAATAGTTATCATTAAAAAATTGTTTTATTTTTTAAAGTGTTTAATAACTATTATTAATAATAAATCTATTATTATTATTATTATAGTATTTATTATAACAAAAATTATTTTATTACGATATCAGACGATAATAAACTGTAAATAGTTGTGTATTGCAGTCAAGTGTCAATCGAGGCGTTGTTTTCAATGAAATGATTAACACATTTATATAGTAATACAAAACACGAGTCAAACACCGCTAGTCTCTAACCATCGATGAACCAAAAGAAGATAATGCAGGCGTCGTCCATACAATCAAACCAATTAATGCCAGCCGAAGATCAATGGATACCATTGTTGACACAGCGAAGGCATACAAGCGATTTCTTGTGGATTACTTGTCACGACTGGAAGTGCTCGTCATTTAAGTATTCAAAACACCGGACGCCCGAAGCCATCGCTGAAGAAGTATACAAATCGGAGATTATTCAGGTATTTGATTGAGTGGTGTCTGGATTAGGATTTATTGAATTATTTTTAATTTTATTTTTTGAATTTTAAAGGAACTATTGCGACAAAATCCAAGAATCAAGAAGAGAATCGATACAATTCTGGTGGAAATGTGTCACACATTTTCCTTAAGATACGTACGATTTGTTGGCTATTTTTTGACCAAAATTATGAAATCTATTTACAAGAATGTCTTTGTCGACAATCAACTTGTATTGTCCGCCAATTCTGTGTACTTCCAGAAAAATTCTACTTTAAGTTTAAGCCAAACGATCAATGGTTTGGCTAAAGAGTGTCCCATACTATACGTGCCATCACATCGAAGTTACGCCGATTTTCTCATATTTTCTTTTGCCTGTTTCTCACTGGACATACCATTGCCATCAATAGCCGCCGGAATTGATTTCTTAGCTCTCAATCAAATCGCTTCATTGTTGAGATGTTGCGGTGCTTTCTTCATCAGACGTTCGTTCAAACATTCATCGGATGGACTCTATTGGCATATATTTCGTGCATATCTTCAGAGTTTAATCCACGGTTCAGAACAACCGCTTGAATTTTTCATTGAAGGAACTCGTTCAAGAAGTGGTAAATCACTTTATCCAAGAACCGGTCTCCTAAGTGTTGCATTGGAACTATTCTTTAGGGGACAAATACCAGATATTATGATTATTCCTGTTTCACTATCATATGAAAGAGTTCTAGAAGAAGGTTTATACGCTAAAGAGTTGCTACCAGTGGACACATCGACAGGAAAACCGCCCGAAACGGCCCGGAATTTGTTGAGCGGTGCCAATGCTGTTCTGTCGCAAAACTTTGGATCAGTTTATATTCGATTTTGTCAGCCAATCAGTGTACGAGAGTTGAGTCAATCGCATGATATCAGACTTAGTCATACACTTGATTCCCGTTGTGATCCAAATGCACAGCAAACGCAACAAGAATTAGATTTTGTAATGGATTTATCAAAAGACATAATAAGAGCACAACAAATGAATTTTGTATTTTCGCCGTTCAGTTTGGCGGCACTGGTATTCTTAGCCAATATCGATGATAATATGTTTACCATACATGAGCTGATTCAAGATATGGAAAATTTAAGTTCTCTATTGAATCCAAGAAATTTAAGCTTCGCTTTAGACGACGACAAGACATTAGTCAGTGAACTATTGGATTCATTTGATGTCCACTCAAATATCGTTAAACTAGCCGAAGACAAGACCACTGTTTTATTGGACACAACTAATCCATTACTTAAAGTTTATTTACAACAATACGCAAATCAATCGATGCAATTGTTGATCGATTACGGGATCATACTCTACACTAGTCGTGATTATTATCGGTTTCAACGAATCAAATGGTTTTTATCGCGCGAATTCATCTACAAGACATCGGAGGTCAACGATAGCTATATTTTGGCCAACTTTGTCATTGAACAGCCGTTAACCGACCGAATTAAGAGAGTATTAACATTTCAAATTGATTTCTACATTAATAGCTATCTATCAATAGCTAAATGGTTAATAAAACAGTATTACGAACAGTCTAGTCATGAAACTACTGGTGATGTCAACAACGATACGAAAAGTTTGGTTAAAAAGATTCAAAAAGATTTACGATTGACATCGGATTTAATACAAAATTGTTTAAACATTTTCATTAAATCCGATGCACTGTCCAAACTAATTGATAATAAATTACAAGTCAATGAAACTAAACTGATGGTCATTATAGACGAATTAAGTCAATTGTCTCGTCTGTGGCCACAACAGAACAACAACAATAACCAGTCAAATGTTGATCTCTTTGCCAATAATTTTGGTTATAAATCCAATTTATAAGCAAACAAAATATAAATCAAATTAAGTAACAAAAGTATTTAATCCATCAAAAAAAATTAAGCCAATTATGTGTATTTAAAAACAATTTACAACAAAATTGTTTTTTATATTTAAGTATTTAGCAAACAAATTATTTATTACTTTAATACTGTAATTAATAATAATAATATACTTATTATATGATAGTATTTTATATATAGTTTTGAAATTATTTATTATTAATACTGTATTATTATTTTAAATTAAAAAAATATATATACAGTATTTTATTTATAATTACTAATTATTAGACAATTTTACAAATTTTTGTGATTCAACTAATTAATTACTTATATAATTCTAAATTAGATAATAATATAATAAATATTTAAAAAAAACATTAACTGAATGTGATTTTATTTTTTGACATTAAAACTACATATTGTGGGCACACTATAGGTATGGCAATAGTAGGCGCCACAATATATATATATATATTATTATTAGGGTTAGATTGAGATTCCCAGGGAGGGAAGTTCCCAAATAAAATCCCTCCAATTTTCCCGGAAAATATGGAAAATATATTATATTCCCTCCCTTGATCGTTAGAAAGGGAAAATATAATTTGTCATACATTATAAAGTACCTAATCTCAATGACTATATGTTTCAATTGGGACCAGTATGTTAGTAATAACTCAATCAAAATATGATTCAAATATTATTAAACATTTAGTAAAAATATTAAATACATTTTGTAGTCATTTACTATACAAACGTGTTTTTAATTAAACATTATGTAATGTGAGTTATGGTACGATAGGTGGTACCACAAGGAAATGTCTTCCCAGGGAATTCCCAGGGAACAGGGAATATAAGTAACTTATGGATAATAAGACGAGGGAGGGAATCTGATCTAACCCTAATTATTATACAGTAATCAGTACTCAAAAATTGTTTTCAATATATTATATTTAAGTTTTTACAAAAGTTCAATATAATTTGTAGTTTTTTTTTTAAATATCGTACATCCCTGAGCTAACACCGGTACCCATATAAAAATTATTCGATATTGTATTGATGACAACAAACTGTCAAACAAACAGATTATTATTTTCAATTAGCTGGTCAACAAGTGAAATGTGACCAAGGACAATGTTGTAGATAATTTTAAACTAAATAAGATTGGTCATTTTTTATTAATTGCATTATTTTGGCAGATAATTGCAGTCGACTGTATATTATATGGCCAATCATACAATTAATAATGACATATCTTATTTATTTTAAAATTATCTACAAAATTACCCTTGGTCACTTTTAAATCCAACCTATTGTTTTGGGACATCAATTGAAATAATTTTTAAAAACAATTTATTAGAGAAAGAGAGAGAAAGCATGACCTGAATGACTGACCTATATATATATATGTCATGAGTGGACGCCATCTATACGTTAATATATACACAGTATATATATGCCATTTAGTGGACAGTGTGTGACACAGAATAGTCGTTTAATCTTTCATTTTCTGATAACACGTGTCTTTGATTTTTAAAAAAAAAACCATTTTCTTTCGATTACAACACGTGTTGATTAACACGACATCGTAAGCATTGYCCAAATAAGTCCATCGTTACAATCGATAGTCTCGTATAGCGTTCATAACCAACACATAAAACACGTGTTTTTATCATTTAACGCAACTTTCGTTTACAAAGTTTTTAAAATATCGATTTTAACCAACAATTAAGTGACCGAAATATGTCGGCACGCAATCACTTAACGAAATCAATGGCCAAATCTTCATCGAGTCGTCAATTGACGACATCGACCGATACCGAGGGACGGATTGTCGAAGAAGCTGTCAGACGACGACTTCGACAAAACGATCCAATTCTCGAATATTTCAATGAAATGCGTCGTTCAATGCAACCAAAGAATCCGGAAGATTGGCAACAGATGGCTGTGGCCATTGAAGAAGTGCAAAATAAACCAACAATTGTTAAGTCAGACCCTAAGCAACAACAACAACAACTCGTAGAGGAAACGGATGATCAAAGAAAAGTTATACAAAAGAAGAATAAGTCGAAGAAAACCGGAAACAATGGTAAATCAGATAATAAGAAGCCATCGACTCCATGTCCGCGATGTTTACGATACGGTTATACCGAATTTCATTGGAAGAGTCAGTGTTTGCGTACAACTGATCCATATATAGGTGGCGCCGGACTAATGAATCCTCATTCGTCTAACTATATCTTCTACGATATGCTTGTCGATGGACAGCCTGTACGGGCCTTATTCGGCAGCGGTTCTAATATAAGTGCCATTTCGGTCAAAATGGCCAAACGTCTGGAATTGGAACCACAGCCACGACTAAGTCAACGAATTCAACATTTATTCGGTCAAATCATTAGTCACGGAATTGTCCGACCGATGCTCAGTTTGGACGGCCGTTCCAAACGTTGGCCGATTCACGTACTTCAGGACTATCCGCACGATATGCTCTTAGGTTACGATGTTTTTCAGTATTTCAATTCAGATGACTCGGGTAGGTGTGAGCCGGAAGCGTGGGTAATGTCAATATGGACTGCCGATAATTTTGACAACTGATATATGAGCCCAATAACACATACCCCTTAATAATACGCACCTGTAGTTTACGGATATATATCTTTATTTTTTACACGCGATCTTAAGTTAAAAAAAATTTTCTCTGACATATTATTATTATTATTATTATTACCGGTACTGTATATTAAATAAAATCCTAATCAATAAAAAAAGTTAATTTAGTCATAAATATTGTTTGTTATTATTAATTATTTAACTGCAGAAAAATAATAATTTTTTAAAAAAATTAATTCATTCATAGATTATTATCTTATTTATGAATTAATCAATTGTTTAATTAGTGAAACAATTAAATTATAATTGTATTTTAATTGATTATGAAAATTACTGGCAAATTAATCGATTTTTTTTTATAATAATTAGATTTTGTTTGTGATTACTTTTTTTAGTACATTAATATTTTTATTTATAAATAATTTACATTTATTAACAATAATTTATTTTGCTTTTATTTTATAATAATTATTTTACTATTATTTTAATATTTATGAGTAATTATTACATTCATTTTTTTCTATATTAACATATTTATAGCTTTTGAGTAGTATTTTCAATAATTATTTTCAACAATAAAAAAACATAACAAATTATTTTAATTATATATCAGTTAAAGATCAAAGATACAGCAAAATGCATATAATTGAATAAAAATAACTATTAAATAACATACAGTTTAATAATATACATAATAAATAAGTTTATATTTTTTACTTTCAATTTATTAATTTATTTGCACAATGTTTTATTGATGTTTTATGATATGTATATAATTAAAATAATTAGTAATATTTATTTTTAATCATGATTTTATATACGGTATAATTTTATTTACGGTTTTATTATTAACATATTTTTTAATACACATTATAAATAGTTTTAATTAATTATATATTTACAGTAATAATTGCACACATAATCTCTATATTTAATTAAATGGGTTAGAGTGCTGCTATACTAAATGAGCACATATTTTTATTAATAATATAATATTAATATAAAGTTTATATTATAAACACAAGTTTTTATTTTATACACGACTATCAATTAAATTGTTTTGTTTATTATTATTATTATTATAAATGTCAAATCATTTCATTTTAAAATCAAAAATGTGGAACAAATGGTCATTAGTTCTCATTCGTCACAAAACAACAACAAAAAGTTAAGTAAAGTTTTAGGTTTTAGTTTTAAATGTCTGACAAATTATTGGTGATTTTAATTGATGTTTAAACTAATGGATTTTGAAAAAGTTATAGTTTAATATGAGTCAGTCACTTGTGGTGTAGTTGTCGTGTCTGTATATCATATATGTAGGGTTTTCAGACTGACCGGGTATTTAAACATATTTATTGAGCGATTATTGTTTTTTAGGTGATAATAGCTTTTTAATCTAATCCCCTAATCAATAGCAATGGCATTATCGCGTTGATGATCAAACTTAGTACTACTACTACTACTATTATCGCAATTGTCATTAATATTGTTTGATAATAAGTGAATGAGGGTATTGTCTGAGGGTATGGGTACCCGATTTGTTGTATATCTTACATTTGAATAGCGTCTAATCAGATAAACGGCCAGCAAAGTGAATATTCCCAACAATACTATTGATATGAATAGTGTCAATAGGATGGCAACAGTTAACAAATGAGGATTAGCAGCTGATCCTGTTGTCAATGGTTCCCGATTTTCATTTAAATCTAAATATATATAAAAAAGTATATAATGAGTTTTTATATTTAATTAATTTTTAAAAAATTAATTAAAAACATACCACTACTAATGCTATTGTCGCAAACTGGACAACAAATGCCATCAATTGACTTCAATAGATTTGCTGAACACTGAACTGATGGACAGTTGGGTTTAGTGCACATAATTTTTCCATAATTACACAGACATTGTCGGCATCCGTCATCCCATTGGTAACCATTTACAATAAGTGATCCATTGTTTAAAGTACAACCATCGCGTGCTAGTTTGATATCATAGTTTGTATTGAAATATGTTATACACTGACATATGGGACATCCATCCGGCCGTCTCTTGAAGCCAAACGGACAAAATATATGGCAATTGAATGTCTTATTCGGACAGTTATCACATTCGCATAACTGGTGTCCTAAGGCATTACGTTTGTAACCCTGAGGACAGTACAGATCACACGAAAAGGTCGACGACACGACTAATGGTGTGGCGCATACGGGACAGCACTGACCATCAATTCTAACCGGTTTATCACAATGGACAGGGCTACACATTTGCACCTGACAGCTGATCCTACCCATATTGCACTGACAGTATGAACAATCATTTTCATACCATTGATGAGTATTATTATAAAACTTGCCGTTTGATGAAATACAACCTATATTTCAAAAAAAAAATAATATAAATAAAAAAGTATTTAATACTGTACTGTATATTATCTACTGATGGCACTGTATATTAAATTCATAATCCATATAAATTACTATAAATTTAAAAAAAACAAATTTGTGAAAGCAATATACTGTACTATATTTTATCTTAATTACACTTTGCTAGAAATGTACTACAAAAAGTTTAAATGCAATAAATAATAATTAAAAATAATGAACATATATAAAGATAAGATTACCCTGACACGAGGGACAGCATTCATCATAGGATTGTTGTGTCATTGAATGACAGTTTTTAGGGTCGATATGATTACAGCTTTTCTTATAGCAAAATGCGAGGCCATCCCTACACTCACAAGTCGTACACTTATCGGCCAACCATTTATCGCCATTTATATATTGCAAACTATTATGAATGCAATTTTTTGGCACTGGATATAATTAATATTAATAAAAAAATRTTAGCTATTTTTTTGATTAAAATTTTAGTTAACACATACCAGCAATACATTCAATTTGATTACAACACGATCCGGGTCTACCCGTTGCCTGTTTCACTACTCTGGTTACTGTATTATTTGGACAAACTATTTGCGATTCATTACAAACACCCGGCAAACAAACGCATCTATTAATACATTTTAAAAAATTTTTAATTATAACTTTCATATTAAAACTAATAGGAAAAAATAATAATATTTATTAATATACATTTATATGAATTCACATATGTTATAACATTAATTATAATAATATTAAGTTATGTACAGTATWTACTGTATTAATAGAGTATAAATATTAAAAATAAATCAAAAATATAATTTTCATATAACATAGAATATTCTTCATTTATATAAAGATTTAATTTTTAAAAAAAAACTAATAATATTTAATGGCTTAACAAACTTACGTAGTTTGACAACAGTTACGTATGTTTGTGGTGACCAATTTGTAGCTATCATTATGACAGGCCATGCCATCAGTGATAGCACCGACATCTTTACAAGAGGAAGCACCGCCGCTACAGTCGATGACACCGCAAACACCAGTAGTAGATGTAGTTAATCGTTGATCATTGGTCACCAAATTAGTGTGAAGTGCATCCAAATATCTGTCAGACAAACATTGGAGACCATCAGCGCACCTGTCATTGGGACCACAGGTTTCGCCAATAGTTTTTAAACATCTATGACAGCACTGACACTCGTCTAATGTGATTCCGTACAAACATTTGGTGTTTGTAGTAGTGTCCGGACAGTTGGTTAGATTGCAATAAGTTTGTGTACAAGTGCTGTCAATATTATTAATCAATGATGTGATTATTATAATTATTATAATATTAATACTAATAATACAATTTAATAGTGAAACAGTGAAAGCATAGGGTTTGTTAGCAAATAGACATCTATTCAATTGCATAGTTGTCAAGTGCTCTCCTGATAATCAAATGTTTAATTAATAATATATAAAAAAGAGTTGTTATAAGTGTTGCCTCACTATTGGCACAAATTGCTTATAATATATATTAATATATATATATATATTTATATTTATGTGATTATAATAATATAACTAAAAGGTTTTTATAGACAATTTATACACGACAAGGTCGCTAACAAATGAAATAAAAAATATTATTATTATTAATATTAATATTATTAAATTTGTAACAAACACCATAAAACATAATAATAAATAATACTTTTTTCTGAAAAATTGATAATAAATTAATGATAAGCCGATGATTAAAAAAACTACAGCCAAATACACTAAACAACTTATATAATCACTTGAAATTGAGTTGAGAGAAACAATATGCAAACTATTATAAATTGTATAACAATATAATATTGTAATAATAATAATAATAAAACAGTAGCAATCGGAAGCTCCCTGTGTGTATGTGTAGTAAATCAAAGTAATATACAGTAAAGTGTATGTAGAGCACTGGTAGTCAAAAGATTAGTTTTTGCTAACGATGCTGCTGTTAGTGGTAGTGGTGGTGATGATGATGAGGAGGTTGCCTAACAACTCACTTCAAACTATATCTTCACCCAATATTATTATTATTGCATAATATCGTAAAATATTTCATTTCAATTTGAATGTCGTCCAATGCTAACACACAACACAACAAACAAAACTTTTTTTTATAAATCAAATGAAAAAAATATAAATTGATTTGAATGAAAGCTATTAAACACTACACACATTAAACTTATAGTATTTACACCACTTGTCGAGTGTTTTTCACTTTAAATATACTGTTTAGTTGTTATTATTTGAATATTCCTTAAGGAATATGACCTCAATATTGATGGTTCACATTCTGTTCAAATCAGAAAATGTTTGGCGAAAAACCAGCAAAAAATAAAAAACTTTTTATATATATATTTATTTTATTTTACAAACAAACAAATAAATATTCTTAACATTAAGTGATTTTTTCAAACAATAAGTTTTGTTGTTTTTTTGTTTGATATTAAATATTCAATGAAAAAAACTTTTTTATTTCCAATTTTTTTATACCGTTTGAATATTAAATAATAATATTATTATTTAACACATAATAAAATAAAACCAATAAGTTTTTTTTTGTCAAACACACAATGATCACTAAATATATATACTTTTATTTATACTGTACATCAAATTTTTTCTCGATATGAAATTTATTTGAGAAAAAACAGCAAATTTATTATTTATTTATTTATTAGTAGACAATCAGTAATAAATTGTGAAAATAAAAACCTATTATTAGTCACACGTGATTGACGATAAATTTATTATACCGATAAAATGCCATACAATTCAAATATATTATATTATATATATAAATCCAGCCATAAATACTACAACGCAACAAATATTTTATTAGTTAATCACTGAAGTATGTGTTTATATAATATATACTATACTTGTATTAAATATAATAAGTTATGAATGCATTGTTATAATCAACACCACAATCAATATATATATATATATATATATATATATTTACTATATTTACGATATGGTATGCTATACAAGTACATGTTGTACATCACTAGAGTAGTACCGGTATGTGTATTATTGCCTAATATTAATGTATATGCAAAAAACAATGTCTGTAATTAGAGAGAGAGAGAGAGAGAGAGAGAGAGAGAGAGAGAGAGAGAGAGAGAGAGAGAGAGAGAGAGAGAGAGAGAGAGAGAGATTGACTTTATTTTAAACATAATTAAAAATAATTTGTTTTTCTCGCTAAAAGTTTATATCCGTGACAATTATGTATTGCACTGTTTGGGTGCAAATCAAGATAATACTGTATTAATGGGATGCAAAATAAACTGTTGAACTGTTTCTCTCTCTCTCTCTCTCTCTCTCTCTCTCTCTCTCTCTCTCTCTCTCTCTCTCTCTCTCTCTCTTATGTTTATTATTTGTTTATTTCACTTTTATTAGTCGTCTCTAATGAAGAGTAAGTGTCTAATTTGAAGAATAGTTGCCAAGAGTTGGCGTATACTTCAAGAATTTATGTCATCAATAATAATATTATCACATTTTTTATCAGTGTTTGGATTTCCCTTTAAATATAAACTTTATAATATATCATATACAGTATGATATATTGTATTTTTTGCAACTTTTTTTTATAAATATATGATACACTCTGATGTTCAAAGAGTAAACATCAATACAATACAAAACAACAATAATAAGCCAATAACTAAATGTCTCGTCAATTGCCGGTCAAAATAACATATCATATCTTATTTTCAGTAAATATACTGTATTTATATATCTCTGTAATAATAATTAACAGACATTGTTTAGCCAATTCATAGGAAACTTATCATTGAAATAACAAACATATTTATGATTATATATATATATTGTATATATATTTATATGTATATACAGTATATGATGACTATTATTAAAGGCATTTTGTTTTTATGCAATTTTTCATTTACATTATTAAATCAAACTATCAATTGATGTCAAGCATTCAATGGGGATTGTAATTTGAAGTATATAAAGTATATTTCACTTAAGTCTACTAATAAATAGATAGCTTATACTGTATGAAGTAATATCACTTTTGACTAATCGTTTTTATAATAAATAATATCTAATATTTGCTTTAATAATGAGATTCCTTACATAACATTACATATATAGTACATATGCTATGGTGTGGGAGATATTTATCCCATCAAATCAATTAATAAATTATTATTTATTTTTTTGATAAATTCTAGTGAAAAATATTTTACTTTCAAATGTCAGCTCTATTTTTATCTGAATATAAGAATTTTTATTTACAGCACAACAACAAAATTCAATACAAAAATATGTAATTTTTTTCATGTTTTGATATTTATTAATATAAACAAAAATAAATAAAAATGTTTATAAATTTTTTAGGGAGGGGAAAGAGAGAGAGAGGGGGAAAATAGTTTGAGTTAATTATATTAAATTATTATACGCATATTAATCATTTTTTTAATTTTAGCATATGAAAACAAAACAAAATAAAATTACTGTATATGTGATATGTCATCAAATGATATATTAATATTTAAAAGAAAAACTTATTTTTAACACACAAATTAGTAAATTTATATACTGTAAACAAAGTTATATTAAAAATATACCGATAATCACATACTTTATTTTTTCAATTAAATAATAATTGATATCCATATTCAGTAATATTTTTTTTTTTAAAAATAATAGTATTTTTAGGATCATTTGGCCAAAAACTGTATGACAAGTGATAGATCGCGAGCTAACCATTCAATATTCAACCGTATGTTCTCTATTGACTGTTGAACTGTTCGCTCAGTTCCGGGAAACAGGTTTTCATTGAAGAATGTCTTTACTTCTTCGAGTTTGTCTTCTGTGGTAAAGTTTTCCGACACATACTTTACGAGACGTTTCAAAATAAAGCCGCTGTCATACCGACATCTGATGTCAGTCTTGTGATACTTGAAGAACTTCCAGGCTCTGTCGCGACCATAGCTACTGAGTGCCACCGATATAATTACAAAAGCCGAGTCTTGAGATCTGACTTCAGAGGATAGCGAAAAATCAAGTACTTTGTCGATACGGTGGACATCACGAACACTACCCAATGCTATTGACAAACGATTTTTTTCTTCGTGTAGATCAGAGTCGCGATAAAGTTTGAACAGTGCCTCAAACGACTGGTCGTCACAGTCGACGGCAACCGCCCGATAGATTGCATCTCTCAGATCGGGTTCAATAATATCTGTTCCCTTTAAGTGCAAATCAAACAATTTTTTCGACTCAGCCAATACTGTCGGATCTTCAAATGCGGCCAATCGGTTGATTATCAGACTCCTGAGCAAAGTGTCCGAATGTGTTTCACCATTAATCGGTTGCCAACCGAGACGATCAAATATTTTTGACAACAATTGTCTACCAAATTCATAATATTTTGGCTGAACATCTGTGTCAGCCAACAGTTGATGAAGTTTTTCAAGAAATCCATTGATTGAATTCCAAACGGTATAATTGTCTTCATTATTGGCGAAAGCATTCATCCATTTTAAAATATCTACAGTCGACGCCTGTCCTGACTCAACCAAAGCAAACAAATCATTTTGAAGATCCAATCGATTCAATGGCTGTAAGGTTTTGTCATAAATTGATGGTAAAAATAAATTCAATAATTCTGGTGAATAATTGACTCGATAGAAGCCAATACATTCCGGATTCAATTTAATCCATTCATTATCGGCTACATTTGGTATTGAAATTTCAAGTTGTTTGCCATCCATAAGAGCTTCGACGGCCACTTTGTCCGGTTCTGATCCCTTTATTATAGATATAGGAATCATCCACAACACAGACGATTCAGACGGTGGTAGCTTTCCGTCGGCACAAAACTTTTCTTGAGTTAAAGTCAAGATCAATGAATTTCCATTACGTCTTGAACTAACTGTTATGACTGGAAATCCTTTCTGTTTAGTCCAAGTGTTCATCACATCTCTGACTGGTCTATCACTTGCCTCTTGTAATGCTGTCCACAGATCTTCAGTTATTGTATTTTTATACTGATGTCGATCCAAATAGAGACGCATTCCTTTGCGGAACAGTTCATCGCCGATAAACTTGTAAAGCATGTGAACAATAGACGCCCCCTTATAATAGGATATGTTGTCAAAGATTTCATCGATTTCTGACGGATGACCAACTGGTACTTCAATTGGATGAGAGTTGTGCAGAGCATCCGATTCAAGTGCCGGTATGTAATTGTGTGATACAAATTGTGTCCAAATTTGATAATCGGGAAACAAATGATCGACACATAGGTACTCAATAAAGTTGGCCACTCCTTCTTTAAGCCACAGATGTGTCCACCAGTCCATTGTGACTAAATTACCGAACCATTGATGGGACAACTCGTGCGCGACAAGTAATGCAATATATTGTTTCCTACTTAACGATGTATTCATTGGATCCACTAGAAGACAGGTTTCTCTGTAGATGACTAGACCCCAGTTTTCCATAGCTATACCCGAATAGTCGGCGACGGTTATTAAATCCATTTTAGGCAACTGATAGGCGCTATTGAAGTATTGTTTATAATAGGGAAGTGTTTTGGTGGCCACTTTCAGAGCAAACAATCCCTGATCCTTCTTTCCAATCGGTGTATACACGCGAACAGTCACTAAACCGTCCGTACATTTGTCTTCAATGTAATCATACTCACCGACAATGAACGCAACTAAATAAGTGGACATAACAGGCGAAGTGTCAAACTTAACCACTTTAAGACTTTTATCATCTTTGCAATCAACTTCCGATATGACATTCATGTTTGAAAGAGCCACACGATTCTTGGGCACCTCAAGTGTGATGTCAAACGTGGCCTTAAATGCCGGTTCATCCCAACAGGGAAACGCTTGTCGGGCGCCGGTAGCCTCAAACTGTGTCGTCGCCGCATACCTGTCCTCGCCCTCAGGCGTACTGTATTTGCTTCGGTAAAACCCCTTCATCTTATCATTGAGTGTACCGCTAAAGTCAATAGTTAAGAGTCCACTTCCAATCGGCAACAGCTGACCAAAATTTAAACAACTCGTTTCCATGTCGGCTGACATTTCAATTGTTTGCGGCGCCAGTTGTTGGCCACTTTCGGTAGTAAAAGTAGCGGAACTAATAGTCAACTCATTTGCATTCAACACTATCTGTTTGGTCTCTTCATTAACCCTGACTTTAATGGTTTCGTTTCCGCTAAACTGAAAACTTTGGAGATTAGGTCTAAGTTTGATATCATAATTGATTGGTGTGACCATCGATGGCAATCGGTGTTCACTCTTCCTGAAAACGCCACTCATCCTAAATGTTCACCACTTATGACACTAACGTATGACTAAAAAAGTTAATCTTTAGGTTGATATCTATCTAATCGATGACAATATCAACTTAGATGATGATAGCGATGACGAAATCTGGGAACAGATTCATGTGATAATTGTTTTGTTGAGATTTATTAATATACTGTATATTAAAATGCAATTCTATTAATAATAACAATAATTATGATTGCAATTAACGTTATATATAAATGGATTGCAATATTTAAAAATAAAAATTATATATTAATATACGTGTAATCATATACTGTATTAGTTTTATACTGTATTACATAAGTACAGTAAATTTAGATATATAAATAATCATATAAATAAATTTAGATGATATTACATAAGTATTAATATACCGGTACAATACATGTGTAATATTTAGTAAATATTTAATAACTAGTGCATTAAGAAATATTTATTTAAAAATTGAAAATATTCAATAAAATATTTACTAAAAACTACCAAAATATTTACATAAATATTTATTTAAATAGTCATTTATTAGTAATATATTTAATCAATTTGAAATTTATTCTAATCTCTATTTAAATTATAGTATTACAAATTGATATCATATTTTTATTAAGAAAAGGTAAAAAATACACTTAATTTTATTTTGAAACTTAATAACTAATAAAACTGAATAATATTGTATAAATTTTTACTCATTGATTGATTTCATATGTTTAACACAACTAATGATGTTTTCCCTAATATTTTTGCTAATTTTTATATTATAGAGTTATTTGTATATTTACTGTTCGTTAAAAACTATAACTTTAAGCAAAAACTCTGCAGTATTTAGTACTTTATAATCTATTTTTTCAGTTTTAAGTTATAATATTTAATTATATTTACTAAAAACACAAAATATTTAATTAAATATATTTTGATGCACTATTAATAACTGTGTATTAAATAATAAATAACTAGTGTATTAAATGACAACATATTAATGAATTGAATTTCATTGCCAATAAAACAAATTAAGACATTGATGTTTTTGAAATTAAAAAAAATAATTGTATTATATAGGTCTATGGAATAAACAAAAAAAACTATTAAATGTATAATTAATTTGATTGGCACAACAACTACACATTAGTCAATTTAAATACAACAACAAAAAGTTAATAATTTAGAGTTAACTACTAATTTACAACATTAAAAAAACTAAATAATAAAAACCATAGAAAATGCAACATTTGACTGATTTTTTTTGTGACTATTTAGTAAAATAGTATAAAACTGACTCAAAGAAACAAAAACATAGTAAATGACTATAATTTTGTTGTTATTGTTATAAAATTAAATATAAAAATATCATTCAATTCAATGATGATTATGTTTTCGAAAAAAATAGTAAAAACATTATTTACATAAATTTCAATAGTACTATATATCGAAACAAAAATTATATGAAAAATGTAATTTAATTAATATCTAATTGAATGGGATTTCAATTTTTAATAAATAAATAAAATTATGTAATAAAAACTTTATTAAAATGTTTGCAATTTATCATGGTAATATTTACTTTTAAATTTTTTTCACATGTACTTATTTGCAAATTATTATCTCATTGTTAAAAAATGTGATAATAAATTTAATTTAACTAAAAAAATAAGTCAATTGTTGTTTATAATACCATAGAGAGGGCCACATGTGAGCTACACGTGACTTTCACTGGAACTGTAGGGTTATGTTATGTATGTTTTTATTTTGTAGGCCACTGCCCACCACTGGGCATATATGAGGGCTATGGCGGAGACGCCCAGCAACTAAACTGTCTGCTTATTGGTTGACAACATGTGTGTCAACGATTGCCTCACTTTAATCATAGAGATATTAAATACTAAACATAACATAACAGTGAATAATGTGTAATAAAAAATAAATAAAACTTTTAAAAAAATTTATTTATTTATTTTGACGGACATACAGATCAAACTTTTCGGTCAAATATTTTGTTTGTCAATGATTTTTTTTGGGACGTAAAGCACCCGAAAAAAAATCCGACAATTGATTGCCTAAATTACTGGGAAAGTCAGTAATGTTTTGTTTGTCACGTGTTTAGCAATACTAACACACACTCTCTCGTTGTTGATGTCATAGTCAATGATATAACATTTATAGGGATAGAAAACAAAAATTTAGTAAATTACTAGAAACTTTCTAAACCAAAATATCTAATGTGATCTTTCATTATATTAAACTGTACATTAAATTTTTTAAATATTTTAATCATATAATATTATAATTCAACTATGATATAAATTATTGTACTAAAATTAACATATTTGTTTATAAAGTTAATTATAATGTATATCAATAAGAAGCTATATATATATATGGGGATCCCATAATTCCAGTAAATATACAGTATTTATAAAATTGTAAATTTTCAAAAAATAACTATTTTTTAAGCTTGGTTAATTATAATCTTAATTTAAATACACAAAAATATGATAATCACTTTAACCATGCACATATAAATTATTGGACAACATTCTATAGGATTTGTATAATAATTTTTGACATTTACTAATATATAAAGAAATAAAAAATTATTGCCGAGAAATTTTCTTAATAATTTTACTTAAAATAATTTATGTTGTTGTATATTTACTGTTTGTTATAATATTACAAGTATTAAAATGTTATTAAAAAATAATAATAATAATAAATCTAAAGTATAATACAGTGATGTCATAACATAGAATATTCTTCATTATTAATAACTTTTTTTAAATGCTTAAAATTAAAGTTATAATAAACATTACAGCACTGCAATAGATAGCATTGCCAGATCACATTTTAACAACATGTATATAATTTTGCATAATTTTAGTTATACTAACTCACACACGTACCCCTATTAACCCAGGCATCTACACCTACCCATCCCATATCACCCAAAAAATTAATTTTTAAAATATATAATTTTTTATTAGTATTATATATTATTAGGTAATTTCAGTGACGAAATTTTTGTTTGAATTTTAAGAACACTTACACTGACAGTACAGTACTGTATATTATGTCATGTATTATAATAATTATTGGTTTTTATAGTACACTCCACACAATGTGTTTATGTGTACAGTACTACATGTGCACAGTGTGTACAGTAGTATTATACAGGTATATGTGTGCCATTGCATTGTGAACTAGACTGGCTGAATATACAGGACGTTAACATGTTTTATATTACATGAATTGAGGGCAATGTATCAATACTATTGATTGACAAACACACACATATACATGACATAAATAGAATTGACCTTGGTACATTATTCAATTTAAGCTGATTACAAGTTAGCTATATTTTATTTTAAAAATTTTAATAAAAATAATTAAATTTTATATTCACATTAATTACATTCAATTTTATAAATATATATAAAAAACATTTTGATAATAATTTTTTTTAAATGTAAAATATTTAACAAAATATATTTGTACATGTAACAAATAAAATTTAAAAATTATTATTGAGAAAAAAAAGTACATTTGAAATATATTTATGACTAATAATTGCAATTAAATAACAAATAAAATATTATATAATAATTAATGTATTGACACAAAAATAAATAAAACAAATGTCATATTTGGTCAGTCTATTAGTGCGCACATGTAGGCAAAGAGTGCGCCATTTTATTTGCAGTGCCAGTCATAGTAGTGCCTACCAGTGCTCTACTATATCCCCACACAGTAGTACTCGTGTTGTGTTTTGACTCGTTTTTATTGAAGAGACAAATAAATAATTGCAAAATAAAAAGTCTTGAGATATATATAAGTAAAGTGTGTTTTTTGTGACCACAAGACTATCATCTCTAATAAAACTGGACGACAGAGCTATGAGCGATGAAGACAAAGATGTCGACATTGAAAGTGATGTAAGTTTGAATTTAGTCCACACTTTATATTTGACATTAGGTCTTCTTCTTCTTCTTCCTCCTCCTCTACACACCATTGTTATTGTTGTTGTTGTCTCGCATTAGGTTTAGGGATCAGATCTTTTATAGATATATATATATAGCGAGACAACAACAGTGTGTGTGTATTGTATTGAAACACAAAATATAAATAAATTTAATGCTAACTGTGGTCTCCTATCACAGGACGAAGACCTATGTTCTTCGGCATCAATCAGTGGTGACAACAGTCGCAACAATACATTCTCTCAAGTATTGATCCCATATTAGAAATTAATGTATTTTTGTTTTGTTTTTTATTAATGTGATTATCTATACTGCGATAATTTACTGATAATATAGGCAGACAAGAGGGCGCACCACAATGCGCTGGAGAGGAAGCGTCGCGATCACATAAAGGACAGCTTCAGTAGCCTAAGAGATGCCGTTCCCTCACTTAATGGTGAAAAGGTAGGCCTATATTGTTTTGTTTGTTTTTTTTTTGTTGGTATCTATTGTTATCTAATCTATAATTATTTTGTTTGGTTACGCCATACACTCACTCACCCACTCAGGCATCCCGGGCACAGATACTGAAAAAGGCTGCCGAATATATATCATATATGCGACGCAAGAATACGACAGTCCAGGCGGACATCGATGACCTAAAGAGACAAAATAAAGTTCTCGAAGAACAAAGTAAGTGATAATTATGATTGACTTTATATTTATTAAGTGATAACTATTGTTTCATCTAATGGTTGTGTCTTTCTTGTTGCTGTTGTTTATCAGTAGTGCGCACTCTAGAGAAGGCTAAGAGCGCTGGTATTACCGATTTAGGTCTTAACGGTACATCCATTTTGGACAATACAAATCATACGAAGATCGAGAGCGAGTCAGTCTCATCGCTGGATGGTATGTCTGATTAATAACAGAGCAAACCATTCATTGCATACACACAAACAACAACATACCTGTCGTGACCACCACTTACTCTCAGTCAACAGATTTTATAAATAATTAAAATAATAAAAAAAAGAGAAAAAATAATGTAAAATAAGATGTGTTTTTATATACACAAAACAACACACAGACCTGATGTATGATATATATTATATTATAATAATTATATAATAATAAGTTTATTGATATATTTGCCACCAAAATATCAAATTGTATTATAGATTTCAATATGTTTTTTTGATTCAAATTGTTGTGTAATTTATGTATAAGAAATTAATTTTTAATTATATTATTAATATTATATTATTATTAACAAAATTATTTGACATAAAAAGCTAATAATAATTTCTTTATGTATAATATTTATAAAAATTGTTAAATTTTTTTTTGAGATGAATACTAATTTATTAATTAATTTATAACAGTAAAATGCTATAAATTAATTGTATTTAAATATATATAAAATTTGTGGTTACATTTTTTTTTCTAACAAATGAATTTGAGTCGCGATATAATTTGCTATATTTACTGTTATATTTTTAATAACATATACAACCAGTGATTTATATAGAAATTAAAACAAAATATATTATTTTAAATGTCTTACTCCTGAGGCATGACTAGACCATCGGGTTTTGTTCAAAATGAAAGTAGTCATCAAAAAATATGTCTCTAATTCATCAAAAAGGAGGCTAAGGTCGACCTCAATATGACTGCCAAACGGCGTAATAAATATTGGATCTAAAAACTACATAAGCTTTTTGAGAGCTTTGATTACATATATATATTTATATTATTTTTCGTGCAGTTGTGTTATCCATTTGATCGACACGTGTATAACTTTAAGTGAATGAACTCAACCACTAAAACCAGTTTTTTAAACACTAGAAATGTTAGTTAATTTTGTTATATAAAAAATTATTATTTTTTTTGCTGTATAAATCAATTTATGTTATGCTTTTCGTTTTCATTTTTTTACTGTTTATTTATATGACTATTACTGTTAGAAAACTTTTTTATATTTTTGTTTGTTTTTGTTTACATTTGTGTGTTAATAAAAAAAATATGATTTTGTTTTTTATTTTGATAGGAAATTATGTTTTTTTCTATAACTCTCTTATCATTCAATATACAGTATATATATAAAAAAACTTTCTATAGTAGCAACATATACTAGTATATATACAATATTTCTAATGTATATAAAAATTTATTTGATTGATAAACACACAATCATCACACTTGATATAGCACTTAGAAAATAAGCAATCTTTAGACTCCTAAAAACTACTACAGTATTACCACCACTACTACTACTCGTGTTGTTGTCATTTAGAGAGACACTACACTACAGTATATTTGTTGACATAAAAGGCAATGAATTTTTGTTTTGGCAAATATTTGGTAACTTTATTATAAGTATGTCTCGTGAGTTGGCCTTTACTTTTAGCCCCTAAAGCCTGTGTCTCTTTTTTGATACATTATTATTATTATACATATTTCTACACATACACTGATGTATAATACTTGTATATTGTGTACATTAGGGTCCTAATCACTCATCAATTTTTAGGTTATTTTGGTCGCGTCCCTGATCTCTCTCTCTCTCTCTCTCTCTCTCTCTCTCTCTCTCTCTCTCTCTTATCTACAGTATATATTAATATCTACATATACATCTACTTTTCAATTATTTTTACTTGATGCATTTTCTTAAATAGCTTAAATAATTCTTGAATTTTGTCTAATAATGTTTTTAGTATTTTATCATTTTTTTTTTGTTGAGTTATTTATTTAAACTCCACTTCAAAAATCGACAAAAAATAAATTTCAAGTTAATATACGATACATTATATATTAAAAAATTGTGAGATTGAAATAAACTTTTTAAAATTTATATAAATTTTTTATATAAATAATGATGAAAAACTAGTTTTAATTAATATTATTTAAGTAATAAAAGCATTTTTTTATTTGATAACTGCATTCAATTGATTACTTAAATGCTAATAAAATTTATATTTTATGCAATTAATAGTTTTTATATTGTAGATAACAAAATTAAAAACAAACAAAATAAATAACTTTAAAAACTTAGATCATATATAATGCGTAAAAATAAACAAAGTATAAATATTCTATGTAAATGATCATGGTTAATCTTTTATAATAATATTCATGTAAATGTATATTTATGACTAATTTAAATATTAAAATATTAAATACAGTAGTTTAAAAAAAAAACAAACAAAAAACAATTCATGAAAACCCCAGATTAGATTAGCAGAGATAATGTATCGGTAGTTTCAAGTGTTATCTATGGGTTATTAAGTAGTAGAGTCTATAGACACCACCAATGTTTGTATGGGACGGTCATCGGTATTAAGTTGATATTAAAAGTTTTATGTATTTAGAGGGAGAGAAACAGGAATGACTGGCACTGATAGTTGGAAGCGCTGATAACTAATTGGATAACTGGCTGTTTGGTTAGTCCTTCATTATTACTGTTGAGTGGCTGTATGAGACACTTGTGTGATACCCAAACCCAATAGTTGTCATATAAAACTAATTATATTGTCGATTGAGTTCATACAGTAATTTAGCATTCAATACATACAATATTATTCAGTAGTTTGTTGAAAAACTTGTTGAAAAGTTTTATAAATAATTTTAAATTAAGTTTGAATGCAATTATTACCGATATTTCGGGACCCAAACAATTACATACCCCAGCAATGAATTATGTTTACGAAAATAGCTATTTTTTGGACACCGATGAAAATGCATTGCTTGACAGCGACTTTGATCACAACTCATATCAGGTATTTATTGTATTTTGTTACTAATTTATTCAAACAAAAAAAACTATTGTATTGTTAGTGACTCCTATTGTTTAGAAATTGTCACTGAAAATAACTTAAACAAAAAATAATTTCAAAATTACTGTATATCCGTATATAATCATCATAAATAAATACTATACTAAAATTAGCTTTTATTCCTATAAATAAATAGATAGATAGACAATAGGTATATACTATGATTAAACTTTTAGGATATACTTATACAGTATATATATATATTGTAAATGCATGCGATTTAGGGTTAATTCAAAACAGGTATTACTGTATTATTACTAACTATAAAAGACAGGTAAAGTGTCGTAAAATTTTATGTGTGATAAATGCTTTTATAATGAATTCTTTCTCAAAACAGACACATATATATAATACACAAAATTGCAGTCAAATAGTAGGAAATAATTTTGTTTTTGTTGGGTTGTGTTTTGTATACATACAGTACTAAACTTGTTGTACTCATCCGACAAGTTTGTCATTAATTATTAGTATACGTAATGTGTTGAAATTTATTTCATTTGAACTAAAAAACTATTATATATTTTTGAAAAAATCATATATTGCAACTTGCAATACTGTAAATATAATACTCAAAAAAAAACAAAATAATTAATGAGAAACTAATGAGATATTTCTGAGAGAGAGAGAGAGAGAATTAGTACAAAACTGTATACAGTGTATAGCGCACAGGGAGGGGATGTTTGGAGTTTCAAAGTAAAGTTTATAAAAACACTACAAATACATTAATATATAAAATAAATCTATCAATATTTATAGAAATATTTATTATTATATCATTATAAAAATTAAGTTATCTATGCATTTGAAATGATACAAACATATGTTTATAATATTATTATATAAACACTTAAATAGTTTATATTTTACTACAGAAAGAGAGAGTCTAATAGTACTGTATTTAGTGTGAAAAACACGATTTAAAAAACTTTTTTTTTACTTTGAAGTCAATAATTATCGCCACAAATATCACACAAAAATAAATTTCATTTGAAGTCAATCCCTCTCTTTCTTTCTCTCTCTCTTTCTATCTGTTATGCATATAACATGTGGTGACCTCTTTTGTGTCAATACAGTTGTCAATCAATTGGGTCACTAAATTGATAGCAAAATACTACAGTATTTTACAGTAACATACAGTGTATATAAAATAGTAGGCAATAATTTAATAACATTGCATTCAATGCATACATTCAATTGCTATTAGTATTACAGTAATGTTAGACATCAATGAACAACAAAAGCAGTGAAAACATATATACAGTATTTAAACATTAATTGATAGCAAAAAGTKTTTTGATTTGTGTGTCAATTAAATACCAATTTGTTTGTCTTAAATGAACAGTCATTGTATGAATTCATGGGAAAGTCTGGTAAACGTAAACACGAGTTGTTAGACACGACAACACTTTCGTCGTCGTCGGCCATCACTTGCAATTCAAACAACCATTTTCTTGATTCAACTGTCAGTACACATATCGATGAAGATTCTGGATTTTGTGGCAGCAATTTGTCGCCAAACGGTCACAAAATGGTTAAGTTTGACGACGAGATGTTTTTGTTAAAGGCATTGATGAAAGTGGATGAAAGTACATCAGATGAAATGGTTGTCACAAATACTAATACGGCCGCAACCGATGCGGTGGTGACGCCGGCGGCGCCGCCATCAAAGTTTGTACCATTTAAGGCACAAAATTTGTCGGCGAAGTCGAAGAATGGCAAATACGAGCTGAAGATATTGTCACAACCGGAGGAACAGCATCGGTATGTTTTGGTTGCATTTGAATCCAATTAAATTGATATTTGATATCAACTAAATAACAGTTACTATTATTATAGGATTGTTAGTATGATATCATCGGTTATTGTTATATGATATTAAATTTTTTATTATATCTTAATATTCAATTATATATTAATATAAAGTCAATTCAAGTAGTATTTAATATTTTAGTTTTTTTAGTTGTAATATTTGATTTAATTATATAGATAATTTGTGTATGCTAATTTTTATTTGATTACCTAGGTTATTTATAAAGTTTTTTATATTAATAGTTATTAAATATAGTATTTTACAATTTATTTAGCAATACTCATATATTATTTAGTGTACTATATATACAGTATATATAATTGATAAATATGTCTAGTCTTAATGATATTATTTACATTATACTCATTAATGTAAATAAAACAAAAAATAAGTGCTTTAAGTTTAATATAAGCAATTATGAAAAATTAGATTTCAATTACATTATATGATAGTATTCATAATATTAATATTTTATCATTTGTTTTTTATTTGTATTAAATGTATATATAATCAGACATTCACTTTTAATTATCTTAATGATAAAATATAAACTTTATATATACTAWAATMGATTGACAAAAAAATACTTTCAAATTATTTATGTAATAAATATTRTTATTTAGTTGATATYGTAATTTTGTTTTCTCAATATTTTTTTGTTATTTTGTTTAAGTGATGGTAAACAACAAACTGGTTATAATTAAAAAACTTTATTTGTTTTTTGTTGTTTACATATATATAGAGCCCGATATATGACTGAAGGTAGTCGGGGTGCTATCAAAGACCGAAGTGGATTAAGTCATCCAGTGGTCAAGTTATGCGGTTATACTAAGGGTGGTCCGGTCAAAGTTCAGTGTTTTATTGGACACGACAARCATTTGGGTGCTTCCCATCTATTTTATCAGGCGTCCAAAATTACCGGCAAAAACTCTACCCGTTGTACAACAAAGCGTGTCGACGGTACTGTTGTTGTCTTTATGGACGCTTCGCCTCATAATGATATGCAAGTGACCGTAGATTGTGTCGGCATTTTAAAGGTAAATCACAACTTTGATAATTTATTATAAATTTTATTAATTWATTTATCTTTTTTTTTAAATAGGAGCGTAATGTAGATGTAGAGCAAAAGCTCAACCAATTGAAGGATCGTACTGACGAACAAAATTGTGTAACAATTGCCACAAAGAAACGGTCGACCAGATGCCGACTTGTCTTCAGAGCTCAGATACCCGATACTAATGAAATACTACAAGTGGTCAGTTCGCCGATTCTATGGTAATAAATATTAGTATTCAACTATTGGATCAATTAATTAATCAATCCCTACATATTGTTAAAGCACTCAACCATTGGGAACGCCAGAAGTATGCAAGAAATCGTTGGCCCAGTGCGACATCAAAGGTGGTAACGAGTTGTTTATAATTGGCAAAAATTTCTTGAAAGACGCCAAAGTGGTCTGGAAAGGACGGAACTGGACTAAAATGGTTGAACCAGACAAAGAGTTCTTGCATCCAGTAATTCTATTGATTTTTTGTTGTTGTAATATTTTATAATTAATTTTGTTTTTTAATGAAATTACAGACCCATTTGGTTTGTGTGATTCCTTGTTATGACGGACCGGATAAAACTGAGAGCTTAATAGAGGTGACACTAAGTGTTAAAAGTGGCGGAAAATACTCGGAGGCACACAAATTCACATATATTAACTCCGAAAAAGGTAAGCGTTAACAGACCAGGTAGTCAAACAAACCATTTAATTGATGTCTTTGTTGTACTTCCAAGCAATACCTTTCAGATATATATTGACTATAACTTTGTGTTGTTGTTGATTATGATGTGTGCGGATGAATGGATATAATATGTTGAATATGTTTAGATTTAAGCCAACGTTGATATTATGAAGTATTTTAGATAAAGTGATTGTGAATGGATTGTATGAAAGTATTTTGTATTTTTCGTTATAATTAGTTTTTCTGTCACTTAAGTCAGTTATGTCTTTAAAATATTTCAAAACGAATTGCAATTAGACTTTTTTTTGATGATATTTCTGTACAGTCTATATGTATGTCTGTGTGGTGTCAGAGTGTATGATATGTTTTATGAAGTGTTGGTGTGTATGAACTGATGATAAGTTATAGTCAACTATATCTGGAAAAAAGATTACCCAAAGATTAGATGAGAGATATAATTATTATGAAATAAAATTAATATAATAGTAAAGAGATTGTTAGGGTTTTACTGGTTTTGGAAGTACATTATGTTTTAATAATTGTGTGAAAAGTGTAACAATTGTATGCCTTTCCTTAGCCAAATCAACAAGCGATTCATAAAGTGAGCCAAATATAGCTTTGGATTAGCACTTGTGTCTGAAATATGTTTAATAGCCGCTCATCAATGCATTGATGGAGTGGTAGGACCCATACCAATAAATAAGACCTATTTATAATGATATATAAATTATATATATATTTATTGAATATAAATCCAAAACTAATACATCGTGTAATACATATAGCGCTTGCAAATTCATGTCTCTGACCAAAACACAACAATTGAATCCCCAAATCGATGTATTTGTTTTGAGATAATCAAGTCTCGGCCTCTTTTTTTTAATTAAATTTATTAATGAAATTAGTGTTTAGAGAAATTCATTAAATCGAGACTTGATTATCACATTTTTAATTTATTTTTATATTTACAATAATTTTTATTGTGATAACCATTGACTTTGTTTAGACCTATCAGTGACGGAACGTATTATACATTTTTTGGATTATGATTTCCTAGCATTTAGTTAGCAATTAAACTAAACAATACTTTTATTATATACTAGTAGACTATTCAGGGCTATTCCTCCCATTAATTGATTATAATCTAAAGAATCATAATCAAAAAATTACAATAAGTTTTAATTAGGATTTTTTTAGTATTCATGATATTATTTAATTGATAAACAAAATTTAGTTTCAATATCTAAATTTGAAACATTAATTAAAAGATTTTAGTTAAAAATTTAGGTGAAAAAATTATCTGATTTCTGTCACTGATTTAAATGATTATATGAATTGAATGATTGTTTTTTGTATGTATGTATGTATGAGAGATTTGTTTGTATTGTTTTGGATGGATGGATGTGTTTGTGATGATTATGTTTTTTTGTAAGCACTTGTATGTAATTACTATATATGTATGGTTGATTTGAATGTAAATGATGAACTTGTTTGAGATGCTGATTGAGAGCTTCAGGAATGTAGTGATGTTTATGAAGTGATGGTATGAATGTGATGGAAGAGTCGATGAACGGGTCCAAAGTCAATGGTTTTTTATTGAATATTAACTATTACTATATATATATTGATTGACAGATTTGTATGCTTTTCACTAATCTCTGTCTTGTATTTCGACGAATAGTCAATGCCATGACATTAATTAATGGGACGACTGCACAGATTGGCAGCGCACTGCCATCCGGTCAGCAGATCCTGTTGTCGAGTATTGATAAACCAATTATTCTCACAATGATTGGTTCCACTTCAACCCTTACCAGTACTCTAGAGCCACAGATGCCAACACCGCAAGATATTTTGCCACAGACTCTAACGACAGATCAATTGCCAATAAATGAGATGAAATCTGATACCATTTGCTTCTCAAATGAAACGCCAATGAATGTCCAGATGACTCCCGAAACTATTGTTTCAGTTATAGCTGAAGACTCGTTAATGTGTAATAGCATTATGGATACGAGTTCACAATCAGCTGCCAGTGCCACCACTCAATTGGTTCAATCGTATAGTCCAATAAATGCCATGACATTACCCGAGACAGCTATTGTTAATCAAATTAACTCAGAAACTATTGACCAAACTGTCTATAAAAATGACACAATGAATGAGATTCAAAGCACACCCGGTATTATAACTTCACAACCACTGTCATTACCACAACAACCCGTATCGCACTATTTACCGATAAAAACATTTGCGACTATTGAGTCGTCCAATTCTCAAATTGCCAACACAACAAAAACATCGCCAATGCAAGACATGGCATCCATTTCCGACACAACAATATCGCCAATTCAGGACATGGCATCCATTGCCAATAACATGACAACCATTATGGGAGCTATTCAGACATCCATGACTACCACCAGTCAACCGCTTATGCAGCCCGTTGTCAGTACTATCAACAGTTTGCCGCTTATGACGACACCCATTGATCCAAAAGCTAGTAGTGATGGCCAACAACAACCGCCAAAATCCGATGCGACGACTATTGGTCTAATAAACTCAATACAGAATCCAGTGCTAACGTCAAGCGCCAGCACAAACGTAACTCAAGCGTCAAATATATCGGCCCTCTCAGAGATGTCCGACGCAGAGCTACTTTGTTTCATAAATCCGGCGACTTTTGACCAAAGTATGACATAATTTTGTTTTTTAATTGACAACTATTGTCGCAATAAATTCAATGAAAATTATTAAATAATTTTGTTTTTCTCTCTATTTTTTCATTTCTAGTTTAAATCTCTTAAAATCAACGATCTCTTAATTATATACTGTATTTATATACATATTATTATTATATAATAATATTATAATGTAATGTATTTTTTTAATTTGTATTTTTGTGTTCATTTTAAATCTTAATTTATGTTTGAATTTTTTTATTAGTTTTAACAATGTGTATTAAAATAATGGTTATATATAATTTTTTATATATATTTACTGTACAACAATTGTATAAAAATAATGTAATGAGAAATGAATTGATGAATAAAAAACAAATAAAATGATAATAATTTCATAGCTTCTTATAGTTCGTCTCTAAGTAGATGTAAGTCATCGTCAAGTGTTTGTTCGGCAAAAAATTCTGTCAAATGTCTCAAATATAAGACATGAGATCTGAAACGAGTGGCAAAAGCGCTGAATGAAGAAATACAATTAGCAATCAAATGGTTGGCATAACTGAGTAAATAGACATCTATTATGATATCATTGGGAGGCTTATGATCAGTAATATAACCCGTCGACCACAATGTCTTTGTTGGCGTAATTAGGGTAATATTGGGAATCATATCGTGAATCAGTTGCCAAAGAGTTTCGTTATTATTATCGGTGGCGACATAGACAATGTCTATTTGTGATTCACTGGTTACCCGAAAAATTTGATCAACAATTGTCCCAATAGATGGATAACATAGTTCGTATGGCAAAGGATTTGATGATGATTTTGGTGAGCATTGTTGCGATGAGAATAGTTGGGGTAAATCGGGATTTGCTTTTAGCAATTCACACGCTTTAATCTAAAATTGGTTTTTAAAATATACCGGTAATAGTAAAACAATTGATTTAACAAACATATTGTCGAAACAATAGGTTTTTTTGTTTTTCAAGGACTACTAACCCAATCTGTTCCGTGTCTAACATGTATTGCTAAATATGGTTTGCGAGCAAAACTCCGATTTTCTCGATAGGCGTCAGCAATATTAATAACTTTTTGAGAAAAATTTATATATTGTTGTAATTTAGTTGCCTTTTTGTTGGTCGGAAAAGCCGATGGAGCGCCTAATTATAATTACAATAGGATTTTCAATTATAAAAACTATTATTAATTGTTTTAACAATTACTTACCGACAAATGCCAACACTTTAATGTCATTATATTTTGATTTCCATTCGTCGGCAAAATTAAAATCAGTCAATAGTGGCGAATGATATATAGATTGATTAGTCAACCAATTGATCCCGAAGTGAGTCCAAAAGGCATTGAATGGATTTCCATCCATAGGATTGCAGGCCTTTTCCTGTGAACCGCGCGATGAATAACACATTATTTTACGGGTGTCTAAACATTTTTGGGACAATTAAAATTCAAATAACAATTTTTCGATAAATATTATCATAAAATATTATTTCGGTCAAAACTTTGCATACCTTCCGGCCATACGATTGGTGCCAAAACTTTCATAAACTTTTCTAATGTTATCACCCGATGATAGTGTCCAATGGATTTGATATCAATGTAATCATCAAAAGGTATGAAATTGACCTTAATTTATAAAATATTAAACAAAATATACTTTAAGTTTGTTATATAATTAAAAAACTTATAAAAATTTTGACTATACTTTATAATGACTATACTGTATGAAAGGCGGCAATATTAGTGTTCGGTCTATGGATTTGGCAAATTGGAGACTACCTAACAATTGTTCCGCTTGATTACCGAACCGACCTGAAAGTTGGCCACAATTACCGTAAGATCATGATATCATTAATAAATGACAATTTTTTAGTGGTAAATATAATTTAAAAATTATTAAAATAATAACAATACACCATTCAAAAAAATGTGCATGCTAAATACATGATAGAGCACCGGTAGGTAAATATAAATTACTAACCCATACACGAACAATACAGTATATAGCCGTTTGGGTCGATGGCCGGAACATTATCATCATGACTGCCGATTACCACATTTGATGGCAAACTAATTAATAATAATAACAATAATTTTATTAATACAATGCTATTAAAAGTAATTATTATTTTTATATGTGATGTCATGTTATACAGTACTACAGTATTATAGCATAACAAACACTAACAACACATAAATAACTGGAATTATTATTAGGAGAATAAACATTAAAATGCATTGAATTTTTCAATCAATTATACATTGAATTCAATGTCTCTGTTATATTGCATTTAAATGAATTAAAGTTTTAATGCAATAATAATAATAAAAAAAGTGAACCAATAATTGTCGGACAAAAGTCATTGTCCACTAATTATTTGTTGTGTTTATCGGATATAGTGGTCACCGCCGCTACAAACCCATAACAAACCCATTGGTGAGATATTTCCAGTGGTTTGACAACATGTGGGCCGAAGCGAGAAAACACGAGAAGAAGTTGAGAGGAATGATGGTTGACTACAGGCGTCGGGCCGAACGTCGCCGCGATTTCTATGACCGAATCCGATCGGATCCGTCGGCTTTTCTACAGGTCCACGGCTATCAACTAAAGATACACATCGACGCCAATTTGAGTGCTTCGGCCGAGTCGTCTCTGATGCCGTGGATGGGAGACACTACTAATATGATCGACAGGTTTGACGTGAGGGCACATCTCAATCAAGTAGATCTCGAAACAGTTCAGATGCAGACCAACTCTTCGTCGTCGGATAATAATAACAGCAACAATAATGCTAACGACTCGGACATTGAGAGGCAAATCAATTACGAAAGATACAGGAATTTAGTGCAAAACGACTTCTTAGGTATCGCTGAAGCCAAATGTTTGCATCAGATCTACTTAGAGGAAAGGTTTGGTGTGAATCAACAAAATCAACAGAAAGAGTTGAATAAAATGAATGCTAAAAAGCAGCCGAAGGCGGCCATTGGTTATGATTATAATGAAGACTCTAATTCTGTAAAAGTTCCGCTAAAGACCGAGTCAGAGGAAGAGTCTGAGGAAGAATCGTCTGATGAAGACTTGGACTTTGACACGAGTGTCAACATTGAACAGTTAGACAATGAGGGCGGACATCGTATAAATGGTATTGCACTTAAGTTTGGTATGAAAAACGACGATTTTGTCAAATACTTGGATGAGGACAGAGTCGAGGCCGAGAAGATTCGGTTGCAGAAGGAAGTGGAGAATGAAAAGTCAATGTTTACGGGACGCAAATCACGGCGCGAGCGACGGGCTCTTAAAGAGCAGCGACTGATGATATTGAGAAGCACTCAATTGGAACAATCGGATCGATCGATGGCCACTGATAGACATCATTCCGAACAGAGTTCGTCTGAATCGGAAGATTCGGTCGACGAAAACAAAATAGAATTTATCACCGAATTTACGTTTGGCGGCGACTCTACCGATGATGAACCAGCCAGTCGTGTGTCCGATAAAAACGCCGAAGAGATTAAGTCAAAGACCAAAAAGTTGAGAACCCATTTGAAGAACAAAACAGAATCGGTTCCATCGCTTCCTTTTTATGGACCAACACTTCCGGGAGAAGATACCGTCTCATCGGTGACAACAAACACAAAGAATACTTCGTTCAATAAGATAACACATTCTTCGAAACAAAGAACATATCGTTTAACTCGTCGATCGCGTTCGCGAAGTGGTTCTGTTGATCGTAACAGAAGATATTCTTATGGAAACAGATATAGAAGTCGAAGTAGATCTCGAGGCAGATATAGGGGTAGATCAAGAAGTAGATCGAGAAATAGACTAAGAAATAGATCGAGAAGTAGATCAAGATGTAGAACATATCGATCGAGTCGACGATCAAGAAGTCGTGATAGAAGAAGAAGAAGTAGATCTCATTCGCGTGACGACAGAAGAAAACGAAGTCCAAGACGTCGTTCAAAGTCACGCGAAAGACAGAGAGAGCGATCCAGAGATAGGGATAGAGATCGATATAGACGTGAGAGAAGGAGTTTAAGTAAAGAGATAAAAAAAGAACCGATTCTTGTCATCAAAGAAATCAAAACGAAAAAAGAAATCAAAAGTGATTTAACTTTAATTGATTTACCAAAAGAAGAAAAAGTAGTAAAAATAGTGGAAAATGAGTCCAATTCTAAAACTATTTCTGATGTATCGGTAAACGTATCAGCAATTGATGTGAAAGAATTACCAACAATTGATAAGAAAATTAATGAAGAAGTAAAAGAAGAAGAAGAAGAAGAAGAAGAAGAAGAAGAAGAAGAAAAGGACAAAGAAAAAGCTGAAACACTATTAAAGCCACCGACGCCTCCCATCAAGAGTTACTACAGGTCTTTAGATTACTTGAAACACAAAGTAGTTATGGATTTTTAAAATATTTTTTTAAATTTTAATATTGCTAGACATGATCTCATCGATAAGGATCAAAGTGGTGGTGATAGTGATGACCAATTGGAGACTAAAGAACAATACGATACAACAGAAAAGGAGACATATGTTGAAGGGTTGGTATTATTATTATAAATAAGATTTACTTATCTCTAATAAAATGATTAAATTTTTTCTCTCTCTTACATCTCATATCTAGAAGTAAAAAGAGTTGGACTAATGCTAGTAATATCCATAACACCGGACATAAAGTCAGTAAGAATTGTATTGTTTTTCCTTTTTGCGAAGCGCTGACCAAATTCAATGGCCAACTCCTGTGCCCATTATATTCAATATATTAACACATTATTATTATTATTATTTATTAACTAACCAAATATATGAGTCCATTGAATTCATTTGTTTTTTACGATTCACTTTTATTACTAGTCTTCGTCATCATCAACACCAACAACAACATCATCGACTACAACATCATCGACAACAACAACTACGACAACTGTGACACCTCAAGAAAGACTTAAGAGGAAAATGCAGGCACTTCTTGATAAACAATGTATGTTTCGTTTTTTGTACTGTAATTATTTGATTAGTTATCGTAATAATCACTATAATTATGAATTGCAGATAAAAATGATAAAAAAGCAGAAAAAGAGAAGAATCGCATCAAAATGCAGGAAAGGGAGGAACGGGATGACAGATACAGACAACTAAGATATAGGTCTGACTAATCAATTAATTAATTAGTTCTATAATTTATACTTAACTTTGTAATTGAATTGTAACAAAATTTATTTGATATTTATTTTTTTAGGAGACATAGTCGCGATCGGAGAGGTTCGCGATCCAGGTCTCGGTCCAGATCCAGATCCAGACAAAAGTCTACATCCAGTTCTTCKTATTAATAATGTATTATACAGTATATATATATATATACAAAATTATGTCGTATTATTAAAAATTTTTGTTAGCAATTTTTTTAATTTTATCAATAATAAATTAATTTATATACAGTATATAAATTATATATATATATATATAAAATTGTATTTATATTTTAGTTTATATATATACAGTATATATATATGATATGAAATGCATTTAATTATACATTTATAATACTGCATATGAATTATACAACAAATATTCAATGACTATATACATACTTAGATAATGTAATTATCATTGAATTAATGATTGCCATTAAAAATATGGAAATAACTAAAACCTATTAGCAAAAAAAATATATAATTTAAATACAAAAAAAACAGTGAAATTATTTTTTTAAAAGCAATTTTTTAATCTAAAAATATATATCAAATAATCAATTTTTTATCTATAATTTAAGTTTAAATATGAAAAAACGAGTAAACCGTTTTATAAAACATTGTACCGTAGTTTACAAAACAAATATAGTATGTGAGCAACAAATTGCTATAAATTAAAAAAATTATTTAAAATGTTTTTTGTTTTTGTTTGTTTGGAAAACTGGGTTTTAATTTCACTTGAATTGCAATAATAACATCAACTTCCGACACCAACTTGTCGTCTCAATTGTCGCTCTCCTGAGACCTCTTGTGCCGCCGTCTGAGTTCGCCTTTAGTATCATCCGAGTCGTTGTCGACGCCGTCAATCTCTTCTTCTTCTCCTTCTTGATTGCGATCATCGATCAGGTCAGTCGTGTCATCTTCTTTAACATCTTTTTTATCACTACTACTTTGGAGGCGCTCTTTCGATTCGTCGACCATTTTGGTAGGGAATAGCAAATCAATAACACAGACTATTAACTATTTTTTTTAAAAAAAATAAAGAATAAGATTATGACAATTAAACAAAACAAAAATCATTTAAAACAGCAAACAATTGTCAAAAAGACATACCAATCCTAAGATGGCTCCGCACAAAATGGTAACCAATGCAAAGATTATATAACTACCCCAATAGGGAATACCATAGTCTTCGACAAGTCGATTGTGAACAGCTCTCAGAGCCATCGATATCTTGAAGAAGTAGGACACGACTGACATACTGTTGTTTCAACGAAGAAAATTCAAAAACAAAATTCATGTTAAATATTATGTAAAACAACTTGTGATAGATAAAAGTCTTATTAACTAACAGTATAGAGTCGGGTGCCGTCCAAAGTGACACTGGATCTGCCTTTTGCCACGACTTCTCCTCAATATAACTAACAAATGCATTGGTATCACGGGTTCCCTTATACTGTCTGAAGACACCATCTTTGACGCTATTCATTGAGTGGACACACAAGTCATTAATAATTAACATATGATATGACATATATTTGACAAAAAAAGTGTTAATAATGTCTTCACACAAACTTACTGATAGATAGTAGGCAACTGAGTGACCAAAAATCGGCCGCTAAGTCCTGGATTGGCAGTCACGTCGACGGCGCCCACTTTGATACTGCGATGAAGACAAAACAAAGTTAACGATTGATTTGATTGCCGGTCATTGAATGTCATGTCATGTCATACCTGAGGTCATGACTCCACGTGGCGAACGAATTCCAGTCCTTTTGTAGGGCCCGACAGGCCGGACACCACGGAGCAAAAAACTCGACCATCCATTCACCCGATAACATGTCCGACCAGCTGTCCTCAGTCAATGTAATTACCGATCCTTTATTAGTGGCCTCAGCTGTCGGTGTGCACAACAACACCATCAACAGTGACAACACCACTACCACCGCTGTCGTCGATGACAACAGATATCTCATTGTTGTTGTCATTTGACGGACAAGTGATAACAATAACAGACCCGAAACTCAGTAATTGATTGATTGACAACTGTTTTCTTGATTTTGTTTTGTTTTTTAAAAAAATTATTAATTTGTTTTCAATTTAATAATTAATTTTATATCATATAATCAATGACTTAATCAATGAATGAATGAATGAATGAATGAAACAAATAATAAAAAACAATGCATTCATTGGATAGACATTACATAACAATATTCAATCAATCCATGCATTAATTTAGTGTAATTGACGTGGAGTTACATAAACAACAACAACATGTTTAGAGACATTAATTACGTGTAAATATTTGGTATTAAATTAATATTATAAACTAATTTCATATTTTGTGCAATAATTTTATTTTATATTATTAATAATAAAAAAGGGTTTGAAAAATTAAAATTAAATATATTTGGTCACCATATATATAATAATAATAACCGATAATCACCAGTATAAATTTTGTTGAAATTTATAAATATTAATAATTGAATATTTATTATATRTGATCTAATGTAGTTTAAAATAATTTTTTTAAAAATCTTATTTATTTTTAAAATGCATTGAAAATTGAAAAATTATCTAGGTTAAATTATTTAGTTTTAATAAGTTAGTAGTTCTGTAGTATTTTATTTATACATAGCATCAAAATTATTATTATTATTATTAAAATGTTAAAATAATTTATTTGTTATTTTTTTTGGAAATGATTATAAATTAATTTTTTCATTGACTACCGGTATTTTATAAATTATAATATATAGTATAATAGTTGTTGTAAATGGTTATATTAGCTAATATTTTGCCATAAATGTTATAACTTATGTTATATACTGTATAAATAAATTATTGAAAACCATTTGATACTTCAATTTATCAAATCACATAATATAATATTGTAATTTATAAATAATATAATATTTAGTGACTCATATTTATATTTTATATATTATTTTATAATAACTACAGTGATATTTATTATTATTATTATTATTATTATATAATCAATTAATGATTTGTAGTTAAGATTACAATAATACTACTGTATAAATGATTTCAATGTACACTAATTTATTATACAGTACAGAAAATAAAGTGTTTTATTTTTGACATATATTTTATTTAAAATTATTGATTCATACATTCATATCAAAAACAAAATTATATAAAAATATATTGAAATAAAACTGATATATTATACAAAATGCATATAAATTACATCTATATGTTATTATACATAAAATTCGATATAAAAAATGTAAAAATTCTGGTAATATTCATGAAAAATCCAATTTTGAAACAATTATTTAGATAATGGTTCTATATATTTATTGCGATCAAATTATTATTATCATTATATTAAGTTTATTATTATTTATACATATTTTTGTATATTTATGAAAATTTTTTAGGTAAAAAACATTTATTCATTCAAAAATAAATAAATAAAATAGTTTGCATAATATGTTATACGTTTCTATAGATATTATGTCAAAATATAGATAAAATGTATTGTTTGCTTATTGTAATTGTAGTCAAAAAACCTCTATACATAATAATAAAGAAAATGATACATTAATTTATATGTGTGAAATATTTATAGTATAAAAACATGTATTAGTAATAGCAGTACACTTATATTATTATTACAGTATTATTATAATATGAAATAATTTATATAAAAAACTGTGAAGCAATTGTACACAAAAATGTGTTTTTTTCAATCAATTAAATAGACATTGAATTAGCAAATCATTAGACTATTATCTATTTATCAATTAATAAAAATATCTATTTAATCGTTTAATTAATTGATATTTTTTGTAACATTAGTATAATATTCTATTGTATTATTGATTACTTGATTGCTTAACAAATCTAATCTTTTTTTATAAGAGTCATTAGCAGTTAGTATAAAAATTTTTATTTACTTTTTGTAATAATTATATTGAATATTATATTTATTAATAACAATTAAGCAATTGTTACAATAGATATGGTTTTTTGTATCCAAATGCGTTTAAAATAATAATTTTTACAATAAATAATCATATAAACAATTAATTTTTTTTATAATTATATTCATACTTATGTATTTTATAGTTAAAACCAAAGTTTATTTGAAAAAAATTAAATTTAAAAAATAATTATAACTTAAATATTTATTATTTAATTAAATCTGAATAACAGTACTTATTCTTTAAAAATATTTTTAATTAACTTTTAATTTTCATAGATTTAAAAAATAATATAAATCATATATTCAATCTGTCAAATTGATACTTATGTTTGATGTGTCCAAAACAATGATATGACTTTCAGTATCATATCAACATAATAACAGTATAGTTATTCATTATAACAATTATCGCATTATAATTTCATTGTATTTTTGGGAAACAATCACTAAAAAACAATAAATAAATAAAAAATTTTATTGTAATAATAATTTATAAATAATTTAAGAATATGATTGATATGAAATGTTTAATTATTAGCACAATGTCTATCTATAAAACAAATATTAATCATAATATTTAAGCAATTTTCTAAATAATTGGTTTCAATTTTATTTATTTGTCAATCATTTTTATTGCATTTTGTTATTGGATGATAAAAGTTATTAAAATTATATCTGAAACAATAAGATTATATAATTACTAAACTAACAAATGAATTATTCACTACAGTATACGATATATATAAATTTTACGATACAATAGCAATATATATATATATATATATATATATATATATATATATATATATATATATATAGGTATATAAATAAATGATTATAACAATTATCAATTTAATCATCGACACTAAAAACCTATTGAATTAATTTATATATATTTATTCTATAGGCGTCTATCAAATAGAAATTTTGTGCCAATATTTACATAGTTTATTGAAAATTGTTTACCAAAACTTTCATCGCATAACTTTATTTTTGTAGTATTAGATTGTTTGAAATATTTATGCTCTTTATTAAAAAATAAAAAGATATTTTTTTAATTTTATTTATCTATATTGCATAAACAAAATATACAATAATACAATATCAAACTTGACGACAACTATCTTGATATCAATATATATTGTATTAAACCGTTAAAATCATATTTTGATTATCATTTATTAATATATACAATAAATTTCAATAAAACTTTTTATTATTAATTGTTGATTCCATCTAAACAACGAAGCAATTCATTGACGTTTAGTAGTACTGTATAATAATATCATCAATACATACACACACACACACACACACACACACACACACACACACACACACACACACACACACATTAGCTATTGGTTAGTCATTAAATAACCCACCCTTTATGTAAACATTAGTCAACAACAAAAAACTATGGCTTTTATTTTTCTATCAAATAGTAAGTCAATAATAAATTTCAATAGATTTATATTGGATTTTCACTTCACAATCAAAAAAAGATTTTTCAACAATGATTTTTGATATATGCTTTTATCTACAGTATAGACAAAGCTAAGTAATTATTGGCCTCATATGTAACTTATATATTATGAAAGGCTATTGAAAAAAGGCATGAGAAGCTCTTTCTGATCAAACCTAACGGTTCTCCTCTTTGGTTGAAATTTACTTTTCTCACAGAATATCTGACAGAATAGTTGAGTACTACAAACCCAATGGATGTCAACTCAAAAAACGCAAATACATTACTGTGTATATGTATTATAAGCCAAATGCCGTTTTTTCGCAGTTTTATATTTTATCGCATCTTTTCTATAGTATTATAATAATTGTTATAAATCCTCTCTCTCTCTCTCTCTCTCTCTCTCTCTCTCTCTCTCTCTCTCACACACACACACACACACTGTATGGGCTCATTCAACGTGCAATACTATGTAGAGATCTGTTGTATATATTTTAGGCCATATCAGATGGGAATGGGATGTCTGAACAAAAGTTTCTCATACTTTTCTCTCTCGTATCTGATATGACACGTGTCACGCGTGCGAATACCCCAAAGGTTTTTCTGTTAAAATACAATTTGTGGCATCTTTTGTGTCAAATATATATGTATATACAGTACAGTAAAAATACGGTATTGTGTGCACATTGTATTTGCTGTAAAATAAATGCATTATAACATTATAACAAATACAAATAAATTCAGATCAAAGGCTCGCAAAAGTTATAGTCATTTGAAAAATAGTTATAAGCGATAAATCCTTTTATTATAAAAAGTTTTATATAACGTTATGTATTATATTATGTATGACATAATGAAAAATTGCATTTAATTAAAAATAGCTGTAAACTCACGTTTTGTCCATTAAATTGCACATTTCAAGTATCGATAATTATGTTTGCATTGATCTCTACTGTACTGTAGTATTTAAACTAATTACAGACAAAACTGATAAGTATAAATGATAGAAATTAATATTATATAATTTTGTTAGAAAATAAATTTTAATAAACACATAGAACTGCCAAATATTTATTATTATAATTAAAATGTTTATAATATTTGTTTAGTGGACACATAATTTTTAAATAAAATTCATTAAAATTCATAGTTAATTATTTCTATTATTGTTGACATTCATTATATTGAATCAGTGATAATAATAATAATACAAATAATAATACTGTAGTATTGTAAACAATGTTATGTAAAATACTATATAAATATATAAGTATTTTATTAATAGTGTTTGAATGGCATTTACTAAGAATTGTATGCATTAGCACACAATGACACAAACTTTTATTGTGTTTAGTGATAACTAAAAAAAATGTGTTTTATTTTAGTTTGATTTGTTGTTGAAAATAACAGATGCAATCAAATACTTGTATTGTATGGCGTTTTTGACTACTTTCACACACAAACACACACACCAAACACTAGTAATCGACATATATATATATATATATATATATATATATATATATATATATATATATATATATAAAAGACATGTTTGGTATTTTGTCATACCATTGGGATATTTATAGGATTGGATGGTTATGTGTGTGTWTGTGCTTTAACATAGAGTATATGATGGGAAACTCCAATAGTACTGTATATATATATATATATGGCTTATGTGTCCGGACTAGTGGTGAATCCACCAGAGAATTTTAGGCTAAATTAAGTGACATTCTAGTGGTTGAGTGAAAAATGCGACAAAATTTTCCCAGACTTTTGATACTTATATGATATCAATATTAGTCCTAACGCTTACACACACACTATATGTGTGGGTCCGTATGGTATGGTATGTGACTGTTTGCGCCCGCGATCTCTGGTTGGTCACGGAAAACGTGGGAAACATTATAATACAATAATAAATATATTATAGCTTAGCATTTGGTGTGATTAACACAATTATATAATACAATGTCGATAGTAATGAACACAAAAATTCCGTGGCATTTGTTTTCATCAGAAAATATAATAATAATACACAAAAAAATTATCACCAAATGATTCATCCAAATGAAGAAATTCTTGAGATTTGCATTTTATTATATGATATATATTATTAGTATATCGTATAACACATAATATGCAAAATATTTTTTTTGATATAAAAAATGCAATATATTTTATTATTATTATTATATGATATTTGAATATACAGTCTTTATATATTCAATTTATATTTTTGAAGTTATAAATGTATAAAATATTGATTTGAAATATAAAAAAAAATAAAAATAAGATAATAGTCAACAAGTAAATGAAAAAATAGTTTTAACATTATGAAAATTTTCTACTTTACTTACTATCAATTTTCAAAAAATCTATCTTTTATATTTTATTATAGAGACTAAAAATAATTTATTATAAAATTATGTTACCTTGGTTATACTCACTTACATAAATTTATTCAGAATATTCATATACTGTTTAGTATATAATATATATAATTATTTTTGTTAATTAACTCATTATACAAAGTAAACAAAAACAAATTATTATAGTTAATAAATATTATTTATAACTAGTGTCTTGATTTCCAACTAAAAAAATTATTTTGTCGGTTTAACGCTTATAACTGGGACTTAGTATGTCCACCGAACTTGACCAGTGGACGCTATTTCCGAAATTTTATTATAACTATAAATAACTATTTGTTAGGTTAGCAACTATAAAAACTTATAAATAACTATTTCATTTATTTTGAAAAATATAAGCATTAAATTGTAAAATATTGCTCAAAAATATGTAAAAACAAAAAGTAATAGTTATATAAATTATATAAAATGTGTAAACTGTTATCAACTCATATTACTTTTTTAACAATAGAAATATTTAGTTTATTTATATAAATCATTTTTGTAAATATGCTGAAAACAAGTAAATTATATATCAGTTGAAATATTTATAAGAAAATAAATAACTATTTCAATAACTATTTGGCTTTTTTGGCAATTATATACAACTATTTAATACATTTTAAATAACTATTTTAACAACTATTTGACGTTTTTTAGCAACTATTATAACAACTATTTAATAGAGTATAAAAAATTATTAATCAATACACTATTTATAACATAAAAGTATTGCACTTATCAACTGTATTAATGACTGTAAAAATTGTTTATATGTACAATAAGTTTACTTAACTATTTGTTTGTCTAGTTTTAATTTGCAAATTAATATAAATTTATGCGAACTTCAATTTAAATATAAAATAGTATAAATATATGTATTAATAGAAAATTAATTTTTGTAAAAAATAAAATAAAAATTTTTATATATTAATAAAAAATAAAAAATTTTAGATTATTCGTTATTAGTTAATATAAAATCTACCTTGTTGATAAATACTTTAGTATTAAACAGTAAATATAAAATAACTTATTTATACAATATATTTGAAAAATATTGCACTAAAGTGCCATTTAAGGCGTCGATATTACAGTGTAAATGCTATTATGTTATTAATTCACAAATAGTGCAGAATTTTACAAACAATTTGTATTATTTGTTACTTTATTTAATTTACCAAAAATTTAATTCATACATCTTTTACACTAACAATGTGTCCAATAAAATGGCAATTATAACAAAAAATATTCATTTAAATGTTTATAAAAGTATTTGTTTGAGAATTTTTTTTTATTATTGGAAACATCAAAATGACACAAAAAAGCAAACATACCGTACATCTGCCATCAACTCATTCTTATGATATACAAACACATAGAAAAAGTCTGATAAAAGTTAAACCTAAATATATGTATGAAAAGCGAGAGTTTGATTGAAAGAGAGAGAGAGAGAGAGAGAGAGAGAGAGAGAGAGAGAGAGAGAGAGAGAGAAGTATTAGTAAACAATTGAATGGATAAGAGTAAGAGTGAGACTATAGCTATAAAGCAGTTATATTTTGTTGTGTATGTGTGTTGAGTGCATATCAGAGGTTATGTTAGTTTGGGACTAGAAATGCATAATAAAAGGCTCATATAATAGATTTGCATGATTTGGTCGGACAGTCGAGTATGAAATAGTATGTATATATATGCATATACTGTATGAGTATATGTGCTGTCAATGGTACAGTATGAGTGCTGTAATGACAGTATTGTACGGTATATAATAATATAACAGTGCCGACAGTAGAGCACACGGATAGCAATAGTGACTATAATAGGGAGAGAGCGCGTGTGGCACTAGTAAAGCGATAACTACGGGCCCTCATTTGCATACAGCTGCACACCGGGACAACAATAGGATACATTTATATGTGTAGTGCACCGTTAGGGCTAACTGTGCGTATAGTGTGTGTGTGTGTATATATTCAGTGTGTACCAGACTCCATTAGTCTGGAAAATGTATTTTTATATCAAATAACAAATACATATACAGTAGAGTACAGTACAATACCTTATAATATATATACATTCAAAGTTTGCTTTAATTGCCATTTTTTAGTATATATAAGCTATTAATATAAGTTTTTGTTTGTTAATTTTTAATCACTTTTGCACACCAATCGTGACATTGATAGAGAGAGAGAGAGAGGTTATTAAACGTTTTATTTCAATTTTTTGTAAAGTTGTTAATTTTCAGCTAAAAAATACCTAGATGATACTAAAGTGTTCAAACAAAATATTATACAGTATATTATAATTACAAATCATTGTACAACTGTCTGCTATATATAATATGGGTATTATGGCAATGAACCCGACTATTGCTCCGTACCATTAAAATTGCATTATTATAGTTATGGATAAAATATACAGCTCTTTAAAAAGATGGCCCGCATTTTTAATTTCAATTTATATGTACAGTACATATATATATATATATATGTATAACTTGCTGTATAAAACAAATGCACAAATCTTGCCAACAAAAAATATATTACAGATTTGCAATAAATTGCAACACATTTATGCTATTAAATAATATATATAGCAATTAAAAATGTAATAATAAAATTCAAAGAATATAGTGTATGTTTTTAAAAAATAACAATTATCATTTGTTGCAGACGGTTGATTGTATATACAGGTATATATATATATACAATTTAATATAATAATATAATAGTTACCGTATACAATATATATATATATATATACAGTATAACTTTACCTCATATCATGAAAAATTTATATATTATACTATAATAATTATAGCATACTTTTTATTATTTAAAAATATATTGAAATATATTAAATAATGTTAAATATAATAAAACGCAACTTAAATTTTCGAGATATTCAAATAAATATTGATGACAAAATATTTTTAATACAAATCAATTAAATAATATTGCATAATTATATATATATAGCATATATTTTATTTATGTATGAAATGTATACATAATTAATATAAAATGTAAATTTATTTAATGATAGGGTAAAACATTAGACCTACATTATGTGTGTGGTATACCATAAAAATTGAGGGCCAATTTTATTTGCAGTCAAATATAAAGTGCATTAATTATTAGTGAAATCCGTTTATACAATACTTGTGATAACATTAAACTTTTTTTTGTGGGTCGCGAGCACTATGAGAGGCGCCAATAGAGATCCTATGGCATCCCTCTCTACCAGTGTCTGGATTGTTGAATATATATATAGTATTGAAGTCCATCAGTGCTTTATTGTTAAGGCATTGAGAGTATAATATAATAATATATTATACATATATAAATTTATATATATTGTCAAACACTGTGCTATACTCTCTCTGTACAGTATATACAGACACACATGTATTGAACGGGCACTGGAAAGGCGGTTCGTTGTGAGGTTCCCTATGAAACATACAGCTCTCTCTCTCTCTCTCTCTCTTTATGAGAGGTAGAAACGCGTGCGTCTCATAACAGTACTAATACTTTGGACTATAATATTAGTGAAACCAACCGATAGACCCATTGATAGACAGACACAGAGAAAGAGAGAGAGAGAGTGATGTGATGCCAATCTCTCTCTTATATATATAAATTTATATTTAATATATAACAGTATTTGGAAACTATTTTCTCACTACTCTTTTTAAAAAACGACTTATTTTAAAAAACTTTATATATAAATATATTTTTTAATTTAAATTGTTGTGAAATTAATTTAATAATTTGTTTTCTAAAAACGATATCATAGATAAACTGCATATAAATTGTCAATAGTTTGTCAACATTATTTTTTGGTGTCCAAAATAACAACAAAACAAAATCATATATTCAAAGTGTTCAAACATCTGCGTCCAAATACAAAACACTGGTTTTATTTTCATACCAAACCAACACTGGGTTCCTATGAGTGCTCATTTATAATATAATTGTTATATCATTTATAATATAAAAGTAATATATAAAGTGCTGCTAACTGTTAATGCTAAAATTAAAAATGTTACAAAATTTATAAATTTACTAAAAAATTATTTTTTTTCTGTGCGAATCTAAACCAGTGTTTAATATATATATAACAAATATTTTTTAATTAATTAAGTCCGTCCCACACAAGCTTATCATATATTTTTGTTGTTGTCGTCGATAAACAACTATTTAACTTAATTGAACAAAAGTCTAGTCCAAAATAATTTGTGGTCCAATGCCTCGAGGATTTCTAGTCAAACGTTATACCAATCAGTTGCCAACTGATAATCAATCGGCTAATGATTGTCCATTGCCGCTACAGTTGACCACTCGGCCAATGATCTATCGGTACTCGGATGAGGATCGGTCAGAGTCGAGCTCATCGGATGCCGAAGCGCTGGCCAGTAATACACCGTCGCCGTTGCCAATCACACATTCAACTACACATTCATTGGTTTCATTAGCTCTGTCGCCACCGTTATTGTCTTATAGCAAAAAATACAGCAATTGTGAGGTAATGTCATTATAAATAATATATCATTATACTATATATACAATACAATACTATATATATATATATATATATATAAATTGTTGCATTTTTATAGTGTAGAGTAAAAGTACTATACTGTAAAGTATTATTAGTGAAGTACAGGGAAATACAGGGAAGTACTTACTTATATAATATTATTGTATTTATATTGAATCCTTACGTTTGATGATATCGACTGTTAATGATAGGTCTGTTGGCAAATATTATACATTATATTATATTATCTCTCACTTTAGTCACGCTATTCCTAAATTAATCTTAAAAATGTTTGGGAAAAACTGAAATGTCGTGAAAGTTAGGCATTATATCACATAATTATATACATATATATATCTACTGTAATGCTCTGTTATTTTAATTTAAAAAAATATATTTTATTGTATTTATAACATTAACTCATTTATTAGTAAAGACATTTAAAAAAACTATTTATTTGAATAGCTTTATTATTATTATTACTACTACTACTACTACTACAGTATTATACTATTTTTATACTAAATATTTATTGTAATTAGTCATTAATTATAATTATATAATTATTTACATAATTATTAGTATATTTTTAGCATTTAATTTTTTGTAACAAAAAAACTGCTTAATTAACAAAATATTATAATTAGACATATATTTATTGTCACTATCACTCATAGTTACCACAAGAAGCGCCGCTTGCTTTGACCAAAAACTCTTATCCAACCAAACGGAAGAGTACGGTCAGTACTCCTCCCGCCGATGATGAAAGTCCATCAGCTCTAGACCTGCGATGTCCGGGATTTATATTCCATTTTCCCGATCGGATGCCATCGTCAGCGCCGACGGCATACCAACGAAATCTCTCCACTCTAGTCAAGCGTTCGGATAGTAAGTCATCGACATCTCAGTCGACGTCGAAAAAGCGAAACCAAAGCGAAAACCAAAAACCTCCGAAACGGCATAAAGTCATTCGTAAATTGAATTTCGATGAACACAAGTCATCGCCAGTTTCGGGYACTTTTATACGCGATTCGGACAGTGAAGACGACTACAACCATCAGACGTGTGTCAGAAGATCCGGTGATATTGATCCGAGTCTTAACGTAGTGGTCATCACCGACGAGGCCCGAGCAGAGATCGAAAAGATCGAAAACAAAATCGGCGACTATATCTGTGCGCTCTGTAAGGAAAAATATGACGACGCTTTCGGTTTGGCCCAACACAGATGCACACGTATTGTTCACGTAGAATACCGGTGCCCGGAATGTGATAAAGTATTCAACTGTCCGGCAAATCTGGCATCGCATCGTCGATGGCATAAACCGAGACCCAACGGCGGCAATGGCAACAGTGGTGGCACCAAAAAAAACAAAGTATCGGTAATGGGAACGGCAGTCATACAATCGGATATCAATACGACCAGCAATTGTTCCATTGAAAGCACTTCCAGCGCCTCAGATGAGACAAACAGTCAGAGTCAGGAAAGTATTGATGGAAAGTATGAATGCGAGTGCTGTCATAAAAAGTTTAGACGAAATGCTTACTTAAAAAGACATTTACTGTCATTGCATAACATCGACATTGAAAACAATAATAAGTCATCAGATGGTAAACACAACAATGAATTTGCATTTATTGCTAAACAATTAGCCAAACGAAAGCATTCAGCAAACGATAGACAATTATCGACTGAAAACGACTATCAATATCGTTGTCTGTTATGTAATCTGGTTTTCAATAGTGATTTAGCGCTTCAAATGCATAACAAATCGGTGCACATCATTGCAAGCCAACAGTCCCTGAATTGCAAGTACTGTCCCAATGTATTGCCAAATGAAGCTGATCTTACAAAACATATCAATAAATATCATACAAAAAATGATAATCAAAATAATGAGTCTATACTCAAGTCAGTCCAAACTCTTATTAAACAAGAAGTCATTTAAAAAACAAATTAAAAAATATTTGTTGTATTGCTTTATATATTTATATGTATGTGTTTTAAACTATTTAAATAATATTTATAAATATATAAAAAATATTGTAACCATTGCTAGTCATTTGCATATTCTATAAGGATTTTCTATTAATATTTGAATAATTTATAAGGAATTATACAAAATTATATTATTATATAATATATAATATAAGTCCAAACATAGTAGTCATATATATAGTCTAGTCATTAATATCAGAATGCATTTATAAAGTAATAACTTTTAATGTTATAAAACTAGTGTAATATTTGTATTTTATATTTGTATATTAAGCTATAATTTTATGAATATATAATATTGTATTTATTAATATATTTCTTTGTTAAATTATAAAATATTACAATATATAACATTATTTAATATAAATTTATAAATTGCAAAAAAAATATTTTGAGTATAACTCTTAATTTATTATTATTATTATTATTAATTATTTTAATTTATCATTAAAGCTAATTAGAATATCATTAAAGTATTAATTATATATATATACAGTTTATGTAATGCATTAAATTATTATTAACTTATACTATTAAAATTGATACATTATTAAAAAAATAAAATTATTTTATTTCATAGCATTCAAATTATCTAATGTATAGATAAAAATGATGATAACATTGTTTAGACAATTATCTTTAAAAAACATTTAGATAACTTATGAAAAAATATATAAATATATCATTTATATATTAGTTGTGCCTTTTTTGGATGTTTAGTTTTTTGGGAGTAAAATTCATAAACCATTATTATTTATACAATTTTTTTGGTGCATTGGAATCTACAGTATAGTACTTAATACTTAATGTCAAAAACAATTTAGTTACTATAGTTAAATATTCAAAATAAAAAACAATGTAACAAAAAAACGGAACAATTTTTGTTGTTAATTAAAATTACTAAATATATAATCAAATTGTTTTATCAATGATTAAATATGTAAGAGATTTGATGCCAAACTTTTCAAACTTTTTTGCATTATTAACCAGTTTTTTGTAATCAGTGACTATTAATGTTAATATATCTCTAAACTTTTAGAAAAATATTTGGAATTTTTGTGAGCTTTATAATTCAAAATAATATTAAATATTAAAATTATAATAATACTATAAGTTTACATAAATTAAATTAATAAATGCACTCATGTTTTAAAACATATTGTTTTATTATTGATTAGTTAATATAGTTTGTAATTATGTAACATTGTAATATAATTAAAAAAATAGTTTWAAAAAACGCTACATAAATAGAAAAAAATATTTATAAAATATATAAATACAAAAAAATTAACGAATTTAAATAATGTCTAAATAATATTAAACACAAAACAACAAATTGTTAAACAAGTTTTATTAGCTAATTGAGTGGTAATATAGTAGTCGTATGGTTTGTTTGAGTAAAATTTTAGTGATAAATAAAGATCTCTTAAATAGAGGCTTAATATCTAAGATTGAAATCATATTTTTTTTTGGAGAGCCGTTACCTAAGCAACTCATGTCATAGTTTGCACTATTATGTGATCATAAAAAGGTCAACAGATTGTCATAAACATTGCTGTATTAGCTTTTATATGATATGATATAATACGTAATAATACTACAGTATATACTGTATATACAGTATGTTATATTATATCAAAAATATATTATATGTTATATAATATATATATATATATTATATTATATATATATATATATATATATATATACTGTACACACGACTTATAATGTAAAGCATATTATCCATTGGTATACATAAGCAATAAAGTACAGCAAAAAACCACAAAACGATTCCAATAGTTAGTTGAAAAAGTTTTTCAATACATGTTTCCACAGTTAGATAGTGGCATATATTGTCAATTATTATATATAATATATTTACCCTGTATTTAAGTTACAGTATATACATATCTATATATATATATAAATTCATTATATATAGCCATTTGAGTGCAATATGCGTGTATGTGTGTATGTATTAGCTAATAAAGCTAACGTTGGACTCAACTAACTAAACTCCAAACTAAACTCATCCCTAACAGTGACTCTGAAAGTTGCAATTATTTGTTGAAAAATAAATTTAGTTTCTTCTATATTCTATTATTATTGACAACGATATGATAACACTGATAAAGTGGTTCACAACACACACACACACAATCATAAATGAAACTTTAGAAGCAATTGTTGGGCGTATTTATGTAATACCGGTGCCAGCGATGGTCAATATGATGCTAAGTGTGTGTGTACTGTATGTGTGTGTTGTGTTTCTTAGGCAAAGACACGCAAAACAAAAGTTAAACTCATGGCTGTCGTCACGCAAATCATCGCTTTTCATATGTTTTTTTCTGTAATAGCATTGGTATTATATAAGTGAAAGCATTGGTAGGTAATAGGCTTACCCACACACTGCCTGTGCATTTAATTCTTGCGCTCAAAGAGCAAAGAGAGAGAGAGAGAGAGAGAGAGAGAGAGAGAGAGAATACCTGTAACATAATCATCGATTAYAACCATAAGGAGAGCACAGGTTTAATGTCTTTATATAATACAATATATACTGTATATATAAAATAACTGTCGCTAACAGTTAGTTGAGTGTAAAATATAGAGAAATGTGATACTAAAGCTACCAGTGCTGGTGCTCTCTATTTCTCTATATCTATCTCTTTATAGTTGTTTTAGACGACAATTCAATGCAACTATTTATTGAGTTTTGTCGTTCAAAAAAATAAGATCTGTAGAGAAATGCAGTCATTAGCGAACCTTAACATAAAACTTGGAAAATAAATTAAAATATCAAAATACAGTCAATGAATCGCATTTCTACTTTCTCTATACAATATATACGGTATTTCTATTATAATAAGTAATATTATAACAGTATTTATCATTATTATTATATTTGTTTGTAACTCTATTTGCTTGTTTTTATATTATTATAGACCTAAATGTAGAAATAAAAAGTTGAAAACTAATCATAACATTTTTTAAAAAATAAATAAATGTATGTATAGATTACATAAATAGCTTATAAACTGCTGCAATATAAATGTAATATATATATATATATATATATATATTGAACAGAAATTTTATATATTGAATATATTAAAGATAGTGATGAATATATAAATGAGAAGCCTATATACCCCATGAAAACTGGGCATTCAATAGGAGTTTGTTGTAGTCAATAGTTTTTAGTAGACATACATTCACAGCGAAACCATATCAACAAAACTTTTCTGAAGGAATTCAATTCAATTCATTTTATTTCAATTTCAATTGATTTCAATTATGCATCGCTTTTACCAATTCATTAATTGCAATGAAAAACAGCATTTAATAATAATAATAAAATTGCATTAAATATTCAAACAAATGCTATATAACTTAATAAGAGTATATTATATAAGTATCAAAAACAACATTTTTCAACTTTTGATAAAAATTTCAACTAATACAGTACATTAAAATTTATTATTGAATTTATTTACAATTATGTGTTGAAATTTTTTTTAAAATATAAATAGAAAAATAAAGAAAAAAAGTGTTTTGCTATTTTGAATGATCTAAATAATACTAATAATAATATTGTTTTGTGTGTTATTTTGTTGCATAATATTATTTTGCATACAAAACTGTTTTTATGATATTATTATTATTATTATTTCTCTTGATGTGGAAAACCATTATTAATCGTTTTATTACTTGTATATATATATGATAGATATAATAATACAGTATTTATTATATAATATTAATAAATATTCAGTACACCAACAAAATTATAAATAATTAAATTTTATGTTGATTAAAAATACTTTGAATATTAAATTTTAATTAATCAATATATAAAAAACACTATATGTTCACTTGTATGCATTATTGTATAATATTGTATATATTTAATATACAGTACATCAATGTATATCGCTTTACATGTAGAGTATATTTATATAATAATAATAAACTGAATGCCTGTTGCAATTGCTAACAATATAACATATTATTAAATATCAAACTTTTTTATTGTATGCAATGACAACACACCGGTGTTGTACTGTATATACAATTTTATATTAAATGATGATAAAAGCCGAATAGGCATTTCATTGTCCACATTATTTCAGTGAAAATATTATATTATATTATATAAAGATATAGTAGTAGACCTGTATTATTATTATTATTGTTGTTGGGCTTATGTAAACGGTTTTAATATTGTAATAATATTGTAAATGCAATTATATTTTTCTCTGTGTTGTATGACATGACTGTCGAGGAAGTGAATAGAAAAGACAATAAGAGTATTCATTATATAAAATTAACTTATACTCTAACAAGTGCTCTCTCTCTCTCTTTCTTTCCTTCTATCTATCTATCTATCTATTCATCTATCTATCCATATATCTATCCATATATTTATCTAACTAACTATCTATCTATCTATCTTTCCTAAATTGATACCGGTGCCAACAACACTACACACAAATAGTATACAGTATATATCTAATCTATTTTTATTGCAATTGTCTTTACTATAATATTATTGCATCTTCTGCTATATGAAACATTCAAACTTTTATTTATTTTTTATTTTTTCACTTTAAGCCACTTTTTAGAGCCAATCGATCAAACACAACAAAAATTATTATTATTACTAACAGTATATTTCATTTGTGTAACACAAAAGCCATTTATGCAACCATTAGTTGTGAACAATACCTTTCAATAACTTTCTCTATAACTACAATATATCTATCTATCTCTCTCTCTCTCTCTCTCAATATATTTATGCTTTTCCCTACCGATGCCCTAAAAGCATTGGATACTCCTTAACCACCACCAGTACCAGTACAGTACAAGTGCAACACAACATTATTATAGGTATGATAGTCTCTCTCTCTCTCTCTCTCTCTCTCTCTCTCTCTCTCTCTCTCTCTCTCTCTCTCTCTCTCTCTCTCTCTCTCTCTCTCTCTCTCTCTCTGAGATAATAGAAAATATGACAAAACCTATTGCCATATAATTTATCAAAACATATTAAACCGCATATCATGTGATAATAGTTTAGATAATTTTCTGTTATAATATTAACTCAAATTACGGGTATATTTGAAACAATAATGAAGTTTTTGTAAAGACTGCTGCTATGGGCATCTGATTGCTGATTATGGCTCTCTTAATACAGTATTATATTTATTTATTATATATAGTAATATAATAATATATATTAAATATTTTGTTTGTTTTGAATATCGATTCAATAGCTAACAAACACAAACACACACACAATACCTGTAATAAACAGTTGTCATACTGTTAGACAATGTTTTTTTTATCAAAAGATATTTAACTGATGTTATGTTTAATATATTGAATATATTATTGTTATGTAAACTTATTTTAGTCGTAAATTTTTGTGTTTAATAATTCCTTTGCAATGATAGAGAAAAAATCGATTTAAGAAAAAAAAATAGTTATCAATATTTATATTCACATACGTTTAGACAAAAATAAAATATTAATATAATTTCATAATTTATTTTGTATGTATTTAAATATATTATTATTATATAGGATATTAAAAAAACATTTTTTTATTTGCATTAAATACAGTAGGGTTTTTTTGTGTGTTACATAAAACTATCGATACAAAAATCATATAATAATAATAACTATATGCAATATTAGAGTCGATTTTTATATATTTGCTAATATATTTACCATAAGTTTTATTACTCTAATCTCTAATTTTGCAATTTTAATGGTCCAAAAAATTTTCCAGTCATAGGATATATTATAGATATGTCCAATAGATATATCAATAATAGGAGACTCTTAGCTTCTATCACTTAGTTTTAGTTTAAATCAAAAAGTAATTTAAGTAATTATCAGATTATTTGATGACATAATCGGATAAAAAAAATATTTGAAACCAACTGAATATTTCTGTATTATTATTACAATTTTTTTTTGTTTAGTACAGAGCTGTCGGAAGGGAACAGATGTCGGGAACGACTATTATAGTCTCATTGAAGACTTTTGACAACTTGTGGAGCGTTTATATACAGTATATATCAATACAATGAGTTGCCATTAGGTTCTTACAGTTTAGGAGAGARAGAGAGAGAGAGAGCCCTTATCCCTCTCTCCATAACTCATAACTCCAATGCAATTCACATAAACTTATTGTATTATACACTCAACAATACAGATGAAAAAGTAAATTTAGTATTGACTATATTTATATCATACTATACTTACAAAATATATCCATTAGATTTTGATTCATATAAAATATCTATTGATATGAATATGCAGTGATTTTTTTAGTGTTCAACAAAATCATATACTAAACAATCAATGTTTCATTTTGTTTTGTATATTTTTTCAATAATATTGTTTTTCAATGTTAATTATTTAACTCTTAAAAAATCGATAGGAATAATAAAATTTAATATATTTATAATTTATTTGCATTAATTTACAAATTTTACAGTAATGTTAAATTTAATTTGTTGTTGTTGCTAAAAATAACATTACAAATTAGTTATGATTAGTTGTAATCATTTGATGATTAGTTTGTCTTTATAAATTTAATTATCATATTATGAAATACTGGATTTTTATTTTATGATAAAACATTTAAATCTCTAAACACTAATGTAAATCAAAATGTTGGCCAAAACTATTATTAACTATTTTTATGGGTATATTCAACGCATACTAATCTGTAAGTATAGTGCAATGGGATCTCAAATCAAACATCAATTTTTTCATCCGATTCCTCTCATCTATTGTTATAACATCTGCTCTCTGTTCAGATGCCATACAATCACTACCATCACTCTCTCTCTCTCTCTCACTCTCTTTCTCTCTCTCTCTCTCACTCACTCTCACCCACTCTCTATACATAGTATAAGTTAGACCATAAAAATTTAGCAAACAATTGGATATATAATAAAAATATCTTCCCTCTCATTGATTCACTTGAAATACTCGACTCAAACAATTCCCATAATAATTCCCATTTAGAAAGAGAGTTACACACATTAATTAACCATGATAAAACAATTATTTATAACAATTCAATCAATTGTCAATTCCTATATATAGAATAGTAGTATAAAACGCACATACCTTTGTATAAAAATTTATTTTTCGTTCAAAAAAAATACTTCAATTAGTATATTGTGTACAGTATATGATTTTAAAACAGATTTATTATTAGTAATCATTAAATTTTCTTTCAAAAAAATATATATTAATATATATATATGTATATATAATATTAACTTTATTCTATAACCATATTTTTCAATAAATATAAGCCTTTAGATATATTTAATACATCCAACAAAATATATATTTTTATCAATTAATTGATTAATACTTTGCACTTTTAGAGAGGAAATAAGTTTAACAAACAAACAAAACCTTAAGTTATTACCAAAAATAATAACCAAAACCAACAAACTTTTTCCGCTAAATATAATTAATTATTAACACAATACTTTCCAATTAATAAGTAGAAATTATATCAACTAATAAATTAATTGCCACATAATTTAAATATTTAAAATAATAATAATAACAATAAATAATGAAATAAATAGAGTAAAAATATATTAATACAATATTAGCCATTAATAATAAAAATAACTATTTAAATATTTTTAAAACTATTTCGTTGTTCAGAATTTACGGAACTCGTAGGTCGAGTACGTCGTGTAGGACTTTGCTGTCCCTCTGTGTGTATATTGTTGGTCACCGGTACCGATGTTATTGATACTGAATCGATGGCAGCAGTGCCCGACAGTACTGAAATAGGACGACTCTCTTGAAGCTCTTTTGGCGAATAGATTTTCGACGAAAAATCTTCAAAAGTTGTTTCCTCTTTACAGTTCTTGACAATCGATTCGATGGATCGGAACCGCTCTTCAAAGAAGTTCAGATAGTAAGGTATGTGCATTCGTTTAGCACGACTGGCATTGACAGCTGTCGCCCGAACTAACGGAGCCAACAGTTCTTTAGGAATGACTGCACCGTTAAATAGTGGCCCGAAAAATGGTACTTCAGATTTGCGCGATATATGAATATAATAGAGATTTTGATAAGCTTTTAGCGGATAGATAACAATCAATGCGTCGCAAAATTCGGTGGCAATTATGCCGCGCCGATAGTCTCGATGGTGTTCCGACCAAACAATGTGTATCTCATCGTTGCCCAAATGTTTCATCCGTTTATGTATCATCTGTTCGTCGTCCGGATTGGATATACGGGTCGACACATGAAATACGACTTCTGTTAATGAATTGGCAAAATATGGCGCCGTTTTGCCAGTGCTCTTGTTCTGCTGAAGACCACCTTTAAAGCCAAGATGTTTCTCCAGATTTACTTCCCATCCGAGACCCGCAACAAACTCTTCGAATGCTTTACTTCCCGATGAATTGGAAAGAATGGATTCTTTGTCTTCCTGTCCTTTTGCTACATAAATCACTGCAATCTTATGTGTTTCGCGACAGTTCTGATAATCCAGATTACGAATTTCACGGACAAAGTTTTGATTTTTGGCCATTAGATCGATACGATTGCGTTTTTCCCAAAACAGAAAACCCATTTGATCAACAAGTTGTCGACAGTGTTTAAATGCAGACTCGACTCGACTGGCCGTTTGCGATGATATCGATGGCGACGGAGAATCGGATTCCAATGTTTTTGGCGATAATGTCTTTGTCGTCGTCGACGAGTTCTCTTGGTTTTCGCAATAGAACCGCTCCTGAATGTGTTGGTTCATCAACAGTGCCATCATATCTGATGCTTCTGATTGCATGAGATTCAATGAATTGGCGTTATTGTCGCGAATACTAATGCATTCGGGACTCGTTGTCGTCAAATGCTGTATAAGGGCTTCCAATGGATCCATCATTGATGGAGCACTTTGTGTTCGTTCATCATATTCATCGAAATCTCTATTATTTTGTTGTCTGTGTCGTTGTTTTTCACTTTCACTATCCATTGAAAATAATTTGTTTAGATTTAATGGATTTTGTTTGCATTTCATCGATGAATATAATTGTTTGCAATCCAACGAAAACTTTCCCAATAGATTGCGAACAATAACCCGAACGGGTGTTTTTGAGACATCGGTTTGTGAATCAGTTTCTTTACTATTTGGACTCTCTTCGGGTAATTCGGTAAACGATATGATACTGGAATTGTTGACCAAAAAGAACAATACATTGGGAGCGTTAACGACGTCGAGATCAAATGTTTCGGTGTTTGACAGACAAATGTTGTCATCATTTTCATTGATCAGACAACTGAGTTTCGCGGCTCCTAATCCTGATTGCGGAAAATGGCAGTAAAAATTGATAAAATGTCCGATAATTAGATTAGCGGCCAAACGAATGGTAATGGCGTCCAAGTCTTCTTTGTGTTCGACAATAGTATTCAAATACATTGTATTGGTTTCTTCGTTTGATGAATTATTTGGACGCTTTCGTGGAGAAGTATTGGGTGTAACACCCGATTCGGGTGAGTTTTCCGAACGAATTGTGTAATCTATATCCTGTTCGGTAGGACTGGACGGAGCCGACATTGATTTCCCTTTAGTTTTATTATCTAAATTAGCTATCATTGAATAACACCGGAGAACTGCATTCATCATTGAATCGGAACTATTCTCTGTTGTGGCCGTTCGCTCCAAAAAGATCTTCGGCACCGATAGACACCATTCGGCCAAACAAAACATTATTGTAAGTAAAGTCTATTAAGTAAATAATTTTTTTTTAAATCAATAATTTTTTTTAAAAATCAATAATTTTTTTTGATATTATTATCCAAATAAAAAAAATATTTACATTTTTATACTCTTTAAACAGATTCTGATTTTGAACGACTGATATGTGGCTCATAAGCGTAGAACAGAGACCCTCAATGATCTTCTTTGGTATCTCTGGATGATTGTCCAACAGGTATGTCGAGTGATCAGTTTGTAGGCGCAACATATCACAGGCCACTCGACATAAAACACGATTATTGAACTGAAAAGCAATAGTAATTATTTTACAAAAAAATAAGCAAAAATTTTACGGCAAGCCTTAGATTAGTATATTATAACTATTAATAATTTTTTTGTTAAAAAAAATAAATCAAAATCAAAAATACCTTCGAAGGGTTAGTGTTATCAAAATTAGTTATTAGTTTCGGTATTTTGAGAGACACCTAAGTTTTTATGGGTGTGTTTGTGTGTCAGTAAAACAAATAAATAAAAACAAAATCAAACAATAATTTCATGCAATTAGTGTGAATTAATTATTTTTTTAAATGAATGAGTGCATTAAAATGCAATAACTTGTTGTACACAGACATACCCGAGTGCCGGCAATCAATACATTTGCAATTTCCCGAAGTCGCGGATGATTTGTACGATTGTTAAGCTCTTGATATAGAAACAATCCTAAACTGCTCAGTGCTATGGATCGGCCTAAACCTGTCTGTTCCCGTTTACTAGCGGTTAACAAAATTTCTAAAACATGATCCTTAAAAAATAATATATATATATTAAAATAAATTGCTAATATTAATAAATGTTGAATAAAAAATATTAATCAATTGAAAAAAAATTTACTTTTGTATCCTTATATAATGTTAGACTCAATTGCGGTGTCCGCGACTGTAATACCAATACGTTATCAAAAACATTACTGAAACCAATAAGTGAACCCAACAGATGAAGTGCTTCACCGCGTGGTAACTGTTAGTCACAAAAATTAATAAATTATTATTAATTTATGATAACTATAGTTCAATATATTTATAATTTTATTTGTGTACAAACTTTGCTCTCTTGTGATGATACAATAGAGTTGGCAGCATTGATAAAATCAAATAATAAACAAGATGACCCGGGTAGTCCAATGGAAAAAAATTTGGGACTACAATACTTTATTAAAGTGCTGGTTATTTCCTAATAAATAAAATTTAAAAAATATATATGTATTTAATAATAAAATTTAGTTACTATTCATTTAGTACCATATCGTATGATATTAATCCCTGACTTAATGTCAAATAAAATAACGACAAAAACTCTTTTGTCGGCAGATTCTCAGTTCGGCGAACAGCTATAATACATAACAATTTATAGGCCAATAGTTTGCCCGCTTTGTACTCATTTGGCAATTGTGTGGCTTTGAAGAGCCACGAACTGAAATAATCGAGCGGTGGATCTAATGATGGATCACTTAGTACTTGATTGTCAACAGAAATACCCAAATTATCTTTGACTTTGATTAGATCTTCAACTACTTTGACCAAACATTCCATAACCTGACTGTGAATAAAAGGATTCGACAATTGGTTTATATCTCCGAGAATGCCGAGCATTCTTCGCCATAATATGAATGAACTCTCCGCTGTCCAGCCTTTATTGGTACCGCCGATTAGTACACAATCGGTGTGATTATTATTAGACTGTAGGCCTCCCTCTAAATTCATTGGCGAATCTTTCAAACTATTGCTTTCGATAACATTTGAATGAGTTGGCGATGGACTTCGGCTGACGGAAACTTCTGACCAAATCGGAGATTCGTTACGATTATAGTCTAAATAGTCTAATGATCGACATTTGTTGGTCGAATCGAATTTGTTTTCCGAATTATATTTGTTGCGCTTAACGACAGCATCGGGACTTCGTTTGAATGTTTTTTCGGACAACAAATAACTATCGCTACGACTTCTGGCAATACCCTGATGACTGATTTGCGGTGATATTGATTTGCCGATCATCATCGGCGAGTCACCACTACTCGAACGAATACGTCTAACAGCTTTAGGATCTTTGTTTGATTCGGTAACACCTGATCGGATGCCGTTGGTCTGATTGGTATGACATTTGGCCTCTTGGCTTAGTTCACGCACTCGGAAACGGCGTTTATTTTTATCCAATTGTCGCTCAAGCGGTAAATCATGTAAATTAATATTATAAACATATCGGGCCATCACTCGAGTTAATGTATCGATTGTTTTACTCCACTCTTTGATCAACTCTTCCCAATTGGTCAACAATGATACCAATTCGTGAAATTTTTCCCATAAAGAGTTAGACAAATAGACATTTAAGTTGGCTTTAATCCATGTAACAATCAATGTCTATTAAAAAACAATAACAATTAAAAATACATTTATTCAATGCATCGGCCAATCAATTATAAAATCTAACATAAATAAATTGGGCTAAACATTCAATTTAATATTCGGTAATATATTTTATTTTTGGCATTTATAATAAATTTGTAAATTTTATAATAAATATAATTTATTTAAAAATTATAATAAATAATACCGTTTGTATAAAAAAATAAAACATGATTATAATCAACAATATAACAAACCTGAAACAATGCCGGAGCTAACCGTCCTCCCAGAGTATCCTCCTTTCTGATGGGAACTTTGGTCGTCAATACAAGTGATGTAATTTGAAGCAAAATTTCAAGTAACTGTTCCCTGAAAAATAGAATTTAAAAATATTATTCGCAATTACTATTAATATAACATTTTCTAACTTACCAAGCTAGCTTATCCATGTCAATTTTCATAACCATATATCGATATATATTGAGTACACGTTTACACATTTCTACCTGTTCTTCGAGCATCAGTGGCTTATCGGGTGGTACTTCCAATAGAAATACATTAGAAGCAACCGAAACAAAGACACGCAACAGATTGGATAGTCCGGCCCTAACGTCACTGTTATTATTATTATTTGTATTGACATTGGATTGAACGGGAAACTCGATGAATGTCGGCATTTGGGTGGACGTACCGTAAATCCAATGTCGATAAACTGTTATTACTTTTCTTATAGTTATTGCGTGCGAAAATGGCAACAGAAATGCCTCTTTGAAAAGCGAATGAATTAAATTTACATAAACACGACTCGAATTGAAGACACTGTTGATTATCTGATACTCGATGGCAGTCGGTTCGCGAAATTCATTCAAATTGGCGTCTTGTAGATCACTGACATTCATGTGCGACGCGTGAAACAGTTTACTGTAATATTGTTGCTCTTCCAGTGCCTCACTTCTGTCGGATGGTTCGTTGGTATCGCTTTTGAGATATTTGGAGAGCCAACGTAAGACCACTGATTGCGTGTGTAGAAGTGTGTCGCGATAGGGAAAACGTTTTTTATCGAAATAGTAATTATCGTCAATACATTTGCGCAGATTTGGCAGTTCCAGCGGCGGACTATATATGGAYACTTCGGTCAGATTGGGAAATATGTGTAACAGATAAGTCTTGTGAAACTTTTGCCACAAATATTCAAAACATTTCAACTGTTTGTTGTCTTTGTTGTCGCGCCAACAGATTTTTGTCGGCTGTGTTATCATATAATCTAAAAAACATTGCAAATAATAACATGTGATATCGTGCGGCTGTGATTCAAGATGATAGGCGGGAACAAATGGCTCGACGAGACACGGCTGGACTGATGCAGTGCTCAATGGCATCATTAAGTTTGGCGAATCGGGACTATGCAGCGGTGATGGTATGGCATTGCCATTGTTGTCGTGATAGGATTGGTTCACCGAATCGGACATCATTTGGCTACCGTTTTGTGACTGTTGTATTGGCAAAAATGGATTCGGAAGACTGGCCACAATTCCTGGTACTAATGAAGCGTAGATTTGCTCGATTTCAGCAATAGTTGACAACTCTTCGCCTAATATTTGGTACCAAATCAAGAATAGTCTCATTCCTTCGCGTCTTATCTTTAAAAATAATTAATAAGTAATATATATGTAAAACAAACAACATTTAAAAAACATAAAACATGTCTTAATGAAGAATAAAAAAAATGATAATTACTTTAATAACATTCATGTGATGCAGACATTTGCGAAATATCAACAAAAGACTCTGGATTTGCCACTTCTTCTGTAATATTTCCGGYAAAAGTGTCAAAATTTTCTGAAAAAAATTATAAGATATTTAAAATATATTAATTATTAATAGAAATATCCAATTGTGGGAACAGTTTTTCAGTGATAATACATAAATAAACAATAAATACTTCAAATATGTAGAGAACTGAATCTAATTCTTCTTTGTTTGGTTTGTGATCTAAATTAATTGATGCAATCATTGTTAGTATAATATATCATATAATACTGTATTATTGAGGATCAACTTCAAGTGATAGATAACAACAATAAAAGATAAATATCATAAATACTTCTGAGTTTGTGAACGGCTTCGATGGCTATGAAACAGTCAAAGAAGATATGATAGATATGTGTAAAGTGATGTTCAAACAGTTCTTTCGACTCCTTTACGTCCATCACATCTGATGTCACCATAAAAAACCAAAACAACAATTAGTTATCAAATTGAGTGATGTCTTTGTCATACAAACCTAATATAATCCTTAAATGTCTTAAACGATTGAATGAATCTCTCTTGACGTCCAAAAACTTTTGGATCGACTTCTTGTAATCGATTTGTTGTTTTTTGCCAAACATTTTTGCGGATCAAATCCCAAGTGATAATTACAATAATAATAATAATAATAACTGACAACAAAAATATCAAGTGATGGCAAACAACAACAACAACAACGACAACAATAAATGTTTGACCATTTAATTGATTGATTGATTAATCAATGATTACAACAAATAATAGACATTTAAATATATATAAAAACAATTAATTTAATCATTTAATTAAAATTTAATTATAACAACATTACTGTCAGTCAATTGGCATAACATTACTATAAGTTAATAATACAGTCAACAGTACTGTATATATATATAAACAAATGACACCCACTTTGCTTAGCATTTAATAACAACCAACACATCAATACATTGATGACAACAACACACAAACACAACAACTCAATACACAAACACTCTGTTATACAGACAGTACAGGTATTATAGCGCATACACTTTGAATACAGTATTATTATAATACCTGTAATACAGTATAAAATAATAATAATAATAACAGTGTTGTAAACATTACAGATTTATTATTAAATGACATTATATTATTTGCACTGATTTTATATTATATAGTGTCCAGGTCAATTCAATTAGCTATTAATAATTAATATACTAATATGTTTTTTTTAAAAAAGAATTATTTATATATTTTATTTAACAAGGTTATATTATTATTATTTTATTTTTTTTTTATTTCTAATAAATTAGTTTTAGTTTAGTTTATGATAGTGATAAATGATATATTTAAAAAAATAAATAAAAGATAAATTTTAATGTCCTCAATATTTTTTTTGAATGCGATTTTTTAAAAAACATGTTAACAATTTTAGTTTAAATATTATATAAATTTATAAATGTATTGCTTTCAAATAGCTTGCATAATATGTGCATAAATGATTTATTTTACAGCAGGGTAATAAATTAATGTAGCATATAGATTAATTGATGATATAATTTTTGTTTTGTTTTGTTTTATTTAAACACAATAAAAAACTTATACAATTAATATGCAATAATAATAATTTTTACAAACGTATAGTACTTTATTTAAATTACATTAGAATTATTTATAATCAATAAACAACATAAGTATTCAGTGCATAAATAAATCTAGATTTTAATTATTCAATATATAAATTAAATGAGAAAAAAATTGTATAAATTTTTATATACTGTACAAAATAAAATCAACATTATTTTGGACTATTAGTTATTAAAATTATTAAATAAATAATAATTTTATTGATGTATAATATACTGTATATTTCAACGATTTATTTAGGATTCAAGTTTTGCCGGAAATTGTACGCAAAGATAAGGGTTTCGCAGTCTATCCTCTAATCTTAGTCTAACATTAACCGGAATACTCGGGTATGTCGTACTAACGGGCATCGATAGGTTGAATGTATTAACTGAATTGTTGGCTATTGGACACTGAATTCCACGCATACAGGCGTCGTCGGGAAACACTGGCCATGGAATCGGTAAACCCATTATTATACCATATATTTTAACTTTCAAGTAATCCACTGTTTCATCTATACAAACATTTTAACAACAAAACGTTAATTAATTAATTTGAGTAATTTTTAAAAATTTAATATACTATTGATTCAATAGTATTAAATATTCATAGTATTAATTTTTAATATTTCATATAAAAGTTAATATAATATGTATGTAATCTCATGTAATAATAATAATAATAATTTTCAATTAATAATTAATTTTAGCTGAAGTATTAATATCATATGTTTATACTATAAATCATATTTATTTATTTTATTAATTTCAATTTAAGATAATATTTGATCTCATTTATAAAGAAAACAAAAATCTAAATTAAATTTACAAATTAGATAAAATAAATTTTGCCATATATTGTATTTATAGATAAATTTTAATATTATTATAAGTACTGTTCTTATATTACAAGATTTTTTAAAAAAAAAATTTAGCATGCACATTTTATAATATAAAAAAATAATTTAATAACTATTAAATTATTAAATACATACGAGAAGTAAACGATACGGTAATTGTGACGTTTTGGCCTTTTTTGAAAATACATTTATCCGTTAAATCCGGATCACAATTACTTATATTCACTGAATTAAGACTCCCTTTAAGCAGTGATTTATCTAATGTAACGACAGATTATTAAATAAAAAAAAATTATTGTACTATTAATAAATATAAACAGTTTTATAAATTATTTTTAAAACTTACCGCAAATATTATATGAATAGCTGGCATAGCAATAGCCAAGTATAAAGGTGAAAGTAATTATTGAAACATAAAAATTAAATTTAATAATTTGAAACATTATGTTGAATATATTAATATTTAATGTAATTATTATTATTACAGTTGATACACCAAATATAAAATTATTAAATTATTTTTAAATGAGAAAATTTAGTTAGTTTTATGCGAAAGTTTTTCAGTTAATGTCTTTGTTAATTGAAATGTTGAGTACTATATACTGTACAGATAGGGAGAATAAAGTTGAAGACGTTTTTGATGAATGATTTACAAAATATAGCAAATATTAGATATTATTTTTTTACTGAAAAATAATCTCCAAATATGTAAAATTGTGTGATAAAAATTATATTAATATACGATTTAAAATTTGGTTACAATTTACTTTCAAAGTTGAAATACACTTTTAGTGATTTTTAAACAATAATTAATATTAGTATTTAATAATAATATATTTTAAAACAAAAAAAGTTATAAAAATCATAATTCCTAATAATAAATGTAAACATTAGTTTAAAAAATTGCATAAAAGTTCTAAAATTCCAAGTCAAAAGACAAATCAAATAAGTTAAACATAACTCAAATAACTGAATTTAAATTAATAATTGTAATAATAATACATATAATTAAAAAATTAAAATTAAAAACAATTAATTAGTTCTAAAACTTAAAAATCCGCAGCAAAATTTTATAAAATTGCTTAAATTAATAAAGCAAAATCACATTAATATAAAAAATTATCAGCAATAAATAATTACATTAATTTACTCTAGTTAAAGTTGAGAAATAAATTATATTTTTCGCATTTTATACAGTCATGTTTAATGCATCAAAATTAAATTATAAAACAAAATTTTAATAAATATCTAAAAAACAAATATAGAAAATCTTGAAGATATACTCTATCTCATCATTGTTTAAGACTGTAAAGTTTTAGACAAAAATATTCATCATTAATTTATAGTATTTAATATTTTTTTAAAGATATCTTTAAATTAATAATATTATATTTATTTAGAGCATATTTAGTTATTTTTTTACTATTAATACAGATTTTAACTAAAATAATAACTTTATTGTCCATAGAGATTTTAAATGGTCAAAACGACTATTGCTTTTATTAAAAATTAATTTAATTTTTTAGCAAATGATGCCTTTAAGTTTTACTATGTCCCCAAAAAATATCAGTTTTTTAATATTTAAAATACTCGTTTAAACAAACAAAAATAACTAAAATAATTTTGGTTAAAAATGTCTAAAGGTATATCTCAACTTTAAAAGTAAATTGTAGCCAAATTTTTAATTAGATTTTAAAATATTTTATATAACAACAATTTTACATATTTGCAGATTATTTTTTAGTAAAAATCTTTTATCCAATATTTGCCATATCAAGCAAATCGTTCATCAAAAACGTCTTCAACTTTATTCTCCTCACCTGTATATATAGTACCAGTGCTTCCCAGTTGCGTATCCCTATAGACACTAACATATAATACACACACAATGAGACATTGATATTATGAATTACATCCCAAGGATTTTTATCTGTGATTTTTTTATAAAGCAGTTGTTAAGCAATGAAATAGACATTGATTTTACATATTAATTAATTTTCAAGTTAATAGTATAAGGTCTAAACTTTTTTTTTAATTGAAAATTTTCTAACCATTAATTAATGAATGCTATAAATATATATTTATATGTATTTATTTATAATATATATTTATTTACTGTTATTATGAATTAAAATATTTTACATAACATTAAATTCAATAATGAAGTATTGTTTTTGAATATTTTTGAATAATAAAGTAACTATAGTCTGCAATATGATTAATAATAAAATTATATAAATATAAACTTATAAAGATTTATGTAAATACTGAAAAAAGTATTATTGAAAAAAGATGTAAATAGTTAATAACACTTTTAATAACTATAATAATTTTATTTGTCACTGCTCAAAATTCATATAATCATCATCATATATATATATATATATATATATATATATATATATATATATATATATTAGTATACGCCACTTAATTACTTAAATATATAATTTATATATATATTTCATATAAAAGTTATTATATTCATATATCTGTAATTGACTTTATCTCAATAAAGGATTGATCTAATTAAATGCATATATAATTTAGTAGAAAAAAAATATTTATTTATTTATTTAATAAAATATCTAATGATTTAATAAATTAATTTCTTAATATTTGTAGTAATTTAATAGTTTTTTGTCACTTAATTTTACAACTAATTAATTAATACTACTGTAATCAAATAAAAATTATAGGTTATCTTAAAATTAAAACTTAATCTAATGATAATAATAATAATAAACATAATCGTTATAAATTATTTTTTCAGTATATTTATTGAAATTAATTAATTAATTATTTACATTTTGATTAATTATATTTAATGTTAGTTTAAAAATATTAACAAATTTAGACGTCTTTTATTTGAAATATGTTTCCCATATTTAATGTATTTAATGACAAAAACACTTACAAATTGTTTATACAATTATTATAAGGAAGAGAGATATTGTGTTTTCATTACCACATACTTCAGGTTAAAGACCTAATCGTTTAAATGTTAAGATTCTTGTAATTCAAAGCTATTAATATATTATAGTAATAATAATAATAATATTTATGAGAATTTAGATATTATTATTATCTCTTCTATAAATAATAATTTTTATTATTCAAATGTTATGTTTTTCAATGTTTGACATTTTTATTTAAATAACTAATTTATTATTATTTCAATGTCATGCTTTGTTAAATCTTTATTATGATTATTATTATAATTACAAAAATAATAAAACATATGGTTTCAATTTTTAAAGGCCAATATCCGGCCATCAATTGAGCTTAAAGTTTAAATACTCTATGATATTAATACTGATGTAATATTTTTCATTCATAATTTTTCAGTACAATAAGTTAAAATTAATGTTTGATAATTAATGTCGAATATAAAAAAATTGTTTAAAAAAATTATTTTCTCTAAATATTATGTAGATGATAGTGTAATAAAAAAATTTCCCATATATGTCAACCATGATTTTTTGTGATTAAATAATTTATTATAATAAAAATATTTAGAGTAAACTTAATTTTTTAAATATAATTTTACATAAACTGTAATAATCTAATTAAACAAAATTTATTATTCATATCTATTTGATAGACATCTCAACACAATTAGAGATACGAATAATTCACTGAAAGAATAAATAGTATTTTAAATTTAGTAAATATTTGTTAGTTTCTCTCTCTATTTACGATATACAAAATTTACCATGTACAATTATATAAAAAGCATCAAAGTATTATAACCTGAATGTATTATTTTATTAATTATATACTTTTGTATTTGTATTTAAATATGATTAAAATAAACGGTCGAAAACAGTTATATCACAGCAACAAATCTTAAACTTAAAATTACTATTAATATGTATTAAAATTTAACAAAAAATTTAAATTTTATTGTATATATTTTTCAATTAGTTTGATAGCATATTATAAACTTATAAATAATTTTACAATATTTTTTAAATTTTAACAGAAGTTTTTAACAGTCATTATAATTATGATTATTATTATGAAATATTTTATTGGATTTGAACGGGAAATTGTTCACAAAATATTTTGCTTTTATTAGAGTCCATTAGTGCAACCCTTACATCAAGTTTTATCTTCGGGTATTGACTCAATATGGGCACCGTTACCGTCAACTCATAATTGTTGTCCTTATTAATCGGACACTTAATGTTATAGTGACCGCAGGCATCGCTAAATTTTGTTATCAATATAATAAAATCAATAAATATTAATTTATTTAAATATTTTATATAATAATATAGACATTACCTGGGCAAATTAAATGGGATTGGTACGCCAGCAATCTATTAAAAAAAWGAAAAATATATTATTAATAACAAAAATTAATTGTAAAAAATTATGAAATTTAAACATACGATTCCCCATATTTTAACACTTGCTGTGTTTGAATCAATTTCTATAATATTTTTAAAAAAATAGACTATTAATAACTGATTAATAAAACACATAACGTTATTTTTTAAAAAAAAATAATTAAAATATTAATAACTTTATGATACAATAAGAAAACAAAAACCTGATTTAAATTTCACGTCAATCGTCTCATTGTTTCCCGACTTAAAAGCACACGACTGTGCCGTCGGTGGACAGTCGGATACTGTGATGGATGAGACTACACCTGTTGTAGCGCCACAGTCCTTAAAGTCAATACCATTAACTTGATATACAGTTAACATCAAAATAACAACAAAAATCCCAATTATGATGTTCATTGTCGACCAAATTAGTTGATCTGCAAAAAAATGGTTTGATTGAAAAAGTTATTTACGTATTAATTATACAGAAAACAAAATAACAATTTTTCTTAATTGTCTCATCACTAGTGAGAGAACCAATCAAATAAATAAAATTACAACAAATATTGATTAGATATGATGTTTATCTAAAAAATTAAATGATTCATCACATACTTGACGCATATGAAACATATTCATTAATAATAATATAAATATTTAGTTTGTAATTGAAATCAAGCTTATTTATGCGTTTATTTTTTAAAATTTAGTTGCTAATGAATTGATAGATTTTATAGTTATTGCCATTTGATAAAAAAATAATAATAAACAATAATACAGTAGTATATTAATAAACTTTCTAAAACTAATTAATTTGCTAGATTTTAAAACATCAAATAAAACATTTGTTATAAATTTTAAAATTATATTTAATAAAATATTTATTTATTATTTATAATTATAATATTATTAGCTAACAAAATATTTCATTATATTAATTATTATTGTATCTTAAATTATAGTTTATATAAATTACAAATTTTATAAAATAATTTTAAGGCATTTTTTAGCTTTAAAAATTTAAACTTACCTTAATTTAATAAATTTACAAACTAACAAAAACTAACATTTTAAACATTATAGATAAAATTATATTAATTTTCTATTTAATAAATTTGTTGTTTTGTTTTTTATTTTCAATGTTTTTTATAAACTTTACATGTCAAAAAATAACAAATGTGATTTTTTATTTTAACATTTGTTTAAATATTTGTTTTATTTAACAATCAATTTTATAATCAGTTTATAGTTATTTTTAGTAATTATTACAAAACAATACTGGTACTTTTATTAAATCAATTTTATTTTGTTATTATTAATAAATTAGTTAATAAGTAAATAATAATAATAATTATTATTTTTCTCTAGAAAATTGATTTTTAAAAACTTTTGATTGAAAAATATTTGATTAATTAAAAATTATAATTTATTATATTATTAATTATATCGATTTAATATTTGTGTCTATGTTTTGTAATTATTTAATTATAGTAATAAAATTATAATGCTATATTAGTTTTTAGATAAAATAATTTTTTAAACCTATTTTATTCTTATAAAATATATTATTTCAATAGAAATATCATTACTCTGCCAAACTTGTATAAATAATAAACACTAAAAATAATTATATTTAATGTAATAAAATAAATAAATATATATTTATATATATATATATATTATTTATAACTGTCTCTATCATCTGAAAATAACAAATTCATTGTTTTGATTTTGAATATGTTTTTCAAATAACAACATTTATAGTATTTTTAGTAATAATATAAATAATCAATTTTTGTTAAAATTTTATTTATTTAGTTTTTACAATTAATTTCTATTTATAATCTTATTATTACATATTATTATTAGTAACTTTACAAAAAATAAATGTTTTTAATATACAGTATGAATCATAAACTTTTATTTTGCGTCACAATTAAAAATAAATTCATATTTATATTTATTCAATATATTTATACGTAAATTTATATAAACATTCCTAATAATTTAATTGTATAACATCTTTATAAATATATATATTTATTTATATATAATGTATGTTTAAAAATGTATACTTAAAATAGTAATTATTATTTTTAATTACATGAATCATGCAATGAATCACATTATAAATTGAAAATATATGAATGCGATTTCTATAGATGTATTATATATGTATTATAAATAACAAAATTGAACGAAAACTATTATAACAAAAAATAATAATATTTATAATAAATTTTCAATAGACTATATAAAATAGCTTTTTAAAAAACAGTAAAAATTGTTTATTTAAATTGCATATTATTAAAATATTATATAATCTTGTGGTCATTTAATACTTGTTGTATAAGTTTATAATGTATTTATATATAACCACACTTTATATATAAAAAATAAAGTTTTTTTTGTTATATAAATTAAACTACAAATCATGTCAATCAAACAGATGTGACTTCAAGTTGTGGATTATGATTAAAATCAACAAAAAATAATTTCCGCTTTTCATTCAATGCTAACTTAACATCTAATCCAATATTATTATCATCAATAGGTTTTCTAATAGTATTATTATTATCATAATTTGCATCACTTATATCATCATCATTTGTAAGCACAGTTACAATACAATTATGGCTATTATTATTATTAGGCCTGAGCTGACCATCGATTAATACATCCGATTCGACAGTGTCGTCATCGTCGGTAATATCGACACGATTTTCAATGATATCTGGAAGTGAACTACTTCTTCGGGGAGACGTATATAAGGTATTGACGGCTAGAAAATCGTCGTCTAATTTAATAGTTTTCTATTTGATAGAAGAAAATCAATGATCAATTAAATTAGCACTTCTATAAAAAATTAATGAAAACAAAAAAATTATTTATCAATTATGTTACCTTTGGATGTGGTGATGGTGATGGTTGACGAAAGTATGGAAATATGTTAAGAATATGAAAGAAATGATGAGGAGATGATGAAGACTCGTCAATTGATTCGTCATTAAATGATGGCTGTTGTGAAAATGTTGGCGAAGGACAGGACAGTGATGGAGATCCCGCACTGTTTAAGGACATATCGCTTGTAATAAGTTTGCCGTTTTCGGTGACCAACGACAGCGGTGCCGATTGTTGACGTTTGTATCGTCCTTTGCCACGAAATTGGTTGATCTTTCGCTTTATCGGCGGTCGACCCGATATCCGTCGGATTGATAGGACAACATTGGTCAGATGGCGCGACTGGAGTCCCTGACCAATAAAGTTGAGTATCATCGACAGATAGGCCAAACCAAATATAATCCAGAGTACAACCGCTAGCTTATAGATCCATATGTACTCCCTTTCAAAGCTGCCGGCAACGTAGTCGCCGAACCCGATGGTCGATAGTGTAACAAAGCAATAGTAGAAGCCTTCGAGGAACGTCCAGTCTTCGATTAGGGCAAACACTACGGCCGGTAATACCAGAAAAACCAGAAACCAGGGAACAAAAAATATCAATCCCTTCTTCAACATCATTAGTCGTATAGATATTTGCCTCTTATATCGAGTTTTGGCTTTTGATATCTAAATATTTAATATTTATTTGGTATTAAATATTTATTTATTTTCTTAAATATTAGAATAAACTATAATTACGTTATTTGAAAAACAAATACTAAATCGATGACCAATTCCGCCAATCAATAGCCCAGTCATCGGTATACCAAATAATGCATAGATTATGCAAAATATTTTTCCTAAAATTTTTTATATATATTATGTCAAATAATCAACGAATAATGCACCGATAGGTACAGGCAATACCTGTAACAGTGTATGGCGTGAGATGACCATAACCTATGGTTGTGGTAACAGTTATTGCAAAGAAAAACGAGTTGAAAAAACTCCAGTTACTAAACGATGTCTTATTTCCATAACTGTCCACCAGATTCATGTCCTGAGCGACCAATAATTTTTGAATCATTGTTGTTATATAATCTTGTGTTATGTTTGGATGATTTATTAGCTGTAATTTGTCTGTTTATTTTTAATTAATATAAAAAAACTATTAACATTAACTTAATATACTCTACTAATTAGCCGAAAATTTTGCTTACATTACATAAATTAATAATAATTATGATTTTTTAAAAATTTGTTGTTGAAAATATTAAATACTACTAATTATCTAATATAAATTATATATACTATAATAAATTTTATAATTAAAATAAATTTTGTAAAAAAATATATATGTCTTTCCTCTGAAATCGCTGAGCAACTCATCAATCTCTTGTCGTTTTTGATTTTCAAGACTCGACTCCAAATACATGAATACCGTTCCGCCAAATATCACATAAAATATGAAAAATACTAAAAGTAAGGCTATTTGCCTAAAATCCATTGAAATTGCCTAATAATGGGATATATAGTATTATAGTTGTAATAATAATAATATATGTATAAATTGATTGTAATAATATATTCATTAATATTTAAAGTTTTTAAAAATTGCTATTATAAATTATTAAATTTAATTATATTTTTTAAAAATAATAATTGTTAATTTAATTTTTTTTATTTTTCATTATATGATAATGTCAAAAAAACACTTAATCATAGAAAATATGCGTTTTTTAAAAGAAACAAAAGTGTATAATATTATTATATATATATATATATATAWATGTTTTAATTAATTAATTTTTAAGTTTTCCTAGTCAATGAATAATCGTAAACACACTATTTTAAAAGTATTAATAGATATAAAAATATTATTTTTCAAGTAAATTGCTATTTTTTATGTATAGAGATAAATATAATAATATATTAACAAACTGATGGTATCGTCTAATTTTCGCACATTTTATTGGATTTGTTTCAAAAAACTTTTAGCGCCTATTTTCACGACCAAAAAGTTCTTGACTTAAATTAGTTTTTAAAAAAACCTATTATTGTTATTTATTTTTGTAACAAAATAGAGAGAAACCATTATTTTATAATTTTATTTATAAACAACTGTTACTTTTTGATACAATGTAGTGATAAATTTAAAATAAATTATAAAAATTTTTAGCTGAATTGAAATTTAGCATGTTGACTATTAGGAAATTGAATTTTTTAAATAAATTGCTATTCAAAACAAAATAATTTATTTATTTACTGCAATTATTTAGTTATTATAATACTAATTTACATTATATTATTTTTTGATATATTAATAAATAAAATTAATAATATTTTTTATACATTAAGATTTAATAATTTTTACTATTATTATCAATAATAATATTTAGAATTTTAATTATTTACTAATTATCTAATATAACAAACAAATAAATTTAAACATTGATCATAATTTATTTGCAAAGATATATTTATAATATAAAAAAAATCAAAAATTTCAAAATATTATGATTTTATAAAAAAAAACTTGAAGTCAATCATTGAATAGTTAGATTAGTAAACAGTAAACAAGTGATACAGTATTTCATCACAATTTTTTTGTTGTTGGAAAGCATTTGTTTTATTTAAAACAAAATGTTATTATTTTTCTTAAAGAGTTTATTAATAATATACATCTGTATAAACTGTTTTGTTATATTTATAGAGTTGTGAAAACTATTATGTTATTATTATTATTGAAAATAGATAACTAAAAGTGTTTATATACTACTGTACTGTTATTTAGTAACTAACTGTGCGATACTGTTTGGGATGTCAGGGCAATTGCCTCATATAATTCATTCAATAACTTTTCAACGAAAAATAATAATAAATAAGTTTACAATATATTTTAAAATTAATTTTGTAAACTTTATAGATAAAAATTTATGAACCTTTCAAACAAATTGGCAAATAATACAGGGTTTTTAGGGGGAAATCTAGATAAAGTTTTCAAAAAAAAGTAAAAAAAAATCTTTTCAAACATTGCTAATAAATGTCAGAAAATATTATTTAAATTATAATATTTATTTTACTTAATTATTTCGTTAAAAACTATAACAACATAATTATAATAAATTATAAATATTGTTATAATTAAAAAAATAGTTCAATATACGGAATAATTTAGTCAATATTTTATAAATCCCTATTTTTAATTAAATTTTATATTAAATTTTATTTAGATTTAAGTTAGTAATATTAACGAAATAAATAAACTTTTTCTAAAGATATTTGTTAAACAATTAAATGTCAAATTAATGTATGCGTTGATGACTTAATATTTGTTAATTTTTATTATTATTATTTTATTTAAATTTTCTATTTTTTATACGTTGCAATGAAATTTTAAACTTTACATAAAGTTATAAAAGCAAATGAGTGCCAAAATATTTTTTTGTCTTATAATTTTTACTCAAATTAACAAATTTATAATAGCTCTTAATCTAAATAATTAAAGATTATAAGCGCTATTATACGCTTAATACAGTATTATAAATTATATTTATAAACAGTATCAATTTTTAGGTATTATAAAAAATATTTATATATAGCACTTACCTTGGGTATCATTTTTGTTGTTGATGTTGTTATTGTCAATCACAAAACTATAAGTCACACATTTAGATAATATACTAATAATAGTTTTAGTTTTATTTAAACCAATATTTTTTTTAAACACAGAAAATTAAATTTTTGAATTTATACGAAAATTTTTCCTGTATAAAAATTACATTATAAATCATTACACAAAATAATAATAATAATATTAGAGAAACAATAGATTTATGAAAAAGATATCAAATGAAACAAACAAACAAAAAAGTTTTATTCTTGCATTCAAAATAAACATCAAAGATTTTTTGTTGTTGAATAAAAAACTATTGATTGTTGGCTTTGTATAACACAATATAGCTTAACATTTGAAAATTTTTGAAGTTTTAAAGAAAGAGAGAGAGAGAGTCTCTTAACTTTTCACTCTATCTCTTAAATATATAATAAAAGTAAAGTAATGTCACATTTCGATGGCTGCCTATAACTCCACACATTTGCATTTTTTTCACAATTTTAATTATTTTTAGACACTTTTAATGTCCCACAAGATCGCATCGGAACAGTTTGGCTTTTATCCAGAATATCATATATAAATTATATTCATATATATATATAYGTAATATTAAGTACAGTATATACTATGAGCTAAAGATATTATCTTTGAAGATAGATTTTAACTGTTTAATTGACAAATAGTGGTTACCATATATTATAGTAGAGACTATTAGCTAATAATCACTATTTTCAAACAAAACAAAAAAAAGTGTTATTCGAGCCATTGATCGACAAAACCATTGCCATAACTTATACAATACAGTATACAATATATACATTGCATTTATTTTATTTATACTAAATATTATATTTAATATGGTTGAATAATATATTATAATTTGTCATATATATATAATATTACAAAAATTCACTAAACTTACCTAAAACAACACGTGTTAAACATTATTATGCTATCCATTGACAAAAAAAACATACAGTATATTTAAATTATTAATTAATTTAGTATAGAGATAAAAAAATAATTTAGTTATGTTTAACAAATTGCACAAAATGTTTTAGTTATACAATTATACAATTCAGTTTGTTATACAGGATATCCCATTAGGGCGACTATTCTTTTAGGACGTCCCATAAAATTCAAGTCTCAAATAGATTAGCAAAAAACATACGGTATTGACAATACAAATTATGCATGCTAATCATGAGAATGCCTAGGTTAAAATAATTGTTTAATATTTAATCGTCCTTTAAGTACATTTCCACATCAATTAGCAATCAATTTTGTAACGAGATATTTATGTTTTTTGAATATATAATATTATATAACTAAAAAAACAAAAACAATTTAATAGTTTAATAACAATTTTATTAAAAATTCATAAATATACGGTATATATACTATAATTTACATTTATTAGTTTATATTATTAATCACACACAATATTTATTAAATAGTGATTTTGCATAATTTGATATTAGTTTTTAAATGAATATTATCATTAAATACAGTATTTTTTATTAACTATAATTTCTTCATTAATAATATATATTTTTTAAAAAATGTTTAATAATTTTAATTTGCAATCTAAATATTATTTTAATGTTTTTGTAGACAATTTTAATTTATCGTACCATATATAGTATCGAAACAAATCCATTTTATTCAATGTATTTTAATTATTATTATTATTTAAAATACATTTTTATTTTTGCATTTATTTAATTGAAAAATTGTTATCTTAATTGTGAAAAAATATAAATAAATTAACATTTTTTTCGTTGGGGGATCCATAATATCAGTCAAAATATAAAATATTTAAAGTAATGTTTGTAATGTAAGTATAATTAAATGAAAACACGAGTTTTGTTTTGTCACAAATGAAAGACAATTGCAAAATAGTGTGACAAATGTTTTTTTTATGAAATTTATAGCCAATAAAACCCAAATATATTGTCAAACCTTTTAGTTTTATTTGTGTGAAAATAACTTTTTTAAAAAAATTAACACAATTTTTATAACTTTTTAAACGAAAGCAATTATTTGTTAGAGCTTTTTACACTCAACACAAAAAAATAGTTAGTTTTCATTTATAGTTTGAATTGAAAACTCTTCATACAGTTGTATAGAAATAATTGATGAAATGCTAATTAAAATGTCAATTAAATGTATATATAATAATAAAGTACTTTAAAAAAAGTACTTAAAAATACTATATAAAAAATATTCAATTAAAAATTTTTTTATTTAACTATTTTTATCAACTCATTAATTTGTTAAAAATATATAATTAACAAACTGTTAAAATAAAAATATTAATTAACTTATAAAATAGGTTAAAAATTATATTGTTAAAATTATCATGGTTGTTCTATTAAAAAAAATAACTCATATATTATTATAATTTCAATAAATTCATATAAATATTAGAATTAACCAAATGGACAATTTAAAATACAAACATAACTACAAAAAAAATTACATTACTAAACGGGTATTTTAAAAATATTTATTTTTTAAAAATCTATAGTAATTGATAAATATTTAATTATAAAAGTATCTAGATAGTTTAGTGTTAATGTCTAGGGCCATATCACGCTGAAAGCACCGGTTCTCGTTCGATCACCGAAGTTAAGCAGCCGAGAGCCCGGTTAGTACTTGGGAGGGAGACCACCTGGGAATACCGGGTGTCCTAGACACTTTTTTGTATCAATTTATTATTTATTTTTTTCTAAATAATTTATTTAATATTATTATAATTACCTATATAATATATTTATACGAGTATAATTAAAAATAAATAATAATATGAATAATAAATAAATTATTTAGAAAAATATATATAAATTGATACAAAAAAGTGTCTAGGACACCCGGTATTCCCAGGTGGTCTCCCTCCCAAGTACTAACCGGGCTCGACGCTGCTTAACTTCGGTGATCGAACGAGAACCGGTGCTTTCAGCGTGATATGGCCCTAGACATTAACATTACACTATCTAGATACTTTTATAATTAAATATTTTTCAATTTCTATAGATTTTTAAAAAATAAATATTTTTAAAATACCCGTTTAGTAATGTAATTTTTTTGTAGTTATGTTTGTTTTTAAATTGTCCATTTGGTTAATTCTAATATTTATATGAATTTATTGAAATTATAATAATATATGAGTTAATTTTTTTTTAATAGAACAACCATGATAATTTTTAACCTATTTTATAAGTTAATTAATATTTTATTTTAACAGTTTGTTAATTATTATAAATTATTATTAAATATATATCTGTCCCAAATTGATGAGTTGATAAAAATAGTTAAATAAAAAATATTTTAATTATATAGTATATTGTAAATTATAAATTATAGAGACATAATTTAGATTGCTGCAAAAAATTATCTATATACTAATATTTTCACGAACTACTGAAAGGAGTACTTATCTGAATTCTATATGTCCTTCCGTGCGTCCGTTTTCCTCAGCATTTGATTGAATTTTTAAATTCTGACTTCAGATTTGGATTAAGCATCAAAAATAATGTATAGGGGATCAGCATTAAAATTTTGATATCTCTTGGCAAACATAGAAAAATGGCGACCAAAGTAAAAAAATTTTATGTAAAAATTTTAACGTTAAAAATTGAATAGAGCATCACAAATAAGGTATAATAAATCAGGATTATTTTTTTGAAAAAATGGCGGCAAAAGTATAAAAAAAATATGTAGTATTATATGTAGTAATTTTGTCATACTGAATCATTTGATACCCCCACATGACTATAGTTGAGTTTATTTTGTTAAACTTAATCATTTAATTTTTAATACGGATTATGAGTTCGTATGGAAATGCTTTGTAGCATTCTCAACTGGTTTAATTATTAGGTAATTAATTAATATTTAATTATAAAAGTATCTAGATAGTTTAGTGTTAATGTCTAGGGCCATATCACGCTGAAAGCACCGGTTCTCGTTCGATCACAGAAGTTAAGCAGCCGAGAGCCCGGTTAGTACTTGGGAGGGAGACCACCTGGGAATACCGGGTGTCCTAGACACTTTTTTGTATCAATTTATTTTTTTTCTAAATAATTTATTTAATATTATTATAATTATCTATATAATATATTTATACGAATATAATTTTTTTTTTAAATATTAATAATATAAATAATAAATAAATTATTTAGAAAAAAAAAAAAAATAAATTGATACAAAAAAGTGTCTAGGACACCCGGTATTCCCAGGTGGTCTCCCTCCCAAGTACTAACCGGGCTCGACGCTGCTTAACTTCGGTGATCGAACGAGAACCGGTGCTTTCAGCGTGATATGGCCCTAGACATTAACACTAAACTATCTAGATACTTTTATAATTAAATATTTATTAATTACCTAGTAATTTAAAAAATATATAATAATAGATAATTTTTTGCAGCAATCTAAATTATGTAGCTATAATTTATAAATCTACAGTATACTATAGATTTTATACAATATATGATTTTTTTATATACTAGTATATATCTTTTAATTTTATAAACTATTAAAAAAAACTGCAACAACATAATTATAATAAATATAAAACCGTGTTATAAATTATAACTTATAATTGAAAATTTTTTACTTTAATTCAGTCAATAGTACGTTGGGTTTTCAAGATTTTATAAATCCTTTTAACCCCTCATTTTTTAAATTAGTTTTTTAAAAGTTTATTTAGTTATAAATATTATCTTTTTGTTGTTGTTGTGAATTCAAACTAAATACCCAACCGTGTCATTAACCATATAACCGATCCCTAATGTATAGCCTATTTTTGTATCCATTTAATTAATACTACTCTTATGCCACCAACACCCCCGCCCACCCATAAACTTGATTATTTATTATATACATGAAAATCGGTTGCCCATTAATTTTAAATTAGTTTTTTCAAGTTATTAAAAATATAAATATAATAAATGATAATTAACTTTGAATACATATAGTTTAACCCAAAGTTTAACCCAAAAAAAAAGTTTAATATTACAATACATTGAAATATTCATTGAATATGCAATGAATTGTGTGATGTATTGCTGAGAGAGTCTATACTTTATTACTATTAATAGCTGTCGTACTGTTTGTAAACCAATAAATATATTGTAAAAATCAGTACACAATTGAACATAACGTTTGATATTTACACGCGTTTTGAATGTATGTGTTGTCTGTCATTGCATTGCAATCACGTGTTGTCTATTGAAAAGACAAACCAGTGATTGTGGCGCTCAGTCAAAGATCACCACAAACTCTGGTCTATTGTTATTGTTTTTATTAATCATATATTTGTGTGTGTCTTGTAATCAGTGATTTTTTTGTCGATATATATATTGATGGCCAACAAAGTGGTGATTGTGTTTACTGTCTGTACGATAGTGTTGTCATCACTAATCTGGTCCGCAATCGGTGTCAAACTCAATGAACGAAGAATTCTGTTGCCGTTTAATACCGGAGTCAATACTAACTTTACATTAGAGGCCACTAATGATAACTGTTATCAATGGTATATAACTTATTGATTGATTGATTGACTGATGGATTACATTATTTTTGTCTTTTATAAGGTCTTCCTCACGACTAGACATCGCTTCTGTCGAAGCATTAGCCGAATCATCTCAAGGTTGCTCTAAAGGTGCTGTCGTGTCGGTGGTGTCTACGTCTGCCAAACGACAGTCATCAGTAGTAACCGCTACCGATAGCGGTAAGTCTTAAGAGGAGATCTGTTGAGAAAATTGATTATTAAATTTACTTTTGGTTTTTATTTGTTGGTGTTATTGACAACAGCTTCTGGTTCTGTGATCCGATGCGATGTCGAAGTGGATGTCATCAACTCAATTGAGATCATAACGACATCGCATGACATTGTTTTAGAAGATTTGCCCGAAATCTTGGAAGTGAAGGCTAAAAATGATAAAAGTATTTAACAAAAATCTATTATTTATTGATTAAGTTTTAGATAAATAATTGATTTCTTTGCCACAGATGACACATTCACATCAATCGCTGGCATTCAATTTGAATGGACACTCAGTCCAGTCGATATACTTCGCTATAGGACGTGGTCTTCATCGTCATATGTCGGACCGCCGTTTGTTCACTATTGGGAATCGCGTGACGCCAAAGGTTCAGCTATTCTTATCGAAGGTGTCCGCACCGGATCAGCCAAAGTGTCGGCTCGTATTGTGGGTGACGAATACAAGAAAGTAAAGCCGGCAGAGATAACACTTCATGTGATCGCAAATCTGGCACTTATTCCGCAAAATATAGTTTATCTGCTAAAAGGATCGAAAATCGAGTTTAAGGCTGAGATGACCAAACAGGGACCACGCGTTCCGCTAACACTGCCATCGCCTCAGTATTATCTAAAAGTTTTGGATCCGAAAATTGCTTTATTGGACGATCAGACCAGTCAAGTGGAGGCTATCAAAGATGGACAAACATCGTTGTTATTGTTGGACCGCAACGTAGCCACCAGTGAGAGCTCGCGACAACCGACCACCGAAATTCACGTAATGCCACCGAGTTATCTGACCATTCATGTGACGCCGGGCGACAATTTTGCTTTGTGCGAGTTTACCAGTTATGTCGTAACGTATACAATACACGACGACTGGCATCACCGGCTCTATCCGGCCGCCAATCTTCAGCTTAAAGTTACGTTTCCGTCTCGTTATTTCCATATAAACGACTCAACAACTAATGGTACACATCATACCATCCGAACTATCAATTCGGGCAATACTAAGGTTTGTTAAATTGATTTTAGTTTTTTTAGTATTGGATATAAAGTAATTTATTTGTTTATAGATTTCGGCACAACTTATCGGTGCTGGAAATGTCAAACTGACCGCTCCTTTAGAGCACTCGCAAGAAGTTACAATATATCGGACTTTATTATTGACGCCAAACCTTATCATTTTACCGTGGATTCCAAAATCAAAACCAACTTATACAGTGTTTGTTACGGCCACTGGAGCTACTGGTCAATATAGATGGGTGTCCAACAATAGTTTGGTGGCCACTGTTGCCTACAAGACAGACCAATCCGCTAAAGTTAAGATAACTACCAAAGATGAAGGCGAAGCACTAATTAGTTGCCAAGACGTACATAACTCTGTGTTTTCGGCAAATATGAGAACAGTTATTACTCCAGTCGTCGAGATTGAGATTCTTCCGGTTGTATTGGAGACACACGTCGGCGGAACAGTTATTCTGCCCATAGCTGTAAGTGGTTATGAAAATGAGGCCACAAAACAACTCCGTGTATTTGACGATTGTTCACAAATCCCATTTGAAGTTGAAATCATTGAAAAGGTTTTTTTATACAAATATAATTTATTTTAGCCGTTAATATATTACCGGTAATTAAAAAAAAAATATTTTTGTAAATTATTAATTTTGATAGACTCGTGTTAAATATGATGCCAATAACATTGTGGCCGGTATTGGCAAACGGTCGTGTCGTAGTCTAGCATTTGATTGCATATCGACTGGCAATACACGTGTTTGGATCAGATATGGCAAAGAGCTGAGTTCTACTGCAATCATTGGTTGTCATTTGCCACTGAAAGCAGTTCATCCAACAGAATATGCTGTAATGTCTTTGGGCGCCAGTATTGATGTTGCCTTTGAAGGCGGTCCTCGTCCCTGGACTCTGCATCCCGACGGACATTACACCAGATGTAAGTTTGTCTACCGATAATAATAATTATCATATAAATTATTAATTGTTTTTACTTTAAAGTGTCATCAACTGAATCATCAGTAGTGTCATCGACAGAGATTGCCGATCGTTATCGATATAACAAAGATCTTCACGTATTTCGAATCAAATGTCTTCAATACGGTGAGACCAGCTTAGAGATCGAAGTGGGCAATTTGGCGTCATCGACACTTCCTAATCCCGCCAGTGCCAAAGCCAGTGTAAATATTTTTTGTTCACGACCCACTTCGATGATTATCAAACCAAAAATGAAGTCTTCGTGTCCATTATCGCCGCCACAAGATTCGGTATTTCCCGTCGAAAAGGGTCAGAACATTGAGATCGAAGTGGATGTTCGCGACGACGCCGGCCGTAGTTTTTACAATATATCGACTCTGGATATTGTTTGGAATATGGATGGCATTGATGGTCTGGAAGTGAACAACGGTGTCAAAGAGATTATTAACGGCGCCAAAGGATATTTCTCAATCACCAGAAATGTCCAAATATTGAAACAATTTCGTACTAATTCACACAAATTAAGTGCCGAAATTGTTGGCTATAAGAAACAATTTAACGATCGGTTCCGTATATTCAGCGAAATCGAGTTGATTGCTGTCGATAAGGCATCGGTGGAAAGGGATAGTATCAACATATATAATCATCCAAAGCAAAAGGTAAGCTATATATTGATTGATTTAATAAATCTAGTTTTTAATATTAGATGTATTTTTATTAATTATAGGAGGAATTATAAAAAAATAATTTCTTTTTTTAATACTTTCTATACTCTATATTTTTATAACTATTTTATTTTCAAATCTGTTACTTAACTGTTGTGCTGGTTTTTAAAGGGATTTTTAAAGAGTTAGTATTCAATTAGGTTTGGGTTTTTTAATTGGCAATTAACTGGGTTAAGGTGTTGATGCTAGTAATGCATTATAATGGGGTAATAAGTTTACCGTAATTAATATTTTTTGTTAATATTGCTATCTTTATAATTATGAAAAATAAACAATTGGTAACCCATAACATAAAACTTGTCATAACTCTCGTCACAATACAAATAACATCACATCACATGTATCGATTAGTCACCAAAATTAAGAGTTACTGTAATTGTTATTCAAAAAAGCACGACAATTAAGTCAACAATTGATTGAAGTAATGTAGCGTTTAGTATGATTTTAATAGATGTGGGGGTTGTTTGTAATAATTTACTTTTTTAAATGCTAGTTTGTTGTGAACATACAAAAAGGATCCGGCTATTTTGATGTAGACGCTGAAACTGAGAAACAATTGATCACAATTAACTTCAAACAACAATCAAAAACATTTAATGTAAGTTTTATTTATTTTTTGTCACATATTTATCTTTTTTTTTAATTATTAGTAAATAAGTTTATGTATTGTTTTTGTTACTATAAAACAGATTGTCCCCAAAACAGTCGGCCGGGGAGTCATTAAAATAATTGATTTATGTCTTGCAAACTATGAAAATACTGACTTAGAATATGCCGTTGTAGAGGCCAGTGATATCAATGTTGAAATTGTTGACAAATTTCAATTGGGAAGTGTTGTCGAAGGATATGTTACAGTGATCGACAATAATGACAATTATATTGATTCAGCTAATCATAAATTTATTGATTTAGTACCCAATTTTTCCAATAACGTATTAACGTTGAGGTAATTATTTAATTTTCATAATTGATTTTAAATTTTAAAAATAAAAMGAATTACTAATTTATCTTTCAATAGTAATTTATCAGTTTCTGATGATATAAAATCAAGTTTTAAACTTAATGGAGAAAAGTTAGGCATCAGTTCATTGAAATTTATCTCACAATCAGCTCATACTAATTACATTGAGAGTACACCCATTAGCATTCAAGTAAGTTATATACTGTAAATGATATTTACGTTAAAATTTTTATTATATAACTTGTTATTGATCAGGTATTTGCACCGTTACGCATAACACCATCAAACTTGACACTCATAGTTGGCGCCCACTTTCAAGTGACAACATTTGGTGGACCACAGCCTCAACGGAATATAGAATATTCTTTAGCAGACAATTCTGTGGCCAAAGTTGGTCCAAATGGACTGTTAAATGCATTAAAATTAGGCAAAACTAAACTTATTATTCGTATATTAAGTGCAGATAATATTGAATACACTCGATCTGAGGTTGACTTATATGTTGTGGCTTTGAATAAGATTAAAATTGTTAGTCAAACTAATCAATTGAAGACTGGATCAAAGCTATCACTTCAACTAATGGGTGCCAATGAATTTGAAACGCCATTCACTTTTGGTGCCACTAATCCATCGCTTAAGATCACATGGAGTTTAAGCAACGATAATATTGCTGCCATTGAAGATATTTTTCAAACAGTAAGCTATTGTGAAATTAGATATGAAATAATTAAAATGTTTTTTATTTGTGTCGAAAGTCTGGAATCGTTAACAACAATATGAATTCAATATCAATGAGACTTCGAGGAATCTCTTCGGGCATTGTTTCGGTCATTGTGAGAGTTGAGACACAAAATGCAGTTAAAGATAGAGAACATCAACAGATAGAGAATAACGTTATACTAACCGATTCAATACAAATACATATATTTCCCTCATTTTCTATTGTGTCAAACGATCGAAATATCGACGAAAGAGTGGTCTTAATGTCACCCAACTCGCAGATCTCGCTTCAGTCCAATCGTATCGGTGAAGCCGAATCACAGTTTCAATTGCTTAACGCCACTAATGTCAAGCTTTCATGCGGTCTCGAGACTTGTCTYAAAGCCGGTCCGACACCCGAAGTGTCCGCTTTGATTGTACGGACAAATGAAAAAATCGGAGTAACTTTAACTTCAGTCTTCAGTATACGAGTTGACAAAATATCTTATTTTATGGTCAATTCGTTGTACAAGATTTCTGAAGAACCGATTAATGTGTTTCCCATTGGTTCCGAATTACAGACACGTATCTCATATCATGATAACATTKGTAAACCGTTTGACGCGGTCAGGTCGCAAATTCGGTGGACACTATCGCGCAACGATCTTATGAGTATTTCRCGCGGTTCGGACAATACAACACTTAAGATTCGGTCATTAAAAGAGGGCCGAACTTTGGTGAAAGTGTATGATTCGGAAAACAATAACATCAATGAGTATTTTAATGTCGACGTCGGACCAGTGATTGAACCGCAAGATCTTCAGCTAAGTATCGGTGAAGTTGTCTGTCCTTACTGTAAGTTGAAGGACACTAAGGCTGGTGTCTGGTCAGTCGAAAACCAGTTAATAGCTGACATTGATGAACAATCGGGTGTTATTGTGGCTAAAAGTGTTGGCCACACACTTCTCTATTGGACATCAAACAATAAAGTGTCGACTTTTACTACTATTAATGTGAAAATGCCTAAAAAGATTTCATTAGACACGACACGTTTAGTCGGCATTACTAATATAGTGAGCCATTTGTTGCCGATTAACATCGAAAGTGAATCCCGAAACGTAGGTCAAAGACGTTGCATATCATCAGTRGACTCATTGAATTTGCWGACACTTGAAAGTCCATTCATTTGTGAGATAGTGTTTGATAATAATTATCAACAGAAGTCTATCTGGAAAACAGGCGTTCAGTTTGATGTTAACTCTGATAAATGGTTGTGTAGTCTTGAGCCCAAAGCTGATATTAATTATTCAGAAATGTCTTCAATTGAAACCAATGTAACCGTTTCGGTGATTATGTTGACTCAGTCGCACGACTCGAGTGTAGACTACAAACCATTGATTCATACAATTAGTGTACCATTTTTGCCGGCTTTTGATATCTCACCCAAACAAGTGATACTAACACCCGAACAACCCGAAGCTCGGCTAACTGTTTACTCGGCTTCACAGGTTCTGCAGGACCTAACCATAGTGACAAGTAATCCGGATGTTATCGATGTTTCCACATTGGAAATCATTGGCAATACATTGAAAATATCAATATTTTTGACAAATGCCGATATTTTCTCCAACGATGTATCAAATCTTCATCTATCGTTCAACTCTCGACTAACACAACAAAAGCTTAAAATTCCGGTTCAAATCAAACTCTTTAGACATAACATTCAATCAGTTTCATCGATGTATTTATTTTTGAAAGAAAAGTTCATCTATTTATTATTATTTACAATAATTATTGGTGCCGTTGTATACAAAGCCATAAAGTTTTTCCAATCAAAAGTATCGCCAATTGCAACGACAACACTGCCTATGAATCCCGGATCTCCTTTCTTGGCCGATATTCACTCACCTCTTAAAGGACAGAGAGGTATGACTAAGATTTTAATATATTTTTGTTTTTGATGTAATTTAAATATATTTAACTTATTTTTTTGTCTTATTATTAATAGTTTTGGATTATACACTATCGCCAACACAAACACCTCACTCGACATCAACGCCGCGATCCCCGCGAGTCGGACGACCCTTATATTCAGTGACCAACACGTGAATACAGGTTTTTCCTATAGCGCTGTAAATGAGATTGAATTTAGTTTTTTTWWATATGAAAACGTTATTAAAAAATACAAAAATTGCTTTTTTGTATCATATATGTAGTATAAATTAATATACACTTGGATTCTGTATGTTTTTATATCAAAATCTATATTTTTTATATATAATTATGCATTTGATAGCAAAAACTAATCTTTTACTAAATAAATTTTGTGATCAAATCTAATTTAATTATTAATGAATAAATAAAATGTGATAATTTTTTATTTAAAAAAATAGTCGGCTTTATTTTTTAATGTAAATATTTACAGTAACAATAGTTATGTTAGTTTTTATATACGGTTGATAGTGAAATTGTTATTTGGATTAAAATTTATTTATCGTTTATTTGTTTTTTTATGTGTGTAATTTTGCCGTCAATTTTTAGGCGCTTCAATATATAGTCAGCAATTGAATGTTACAGTGAATTAACTTTTATTATTAGGGATTCAAATGTTTGTTTATCATAAAACGCCAAAAATTTTATTGATAATTAAGAGTCGATTAATTGATAGAGAATACAGTGTTGACACAAGAATATCACTTTTTAAATATTGTGTTTCATTTACATTTGGATTTAAATTTTGATTATATTATATATATATTCTGAAGAAATCTAATTTAGTATTGTGTGTAACACTGTGTATGTTATCTTCAAAACAAAATATGAAAAAGAGATAATTATTTATACAAAGTATACACAATTTCAATGATATTGCTTTACATTGAGTGCTAAATATAGAAAAAAAATAATAAAATTTATTTGTAAATAAAGGGATTAAGCGTTTCGTTTGGTATGAAATAATTGCAAACTATTTCTTGAAAAGTGAAACAAAAATATCACTTTTTTCTATTGATTTCAAAATATTTATGAGTTTTTTTTTGTTTCGAGAAATTTCACCCAATACTATATATATATATATATATATATATATATATATATATATATATATATATTTATAATATATATTTAATAGAGATATAGTTACACAAAAAACATATGTAATATACATAAAAAAAATGTGATCATAATCCGTGTATATATATACTGTATATCCATAAAAATGTGATCCAATAAACTATATTTAAAATTGAACACAACTTTTATTTTACATAACAAATATAACCAAAAAAATAATACAGTGAAAAGTGATGAAAGAAAAAGAAAAATTTAATTTTGTTTCTCAAAGATAGAGATAAAAGTAATGTTTTTTCCTTCAATAATGTTTAACAACAAAAAAACAGAGAGAGAGAGAGAGAGAGAGAGAGAGAGAGAGAGAGAAACAGTATGTTATAAAATCCTATGATATTATATAAGTGCCAAACACGCCTTCACTTTAAAAGTGTGTGTGTGTTGTTTGAGCCATAATATTACACTACCCGTGCTTTTTAAGGGAAATGGTTTGCCACTAAAAAACTTTTTTTTATTTCAATTGATACATCATATAATAAAATAGATAATAAATTTTTTTGTACTTTACGTTACTTATATTATTATATTATTTGTTGGGTAAAAATGCATAAAAACTTGCACTTTATATGTGTTATATACCAGTATATATGTTGACAATAGTGTATTGCTGTAAAATACATAATAAAAAAGAATTTATTTAATTTTGTATATAATTTGCAATAATTTTATTTTAGTTTTTTTTGTTAAAAAACATTTTGTTGTGAAAGTATTGTCACTTATTTAGTATTATTTTTTATTTTGTAGACATTTATTTTCAGAGAGAAATGCCTTACCATTTATATGCTCTCCCGTTGTTGTCTGCAATACAATGTTATATTAAATTTTAATACTACTAAGCAATACATATATATTGGCAATCACTAGCCCGTTGCCAATCCTCCTCCTCATCCAGAAATATAACCCATTAAATTAAATGAGTTTTTTTACACTTATTTAATGCTAACATATAATAATAGATTATTTAAAAATTTAAATCCTATAGACACACATATGTAAAAAAATAGGTATGAATTGTAATTTGCTATAATATTATTTTGTTGATTATGTTTAACAATAATAAAAATATATATAATATGTATATATCAGTCATTTATCTTACATTTTAAATGCAAATATTGTCTCTTCTAATGTTTTCTGTCATATAGTAGTTATAGCATTAGACCAGCGACTCATGATTTATACGGTTTAACGCAATTCATATGAAAAATATCCATAGTTTTCATACAATATTATATAATATATATATATATATATATATGAATGTCTCGATTTTCCGCTCTATTTTAAACATATATAAATGTCTACTAAAAAACTAAACTAAACTAAAACTAACAAATGTCTCAAAACATTTTTGTTAACACCAATTATTTAAATTTAAAGTTTGACTAATAAATGATTATTAGCTAACAAAATTATATATATATATATATATAACGTATCAAATAAAACACATATTGAAATCATAATATTTAGCAAAGAGTGGTTTAAACATGAAAAGTTTTTAAACATATATATATATATAAAAGTTTTTTTTTGTTGAAACTTTTAAAACATACACTTTGTTTAATAGGCATATGGTTTTGAATTTATAGCAAATATAATTGAATGAAGCGATTCATCATTTGATATATAATATATAAAAAGAGTCTCTCTCTTTCTCTCTCTTTCTCTCTCTCTCTCTCTCTCTCTCTCTCTCTCTCTCTCTCTCTATTAAAAAATCCACTGTTGATCACAAGTTATATATATATTCTGTATATATATATTATTAAACAATTGAATTGAATTATTATAAGCGCTTAAACATTATAAACCTGATGTGTCTTCAGGTGTTGGACTTGTTTTGCAACTTATTGGTTAAGTTTTGTTATATACAGTATAGTATGTCTTTTACTTTAAAAAAGAGAGAGAGAAAAAAAAGTCAAACAAATTAAACTTTTTATATTTTATTTTATTTTCAGACCTCATTTATTACAAAATAGTAATCTCTTTGAAATCACTACCAAATTTGATTTGATTTGAAAACCCCGTCTCGAGGCCTAAACACCAGTTTTTATTTTGTGTGTAAATATATGTATATATAATATATTATATAAACTTAGACTAATTTATAAGATATATAGTAGTATACAGTATAATATAAATGATATATATTAAATGATATATATATATTAAATATATATATTATATATATATATTAAATATATATATATATATATATATTATATATATAAACTAAGTAACCTTTTTTATTGCAAATGAAATAATAATAATAAATTTCTATAATTTTTATCACTTTATTATTATTATAGTGTCTAAATAGTGGCAAAAGTTTTTTTTTGTTTTGTTTATAAGTTTTTCATACGATATTATTTTTTATATCTTCCTATAAAAATTAATATCGCTAACAATTTTTAATGAGTTTAATGATAGATGTTTTGCTATATAAAAATCATTAAAAAAAACTTTTTTAGTCGAGATATAAAATTATAGGTATATTATTATAGTTGAACTTATTATAACTTATTAAACTATTACATAATTATTTTAAGTTTGATAAACATTACAATTAATTTTGATTAAAGTTTATTTAGTAATAATAATAATAATAATATAGTCGATTATTATTATTATTATTACATTATTAATTCAGTAGTATTAGTATTATTGGATCAAAAATGATGAACCTTTTTAATAAGTCTACTGTATATTAAAAACTGATTACTTGTTTACAGTAGAGTAGTATATAATATATGATATGTTGTTTACTAAACAGCAACTAATAATTGGTATATATTTATAAGTTATATATACAATATATATATATTTAAAAAAAGGTTAAACAGAAAAGGAAACCATAATTATTATTATGAACAACAAAATTATCATATATTTCTCTGGCAAACAATTTAGTTGTCAATAATTATTTAAATGCTTATATATTTTGTTTTTAACGAGAAATAGAGTTGACAGTAGAGCTTATTATATAAATATTGTTATAATTAGCTAATTTACAATTGTTATTTGAAATATATGGTAACTGGTTTTTTTGTTTTGTTTAATTGACATTATAGACATTATAATTATTATTATCATATATTTTGTAAAGATCATTATAAAATGATTAATTATATTTTATTTTGAATGACTTGAAGTAAGTAGAAAAAGTAGAAATCAATTTTATGGACAATTTTGTAAACACTTTTTTCTTCACTCTCTCTCTCTCTCTCTCTCTTTCCATGAAAACACTGCTACTACTACTTAATGGTGAAAAACTTTTTTTTWAAAAGTGATTGAAAACCATAAAAAACTAGAACTTTTATAATCTTAATCTCTATTTTTATCAGTAATAATTTTGGACTGTGTTTTGCTTTATCACACATATTAAGGCATCGCTGCTATACTACTGTACTGTACAGTACTTATACTGTAGTATAGTCTATACATTTTAGAAATATAAACAAAAATTAATTTTATGTTTTAGCAAACAAAATAAGATAGCATACTGTGTGTATAATTTTTTCTCTGTGTGTATGACTTAGTGTTTTATAATAATAATAGTAGAAGTTTTTTTTATAAATAAAAAAAATTAAGTAAAAATTTTGGTGAAAATCTTGTTTGGGCTAAAGTCTGTCCTAATGTCACGCATTTAATAAATTATAGCTAAATATCTAAATATAATGCTATCGTTCAAAACGCCTACATATTGGCTGATAGGCAGTGATTGATGTGAGGCTAACCTCTTATATAATACTTACAACCATTTGTTAACTTCCTATTCATTTTTTTTGTGACTATTTTTATATATTTAATACATATGTATTATAATGATAATAAAGAATATACAAGAAAAAAAATTTTATATACAATATAAATAATAATATCTAATGTCATTAAAAATGAGTTTTCACTATAAAAATTATGGTTCAAAAATCAGATATTTTGCGGTCATATTTCAAATATCATATCATATTTATAATGTGTTTGTATAATAGATATGAATAAAAATTGTTTGGTCGACCGTTTAAACTGATATAACATATGGACTTAAAAATATATGTACAGTATATCTAATATACAACTTTTACA